AGTGAATTACCATGAAACTTGAAAAGATATCAACTGATTATTCAAGATTATGCTAATCAATTTAATAAACTGGATCAGATACAATTTGAATAGTTACACATGATGAAAGGCGGAAATATGATAACTAATCTTGAGAAGATTAAATTGAGATTCAAATTAATCCACCAAAGTTTTTCTATGATAACAGATTATGAAATTTTCTAATTAATTATTGATTAAATTCTCTCTCTCTCTCTCTTTTTCTCATGAATTTCTTATAATTATAATACTTTTCCATTGGACTATCGTCATAAATTCAGTTTTCATCTCGATAGTTTTTGGTTTTGTTTCGTTCCAACAATTGGATGAATCAATATTTCATATTGATGTTGATCAACTTTGCCTCGTAATCAATATTAATATCATGTAATCATTGATGGCAAAAAATGTCGTTTCCCATGATATCATGAGATCTATAACTGTAATTGATTTTTATCACTTTTAGACTCCAATGTAAATATATCTTAATGGTCAATCTTTGGTAGATATTATCATGTATAAGAAATTGAATCATCTTAACATCAGAATTGTGATCATCACCTTTTCTCAGATAATTTTAGTTGACAAATATGAGAAAATATAAAATTGTGATAACTGTAAATGGTTAATCATCTTGACATTAAATTGGGTGAGATGAGTGAAGATTTGGAGGTGAAAGATAAGGATGATGATGGAGAACAAGCAAAAAAAAAGTTTCGAATAGAAAAGTTTTTTTTTCTCTATTCTATTGTTGTTTAAACACTTTTGTTGTGAGTGAGATAAATTTATCGAATTGGTTGTTGCTCTTGTTTGTCCACTCGAGTAAACGATGGACACTGATGGATTGGAATACAAGATGGAAGGTGAAGGATGAAGATGAGGAGGTAAAATTGCATAAGAGAAATGATCGAGACGTTGAAAGAGATTTAGTTGAAGAGAAAGAAAAAGTTCTACAAGAATAAGAAAAGATGAGAACATGGAATAAAAAAAATGTAGCATTCGAGGACCCACTTGTCTTTCTCATCATCTTCTTCTATTTTTTTGTTGTTATTTAACGACGATAAAGTAAGATGAAGTATCGAAAAGATGCTCTTCATCATCTTTTTCTTCTCTCTCTCTCTCTCTCTCTCTCTCTCTCTCTCTCTCTCTCTCTCTCTCTCTGCTATAACTCGACATTCAATCTTATTTGGACTAAATTTTTTTATCACAGAAAAAATTTCTAAACTCTTTATCATGAATTTCAACTTGAAACTCAGAATATTGAGATGGATTGTTTTCCTTTCTGGATTCACCTTCATCCTCATCTTCATCTTCATCTTCCTCCTCTTTATATTGGTTTCTATCTTCCTCTATCTTCCTCTGTCTTGTCTCTCTGTCGATTGTAGATCTAACTGGTTAAAGAGGTGACATAGACTTTGGTTGGAACATTTTGTTCAGAACATAATAATAAACATGGTAAACCAAATTAAGAGTTTTATTGGAAAACATGACGAGAGAGAATGAGATGAGGATAAAGTAGTAGATGAAAAGAAGATGCTCCAAGAATAAAAGGAAAGAATAACAGAACGAAATTCTAACAGGAAAGAGACTATTGAAGTAGCCATGAAGTGTCTTCGATAATAATAAGAATATGAATAGAAAACCTCGGAAATGTTTTTTTCTTCTTCTTCTCTCAATAGAAAAGAATTTCATTACTTTATTTATTATTCGATAGAACTTAGAACTTAATCAAATGTTTGATATTCTATTAATGTTATGATTCGATCGTTTGTCATGATCAACATGGTCCAAGTTTTTTTCGATATGAGAAACGTTTCGATAGTGATTTATATTAGTAAATACAAAAGAAAAACGAGAAAATAATATTCGACTAGAATTATGATATAACTAATGAAAAGATTATTCAAAATAATTTGATTATCATGAATTCGGAAATCATTATCGTACATGATAAACGAAATATTATTAGTAGTTGTAACGATAATGCTCAATTTTTACTCCATCTCATGTTACCATTTAAGGTTTGGAATAAAAAACTCATGAGATTTTTTCATTTACTTTTCTTTTTTACTTTCGATGAAAAAACATTAGAATATTTCATTATCATGGAGTATCAGTTAACTGGATACTGAAAGAAAAAAGTTCTAAGGAACGTTCATTCAGTGAGAAATTTATTCTGAATATTTAATACAACTAATGATGAGATGATAGAGGAGAATGAGATACTTAAATAAAAGAGAGAGATGATGATGAAGGAGAAGAGGGAGATGTTTCTCTTTTTTATATTCGAGTTTTGATCTTGGTGACAAAAAGTTCTAGAACAGTGGAAGTTTTTTAACCAAAAGAATATCTTAATTTTGAGAAAGTTAAAGTTCGAGGGACAAGAAGATGAATCTTGTTGATGTTCATCATTTTTCATGTTCATCTCTTTCATTTTCAGAACTTTTTCCATCATATATTCACCAGAACCATAAGATGAGATGATGGATGAGGAAGATAGTGTTTAGACAAAGAGATGACTTTTAGAGAGAGAGAGAGAGAGAGAGACTAGTGACAGAAAAAAGAGAATGATAATTTTTGTTCTCTTCCTTTTCATCTTCTGAGATGAGAAGATAATATGAAACAATCAACAAGAACAATAATTACAGAGGATAAGCCCAAAGGCTCCATGATAAGTTACTTCACATTTTCTTTATATTCATGATGATGAAAAACTACTAATCATGATGGAAGAAAGAAAGAGAGAAAAAAGTTCTCAGTTCTCAGTTATTATTATTATTATATTTTTCTTTCTGAATCAATGAAAAGAAACTAATGAAACAACAGAAGGAGAAAAAGAAAGTAAGATGGAAAGAGATGAAAATTAAAGAGAAAAAAAAATATTCTCTTGCACTCTGATAACTTTAAAATTTTGTTTCTCTCTCGAAAAATTATTATCATCATCATTGGAAGAAAATTTTATTCCAAATCATCATAACTACATAGATATTGTTTGTTATCAAAACAAAGGTAGAAAAGTGGATCGAAAAGTAGAAGGTAGAGTGAATTGTATCAGGAAAAGTTCTGTAAGATTAATTTATCGAACTTGGAATTGTGATGAAAAAAAGTAAACATAACTTGATTACCATGGAAATGAAAAGAAGGTGAATTGTTCTGGTGAGTGGATAAAGAGAGAGAGAGAAAACTCATAATGAGGCAGAAAAATGTTTCTTTCTCATAAATGTCAATCGATTATATCATATGAATTTCCCCTGAAAAAAATGCTACAGTTTTGTTGATGAAAATTGAAAAATTGTAGTGCTATAAATATCCAACCAATGATACCACAAACATGGAGGTCAAGAGTGAGATTGGGTTGGGAAAACACTCCCATCTAATTAAATAGCTGGTTAATTAGAAGTAATGAAAAATCAAAGTCAAACTAATTAACAGTTTAAATTATGATCGAATCTCTGATTAAATTAATAATCTGCCTGCATGAAACTAACTGAGAACCAAAGTGATTCCAATAGCTTAAACTGACCAACTAATCATCAAAGTCCATCACATTAGTTAATTTCTAAATCAGGATTAAGCTGACAAATGATTTGAATGAGATTCATGAAAAGTTCATGTTTTCCGAGAGGAAAATCAAGTAAATCACAATTGAAGAGAAATTTTTTTCCCTTCTTCTTGATTAATATTCATTAATATCTACAAATCATTTGGATCTTTAATTAAACTCTCTTGATGTTTATTATTAGTTGATTGAGAAAAGACTGAGAGATTTGTCATGATTTCCCTTTGACTATTTACTTAAGATTGTTTTCTTTACTCTGAGAAAGTTCATATTTTATATATCATGATAATTTCCATGATGATGGTGATTGTTATGTGTTTATTATCATCTTATTTTGACAAGAGAGAAATGTAAATGTGAGATTAATTCACTGATGAGAATACTAACCATCAGAATATCAATTGTCACCTACACATAGAGAAAAGTATGTCAAGAGATTTGCATCAACTTTTAACTAAACACAAATTCAAGTTGAGTATAAATTTCAGGGTAAAAAATATGAATTCACAAGTTCCAACAGAAAATCAGTAAGAACATTATAATAACAATGTTACTAAGAAAAATACACAACATTTATCATGGAAGATAATAGTTTGAGTGAATACATTTGATAAAGTTGAGGGAAAAAAACACATAAACAAATGATAATAATACGAATCAAGTAACATTTGAATAGACATAAATTTTCATGGTGTTCGTCTGAATATATTAACAATTCTATTGTTTGAAATTGAAGAAAAGAAAAGAAAATGTTAATTTCCAATCATATTTCATGTAAATGTTTGTCTCCCAGGAGAAAACGAGAAAAAATTGATTCTCCCAATTGTTCAATTTCTATTTTAAATTCTTATTCGAGACATATAATATTATCATTTTGTTTTCTTTTTTTTCTTATTCGAAACTCAAAATCTTCTGAGAAGTAACAAGTTTGCCATTTAAATCGAAACTCGTTAATATTAGTTCATTTCTCTATTTTGATGGGATGACAACTCCATGGAATCTGCTTCTCATCATCACAATTTTAATCCAGCAAATCATTTGAAATCTCTCATGAAGATAACTTATTCTGGAAACTGTTTCTCTAAAACTATCATCATGATAGAAGCTGATTTCTTGGTGAACTATTTGGTGAATCCTTTTTTATAACAAATAAGATGATGGTAAATGATGATGATGATAACATGAAATTTGCTTTTTTACAAAACATTCAATAATAATAATGGATACAAAGCCAAAAGCTATAATCATCATCATCATCATGCTCATCACCATGATGCTGATGATGATCATCATGTGTGCAAATAATATTAGAGCAACAAGTTCATTTGAGAAAAGTTGAGAAAGTTCAGTCAAGTGAGGGTGAAAAAAAGTAACCAAAAGATAATCAGTTGAGATAAATCAATGGAATTGAATTGATATTTACCTCATCATCATATCCCATCACAGGGTCAGCCATTATTTCAGCGTATTAATCGGTGGCGGGAAAGAGATAAAGATGAGAAAACTTTGATATTCACAGCGTGAAATGGATTAGCCTTTGAATCAGAATTATCTTTTCATGAGAAGATAAATCCTAATCTTAATCTCTCTCTTTTTTCCTTCTCTTCAAATCAATAGATTTAGTGGTGAACAATTTATTTTACTGATTATCAGTTTAACGGTAAATCCTTGAGTGAGATGAAGATAAATTTGATGATATTGATTAGATTGAATTCATTGGTGTGAATGGTTAACTTGAGAGAGGAAAGTTATCAATGGAATGATTTCATCGATTAATATTGATTGATTTGAGAAGTAATTAACTTTTAACTACGATTTGGAATAATTTTCCATCTTTTCTTTTATCAATCAATCAGTTGATTCACTGAACATTTAGACTTAGAAGTAGTTTGTTGTTTTCTTTTTCCGATTTTTGATTGAGTAACATTGTGGACAAAAAACAATCACCATGAAATCGTTCAATTTGGAAACATTGATTCACAAAACATTGATGATATTTTATTCTGAGCCCTTGAATCACTTTTTGGTGAATGTTCATTTCTTTTCATGCTAAAAAAGAAACTTGTTCAAACTAACAAGGGTAAATTATCGCCAGTGCTCATGATCATGATACATTAAGGGAAAAAGTTCCAATTTAATCAGAGTATCGAGTTCGAGAATGGGCACTTGCGACATCTTCTGGTGTTCATTGGTAGTTCTCACTCATGAGTTAGAATATAACTTTGGATGCTCATAGATTAACTCTACAATCAAGGTAATCGTTTCATGAACTTTCTTGAAATTCACTCTGATTAACGTTGTAACGAGTTTTCGACAATTTTTCTGAAATTCTGACTCAAGTTCACATCAAATGAATAGAAATTTACATGGAGTATTTCATGATTGGTTCATGTGATGAATTCAGAATACTCAGAATACAGTTCACAACACGAATATGAATAATATAACATGTTACAAATTCTCAATTCTTATAACAGAATAACTTTCAAATCAATCGATAAAATTATCAACAATGAACTGAATATTAATCGAAATGAATGTGAGATTGTGTTATTTTACTTGCGAAATTGTTAATTGCAGTTATTATTATCAAGTTAGAATTTCTAATTCAAGATTCGTTAGGGGATAAGAATTCAGAACTACAAGTTTTTGATAAAATAAATCGATATGGAAAATAAATATCAGTGAAATAATCATGATAATGATGATCAATGCTTCAATCATACAGAGCTTAATACACAGACATTTGTTAATTTAACACTTTAAAAGGTTAATCAATGAACAATTGATTGAAACATATTATAAAAATAGTCAAGCGTTAAATTAATTGTTAATAATAATACGTTACTGGAAATGTTAATAGATAATTAAATAATAATAACTCTATTAGAATTTTATCTTGACAACACAACAGGTTGTTTGAATTGTAGTCAACAATCAATAAAATTGTTCAGATAGTAAATAATTAGATTAGAATATAAGTTTTATATTGATCGGAATGGGTGATGGTTTTTCATGATTGATTGGATTACCGGTGAGATCAACTAATTCCAAGGATGGACAGTTCTTAATGGGTTGGATTACTTGTAGATCGGTAATTTCTGTTGAATAAAAAAAGCAAGAAAAACAATTAAGATAATTCCTGTAATTCATCGATACGAACTTACTGTTATTCTTGAGAGACAATTTTTTAAGAGTTAACATTGAAAAACAACCATCGGTATAATTAATATAATTGTCATCCAGAATTAGCGTTTCGAGGACAATAAGTGTATTAAAATCAGAACTTAATCTGGAGAAATGGTTATTGGTTAAATCCAATATTCGAAGGTTAGTAAAATCGTTGGCAAAGTATAAGCAAGTCAATTTTACTCCATTAATAGCGAACTCAGATTCTGAGGTATAATCTTCCAATCTATTTGATATGATTTGTTTACTTCCTATGAATCGAAAAACAAAAAAGAGTTAACAACAATTAGATGAATAATAATAAAGTTTACATTTAAATTGTTCTTACTTTGGTCATAGTAGTAGTTACATCTTAATGGATCAAGTTGAGCCAATTTCGTAAATAACTCTTCATGTGGTTTATCATTAAACGAAGACAATGTTAAATTAACCCCTGTAAATATAAAGAAAGTTGAGAAATTAAACAAAATGAGGATAAAATTTGATTGACAATTAGAAGAGTTTAAACTTACACTTATTATCGGGTTCAAGTTCTTGGAGTAATTTAAGATTATCGACTTTGGCTGAGTCCAATCTAGACCCAGTTTTACATCGTTTCTCTTTACCAAGCGGCGTAATTACGTTTACCTGTAGATTTGATTTCTCATCGAGTTGAGGTAAATCAACAGTATATTGTTTACCTGAATATTGGAATGAAATTACATCAATTGTGGTAACATTTTCAATCTCATGGTACCAAAGATCACATGAACTTTGTTCATTTTTTTCCCAAACAATATCATTTACAGATATTGTTTGACCTTCTTTGGTTACGATTATAATTGATTCAAAGGGATGTTCTCTAAAAGGTCGGAAAAATTGATAGAATATTCGATTATTTGATCTATCGAATATTATTTTATGTAATAATGTCTCTGGATCTGGATTTTGTAAGTCCATGTATTTATCGATAGCCAGTAGCCATCTATGATAAAACCAAGGTGACTGATCATTTGGATCAACAAAAATGGCATTAGATATCATCTCATAGTCGGTGTCCCAAAAGTCATTAATATCAAGAGTACCACCATTATGGGATTGAGTTAATATTGAGCTTCGATAGTAGAATGCTGAGAAATTGGAGAAATTTTGACCAATCTTTTTTGCGGTAAAATCTATTTCGTCTTTATGGTCAATTTTACCATAATTACAAATGAATCGTCGATAATCCCAACAATGAACTAGAATAGAGTAAGAATATATATATTATGTTAAGTTGATTAATAATGATGAGTTTTTAACGACAACAATTTAACTTACAGTTTCTTTCATCGAGATCTAAAAATTGATTACAAGCTTGAACTTCCTCTGCAAATGGTGGATTTTTCATCGCTATGATAATACATCGACGATGATACCAAGTAGCATAAGATTTTGGATGTTTAACTAGACAAGAAGAAGAAAATTTAAGTTCATCCATGTAAACCTTTTCCATGTCCGATTCTTTTTCCATATGGAGAATAATTTCTCTGCGAAAATTCCAAATCGTTTGGTAATCCGCATTTAGCATCAATATTCTCGCCGTTATTTTCAAAGCCTCATCATCATAACATTTAGCTCGCCTCTAAATAGAAAAAAAAGAAAACAAATGATTACCAAACATTAGAATAGAAAATGAAAAGAGAAAACCAGATTAAAATCACTCACCTTCGCCCAAGCCTTGTCAAGATCTTCTTTGAACTTCTTAGCCAAAGCTCTTTCTTCTTGTTCTCTCTCAGCTTGTAACTCTTTAGGAGCCTTAACCTTAACACGTCCATGCTAAAAATAATATAAAAAAATAGAATAAAAAAATAGAAAAAAAAATCATCAATCCAGAAGGAGAATAAACAAAAAGTCAATAATTCAACAAATCGACAATAACCAAAACTTACCATCTTTCGAATTTCAAAATTCAGTCAATTTCCAATTCAATTAAAAAGGTAAATCAATTGAAAAAATAATCAACAATTAAAACTAATCAAATTTACTAATTGACAATTATGTCAACATTAGAAAACCGAATCCATTTAAATTCCTCCCTAGGGGGTAACCATGACAACGAAAACAGGGACCGTTAAGAAATTACAAAGATTCTAAAAGTTTAGGTTAACCAAGAAAAACAATTAAAAAAAGCTCTTAAAAAAGTGTCAACAAGATAATATTGTTAACGCGACTGACACTTAACTTTTTTTTTTCTAAATCAATCAATCAATCGGATGATTAATTAGCTGTAATTGTCAATTGTTGATGATAATCCAGGTTAAGAAAGGAAATTGACTGAGAAAGAAAATCTCATCTAGAATAATTAATTAAATCCCATTTATCGAGTTAATTGTTAATGTAAACAAGACAAGAGTAATTAATACCAATCAAACACTTGAACTGTTTATGATAATTGTTTCGTCGCAATTAGTTAATCATTTGCCAATGATTATAACCATTGAGAGATTATCTTAAATAGGCTTGCGAAGAAGAAGAAAAAAAAACAAATCATCATTTTCGTTTTTCATCTTCTCCATCTTTTTTTCCCTCATCACTTGATTCACTTTTTTTTATCTTCATCTCTTATCATCATCATCATCATCATCTTGTTATCAACTGATCATTTCAAGTTACTTTCACTCGTATTAGAAAATCATGATTCTCCTCTGTAATTTTTTCATCCTCATCATTTTTTGCTTTGACTGAAAGATGATGAGGAGGAGGAAACAGAGTCAACTTCAATCGAGTAAACCAAATTAGAGATGATGATGAAAATGAAAATTCGCAATTCAATTTCTATTAAATGTTGTCGCTATTTTTTTCTCCATCTTCAAGATAATCTTCACTTTCTAATGATGATCAAGAGGATGATGTTATTGTGGAGGAAAACAATCAATGGAAACGGAGAGAGAGAGAGAGAGAGATAAACCTGATCATCATCCGCATCACCAAGGAAAAAGAAGATGGAGAAAAATGATAAAATAGTCTTTCGATATTCAAAGTAATCTCATTCTAATTTAACGATTTACATTAAATGATAAACGTTTACAATTTGATGAAAATTGATAATCTTATGTTTTATATAGATTAATAGTTCCGTAAGTATAAAGATTAAGATGAGACAATTGGATGATTGATTTTCTGTTGCATTATTATTAGTTATTATTGATATCATCTCCCAGATAATCACATTGATAATAAATAAAAAGACCTTGAACTAGATAAAACAACGAGTTAATTAAAATGTTTGTGTGTTTGTGTGTGTGGTTTTGTGGTTTTGTGAGTGAGAGATAATTGTGATCATGGGTGACATGGGAGGTGGAAGATGATGACAATCGGGAGATACATTGGATTGGGAGGATGCTAATTAAAAATTATATATATGTAATGAAGAGTATCATATATTTATTTATATATATTAATGAGATGCAAAGTAGGTTGAGGAAAGATGATGAAGATGATGATGAAAAGACTGTTAAATGATTGAATGTTATTATTGTTGTTGTTGTTGTTGTACCGTTATAATTTCAGATCCATTTGTAACATTCATTTTTGATGGTGTTGATCGTTTTGTTGAACATGGTGATGAGATGATGATAATGACCATGTTAAAGTTTGGTTGAACATAATGATGACCCTTGTCTACAACCATAATTATCCTATGGTGTTATTGCATTCATCTAATTGATTAGATCCAATCTTTTCTTTACAATTATAACATTATTTACAAATATTCTTGGTATCAATTTCATTCTGCTTATACTATGATTATCTCATTCGATTACACTTTGATTAACAATCTCATTTCATTTAAAATAGCCAATTGTTCAGTGTCTTGACCATCATCATTTAGCATCCAATTGTTTTCATCCATATAAATATATCATATGAAATACATGGTCAGTCATTGTTAAAGAGAGATGATTATGAGGAGAGGGAGAGAGAGAGAGAGAGACAGAATAGTTTCAATTACAATCGTCAAGAGATATTAGCAATTAAACATTTATATACACATATATTCAGGGGAGTAAGAGAGAGAGCGAGTTGAGTTAAACGAGATGATGATGATAAAGATGATAAGTAAAAAGCGTCCATATCCTGTACTTCCTCTTGCGTAATGTTTTTGCCATTTTGAATATACAAATATCGACCACAAATAAATTGTTCCAATTGATTAAGGTTAATGATTTGTGAATGTTAAGCTGCTTTTACAATTTAATTATTCTTGATTCCTTTCAATGTTGCGCTTCATTTATCTTCCATTAAATCAAATCCTTCGTTTGCATGTAAATCTCAATGCTACTGGTGTTGGTAATTGTTGCTCAAAGTATTCATACAATTGTTTCAATTCATATAAGTTTCTTGATTGTTGTAACAATTAATATAATAATAATAATAATAATATAATATATGTACATGATAGCAATATAGCAAATGCAATATATAATAATAGTAAGTATTATTATTATCATTATTTATATTTACATTACATACATAATATTTATATAGCTAATTTAATGATTGATCAGTTGATTCAGTTAATTATCTCGTTAATTTAGTTTTGTTTGATGAGAAGATGGAAAAGTCTTATGGAATTTGTTTGACAATTGATTGTTTGAGTGTAAGTTGATTTGTTTCCACATCAAACTTTTCACAATTGAAGGATATAAATAATTCATGTTAATGATGCCAAAAAATTTCATCTTTTCCTTGGGTGTTGATTGATGGATGAAAATTAGTGATTATCAACAATCATCAATTTAAACTGTTAGGCATTTACAATACTAATCATCACTATCATCATTACCTGGCATCGTTATTATCTCTCCCTCGTTAATTTGTTTATCATCTTGATTTAGATTCTTTGAAATCTGGATAACTCATTCCACTCGCTGAAGGTGTTGATGGGTTAGACATTGATGATATTGTTGCTGCTCTGTTTATACAATTCATTTCAAATGGTGAGGTTTCAATTGATGATAATTTATTGTTAATTAACGGTGGCATCAGTGAGGGTGGACCAGATAAACCATTAAATGGTGGCGGTGGTTGTGGCATATGATGAATTGATTGATGTTTACTCATTGTTACTGAGGTTGATAGTGAAGATCCTGAAGATGTTGATTTAACGGTATTAAGATCGGTACGAACATTTGAACCAGCGGAAGCGGAAAGTGAATGTAAACTGTTTAGATATGGATTGGGAGGGAACATCATTGCAGCGGCTGCGGCGACTACAGATGAGGCTGAAGATGAAACTGAACCTGAGGTTGAAACTGGTGAATAATGTGAGTGAGGATGATGATGTACAGAATGATGAGAAGATGATGAATGTGGTGGAGGAGGTGGTGGTAAAGGTGGTCCAAGGCCAATTAGACTACCAGCTCCATGAGCCAATTGACCTGGACCAAAAGGTGAAACCATGGAGGCATGAGGGTGTGGAGGAACAAGTGATGGTGGTAAAGTTGATTCACCAGGTCTAAGGTGGTGAGAATGATGAGCATTTATTGAGGATACTGAAGATGATGAGGATGTTGATGAAGAATTGGAAAGTCGACTTTTATCCATGGCAGCGGCAAAAGCGGCTTCCTTTTCTCGAGATTCTTTCTCTAACATTGCATGGAGTGGACCCTCTTTGGCAAGTTTCTCTGTTAACGGAGCTCCTCCACCGGAGGAATTAAGTATATTGTACCTTTGGAGAAGGTGTTCCCTTTCAAGGAACTCATTTCTCGGTGAAAAATCATGAAAACCAGGGTGAGTCGGGAAAAAGGGTGACCAGAAAGATTTACCAAAATCGGGCGGAAGACCAGGAGGAGGTAGTACAGATGCCGGTGGATGTAAAGATGGAGGACCGGGAAGTCCATGGGGTGAACGGGGGACAGTATGACACAAAGAGGGAGGTGGAGTGGGTGGTGGTGGTGGTCCAGGTGTAAGGCCGAATAGACCCATCAGGTGAGCACGATGATCCATTGGATTACCGCTCATGTGAAGGTTAAGTGATGCAAGTGATGCTGCTGCCGATGATGATGGTGAAGATAAACTGTGACCCATTGTACCTACACCTGAATGAGGTGGTAATGGTGGCGGTGGAGGCGGTGGTAATGAGGCACCAGAATATGAAGATCCCGAATTGGAACTGCCCAAGATGCCCAAAGAACCGGGTAAAAGGTTATTGTTATTTGATGTTTTCTGGTCACGATGTGAATGATCATTCGATGAATGTTTATGATTTCGTTCATAATACTTGTTATAATTGTTTATCATTTCTTTATTTCGATCATCTTTGGCCTTAAGATCATTAATTAGTTGTCTATCGTTAAAGGCACTGGAACTTGTTTTCATCATTTTAGATCCACTTGAACCACTACTAACGCTCGGTGATCTTGAATATTCTCGTTTATTATTTGAATTATAAGCTTTATCCCAATCACGACGATGAGATGATTCAGTTTCACCATTTTGAGATGATGATTTAGAGGAACTACTTCTATGATGGTGATGATGAGAATGATGATCACTTTTATTTTCATCTTTTGATCGTGAATCAAGTCTAGAAGTACTTCGACTTTCTTTCCTTCGATCAAGTTCAGATCGTTCTGCTTCAGCTTTAAGACCTCCCCAGGCTGATGAAATTGATGAAGGTGTTGATTGAGGGTGTGGTTGAGGTGGTGGTGGTGGACCACCTAAAAGACCAGGAAACAAAGCAGACCCAGGTCGTCCATTACTGGTTAACCATGGGTCAGGGTGACCACCAAGGCCTGGTAAGTTTGTTATATCACGATTATGACCATCTCTTGATACAAGAGATGCTGAAGATGATGGGGGAGGTGGGACTAAGGATGGAAATAAACTTGAACCAAGACCACCGGAAGCTGAAGATGTCGGTATTGGACCAGGTAGTCCAAGGCTATTAAAACCTGGAAATCCTGGAAAACCAGGTAAACCGGAACGTAGGAAGTTATGAGCAGCAGCAGCGGACATTGATCCTGGTGCAAATGGACCATTCCAAGCATCTAGTCCTTGTCTAGGTCCAAGTACATGACCAGCGGCAGCGCTCAACAGAGAGGTTGAAAAGGGTGACATATCACCGGGACGCGGTGGAAGGGAAAATAGTGAGCTTGCAGGTCGTAAAATATCACTGGGTAATGAACCGTTTCCACTTGGTTTACCCAAGGAAGGTATTGGACCAACTATTGACGGAGTGGAGACGGAATATGATGCCGACGAGAGAGCGGAAGATACTGAAGAGGGTAATGGAGGTGGTAATGTTGATCCGGAGGAGGCTGTTGATGAATGAGGTGGTACCACTGAGAAAGGATTATGAGGCTGTGGTGGACCCAATGGACCGCCTAGACCGAAAGGTGATCCATTCCAAAGGCTGGTTGGATCTAAAGAGGAACGGTTGTTAAGTCCACCGGAAGCAGCGTTCATAAGAGATGCGGAGAAAGATGAAATATCTCCTGGTCTTGAATGTGGTGGTTGATGGGGATGAGGTGAAGGTGGCATCAGGTTGCCAAAGATATTGTTGGTTGGTGGTCTAATTAAATCATCGGGTAATTGACTATTTTTACCAAATGAGGATATTGAAGGTGATGCAGGGATCAAGGATGAACTTGATGAAGACGAGGAAGATGTAGAGACAAGCGGTGAGGATAAACGGAAAGTGGAAGATGTTGACGTTGTGGTTGATGATAATGATGAACTTGTCAGTGATTTATCACCATGAGATGCTTTCTGATGACGTAATATCTCCCAGGCTATTCTTACATGCATGGCGTTCCAACGACCAGGTTTCTAATGGGAAAGAAAGAAATGACAATCCAATTAGTCAATCAATTAATTATCAAGAACTATATGAATGCATGAAAGTAAACAAATTCATTTGCTGTGAAAGAGATCATGAATAATGTAAATGTTTATCAACATCATCTCTCTTTCTCTGAAATGTTATCAACTACAAAAAGCTCAAGTTGGTAATAAATATCTCTCTGAATTTTTATACGTAAGAGAAAATCTTGACAACAAACCCCTGCGGCCCAACGGAAACACCAAATAATGATTATGGTGAAAATTGTGACAGAAAGAGAAACGAAAATAAAATTTGTTGGATAAAAAAAGAGTGAAAAGTTTGCACGTAGGAAGATAATAACGATGAAGATGAAAAAAAAAGAAAAAATCACCTAAGACAATGAGAGAGAGGGACAATAAGAGTAGAAAATAATGAAACGATGGAAAAGAGCCCGAGGCAATGGAGGTGCGAACATTTTTAAATACAAACTTTCAACAACAAACATAATATTATGATAAGTACATTATTATTAGATACATAGAAGAGAGAGAGAGAGAGAGAGAGAGAGAGAGAGAGAGAGAGAACAAGGAAAGTGTTAATGAACATGTTCATATATAATTATTATCATTAAAATTATCATCATGATAATTAGATATTTATAATAATAGTAAACAGAAAATTGAAAAGGTAAGTGAATTTGAGAGACAATGAAAATCTTATCATAATTATGATAATAATATACTATTGATCATTGAAGGATTTCATCATTATCACCATGAGAAATTCAGCAAATGCAAAGTATCACGTTTTCCATGATATCAATGGTGTAAATTTCATTGGAATGAAGAAAATATGGAAAGAGACACCAAAGAAAATCCCTAATGAGTTTGATTATTATTAATACATTGAAATTATATAAGATTTTAAAAGTACCACGATAACTACTTATTGCAGAGGAGAAAACTTTGTCATCTTTTTTTCTATTTACTACAACATATATGATTTACGGAAAGTTTCTGTAGGAGGGTAACAGGGAGTTAAAGTCTTACGAGTTAATCGGACATAAGCACGATAACAAATCATTTACAATCAAGACCTTATTGCCATTAGAAAAGGTCCAATATAAAAAACAACTAATACAATAACAGCCGAGAGTCTATTGGTTTGTATACAATTTTTTTCTTTCAACTTATGTGATGTTATTACATAGATGATGGTGATGATAATGATGATGATGATGATGATATATTTGGTAGAAAAGGGAAAGAAAGGAAAATCATCGAGCTTTTTACTTTTACCAGGAAAAGGGAGAGGGAAAGGTGGAAAAAGGGAAGATGAGGAGTAGGAGGATGAAGGAGAAAAAAGAGCAAAATGTTCACAGATTATGTGTCCTTTTCATCTTCATCTTCATCTTCATCTTTCTCTCTCTCTCTCTCTCTCTATTTCCATCATTATCATCATCTTTTGCCTTCTTCTTTTGTGGGTTGATGATAATAATGATAATAATGATGATAGCCATGGGACAAGATGGGAGAATAACTGTTTATACAATAATACAGTAAATCTCAAGTCTTTTATTCAAAGTAGCAAGGGAAAGGATCCACATTCAGTTATCAACACACACAAAACATCATCATCTCCATCTTCATCTTCATCTTCATCTCTATTTTTTTTCCACTATGAAAAAGACTCAAAATATAAAACCAATTTTTCTTGTATTTACTTGAAAACAGATTTTCCTTTTCAGAGGAAAAAAACTCCTCCATGAGATTTACTAGTTTTTATATCATTTTTTTCATCATGTATTTTAAAGCCTTTCACACCAAACAACAATAAGGAAGATAATATAATGATGATAATTCATGGGGATAACAATAATAATACAGAGATGAAGATAATACATAATGATAATACTATTAATAACAATATACTATTGGAAATACTTATCAATAGTGAAAATAATTCAGAGTTTCAAGTCTCCATTTCTTCATGATTCTGGTGGAACAATATAATCATCATGCTGATGATTAAGGAGCAGAATCAGGAGTAGGAAGAGAAACAAAAAAAAATGAAGATAATAATAACATGTAACAACATTACCAATAATGTATAATCTGTTGACAAGAAGGTTACCCTCAAAATGATTGTGCTTTTAGCCTTTCCATTTATCCTCTTCTAGCATCATCATCATTATCATCATAAGAACTAAATTATCTTCATAATCATCGACTAACATTCTTTGGGTAGTGAACAAATCAAGAAGATGAATTCAGAAGAAGATAATGATGATAAAAGCTCAATTACGGATCATCAAGTTAATTTGGAAACATTATTTTTTTACTCTCCCTTTGACTCTCTCTCTCTCTCTCTCTCTCTCTCTCTCGCTCTCAGTTTCATCTTCGTCATCATCAGCATTTGATATTGTCTCTATTTCACAACACTGAATTGACTTGTGGCTTTTACTTTACATCCTCCTTCCTCCTAATTAAATGAGACCTAAGAGTAGAGACCTTGATATTGAGTGAGAGACATTGATATTATATTGTATTTATCTATCCACAGATGATGCTTGAAATAAGCAGAAGGTAGTATTGGGAGAGAAAAGGTCATAGGCTTAGGTCAAAAGGAGGGATTCAAAATATCCGTTTGTATTATTATCATCATTATAACAATTATTATATTGAAAAGTTTTGCGGGAAAAGTGGGTTTTGGTTAAAGTTATCGTTTATTATCATCATCATGTTAACCATTTAACCTATAATTTTACAAGCAGCGGATGCAGAGCATGTAACTCATGCAATACTCATCACAATCATCTTTTACTTTCTCTCTCAGTGGTGATGAGGAAGATAATGATGCTTTCCTAATTATAGGTGTTTTTACAATGAATAAGAGAGAGAGAGAGAGAGAAGATATCACAATGAATATAACAATGTACGAGAAATGTAACAAGGTAGAAAGTGAGTGAGAGAAAGAGAGAGAGAGAAGTAATCACAAAGACTAAAGTGATGTGAGCAGAAAGAAGAAGTGAGATGATGATAATCAAGAAGATGCATGAGATGATAGGAATTGAGATAACATCAAATGAAGATGATGAAAACCAAAGAAGAGAGAGAGGCAGAGAGATGAGGGGAGAAGATGAAAAAACTTAATAGTACAAAGGGATGATGATGAAGAATGAGTTACATAAATTGTAACAATCGTGAGTCTATTAATCGAATTAGTTTAAGTTATAAACTTTTCATCATTATCATCTTACAAATAGATATAATATCTACCAAGAAGATGAGGTTCATTCATTTTTGCCTAAGGTTCCATAGAAGTTTCACTTAACCAAAAGTAAAGGTAATATGTTCAAGAGAGCGAGAGAGAGACAGAGAAAGAGAGAAGATAAAAAAAATGGAGAAAAAGAGAATGCTCCATCTTAAGGTTCATTGATTGAGAATAAGTTGTGTTGAGAAAGAAAAGAGGAAAAAAAACATTCATGGAGAAAAAAATCGCAAGAAGGAGGAGAAGGGAGGAGAAGAGGAGGATCAAGCTCAAGATGATGATGGCGATGGAGAGAAGATACTGAGAAGTACACCCGAACATAATGTACACACTTAGAGAGAGAAGAGAGAGAGAGAAACCCCTTTAACGACCATGTAATTGTTAATGATGATAAAGATGAAGAGGAAGTAGCTGGTTAAAGATGATGATGCATAAGGAAAGCAAAATTATACCTCAGATAAAAAATAGATTATTATTCAGGATATAATATATGATAAGAAAGAGAAGATGAGAAAGAGAGATGATGATGATAATGATCAATGATAGGTTATGATGTATAATAACATGATGATGATGATGATAACAATAAAAATAATATTAATATATTATTAAATAATATGATGATAACAGACAAGAAAAAAATATGAGTTTTTGTTTGACATCAACTCAACCAAATGATAATTGACAAGTTATTGATTTATTTTGATTCTCACTCTATTATTATCATATTTATTGTTATTAAATGATAATAACATTGTTATATTAGCTTTTCATATACACACATAATAATATTAATATGATTAAAAAGCATTAATAAACATTGGCAAATTTCAATCAGTATCATCATCATATTAAGCAATTAAGTTAATCTTATCACCAATTATCTGAATTACGACTTTTTTTTACTGTTTATTGTAAGATTTGCAATTGAATAATTTCTCGTTTGTTGATTCATCTTATTGATTAGTAACAATTTAAAGTGATTTGCTTAACAATAAATGTATATTTACATTTACATTTAAATATGTGTAACCATAAAGAGGTATAGATGATAAAAATGATAATATTATATCAAAAGAAAGTGATAATAATAAGAAGATAAATTATCTTCATCTTGGTTTTTTTTCCTCTTCCTCAGATGCTTCTGTCTATGGAAACTTATGTATGTCTATGGGAGATTTTTTTTTCTTCCTCTTCTTCTCTTAGGATACAGTTAACATGCGTGAGAGGAACAATTGATTTGGAAGTTTTCAGAACATGAACAATGGTGGAAAAAAAAGAGAATCGAAGAAGATGAAGAAAAAGATGAGAGAGAGAGAGAGAGAGAGAGAAATGATGATGATGAGGAGAGAAGGAGGTGGAAGAGGAGAGGAAGAAGTGGTGGTGGGAAAAGAAAGAAACTATGTTAATCAATCATTTAGATGGTGACAGTTTACTTGATTGTGTTGAGGGTTAATCAATTTTGTCTGTTTTCTCAATGATTCTCAATCTAAATGGTAGATAAAACAACTTAACATCATATTAATGTTATTAGATATACACATGAAGATGATGATTAAACAATATACAATCAATGATAATAATACACTTTCAGAAAATCATGATAATAATACTTTGTTACAGTAGAGTAATTAACAACAAATTATGGTTAATTCAACCGTCAACAATCAACTAATTATTTATATGATATTAACCATTGAAATGTATATATATAAAAAAACAATAAATATTAACAGGTAAACACTTAGGAGAAAGTTAATTTTTGTTAAATGATTTAATTGACTGAATCACAAGGAGTAAAAAAACATACAATATAACAATCAGTTAATTGTTTTTCTATCTTTATGTTATTTATACACTTTGTGAAATCAATTTATCAACATAATGTTTTAATTGTTAGCTTTAATTGTAACGATAATGATAATAAAAACCACATTATTGTTACAATTATAATAGTTGATATTATGAATATTAATGAATTAAATGCTATTATTATGATGAAAAATTTTTTGTCACATCAATAATTATTATGTAATTATATTAGTCAAGTTAATGACAATCATCATCATCATGATAATCATTATAATCATTATCATCATTTCACTAAAACCTTTAATTAAGATAACAAGTGATTAGTAAATTAATCATTTAATGTAGATAAAAATTAATTCAAAAATCAATAATATTATTTAACTAATTAAAGAAACAATTTAACTAAGACTTTGATTGATAAACAATTTGATTCACTCGTAAATGATTGTATCAATCAATCAGCTGATGAGATGAGTAAAAAAACTTGTCAATTTAATAAAATGATAATCGATATCAACAAGATAATTATAATAGTTAATCCATAAGATTATTATTGTCACAAATCACGTTAATCATCAATCGTCATGATGATGAAAATGAAGAAGATAAAATTAACCGTTAAAATTTATCTTTAATAGGATAATTTATATTGATTAATAAATTATCCATGGTATGAATATATATTAGTAGATTAGATTTAAGTTAATCTACTTTGTTGAAAAACTTTTTTTTTTCTTATTAATTTCACTAATCTAATGTTATACTATGTTAAGTGTTTACCATTAACAATATACATTATTAATGGTTTCGCCTAATTGTTAATCATCATTATTATTATTATTGTGATGATTATTTTGATAGGAGAGAATTGGAATAAATTATTCGACTAATTACCATGAAGATGATGATAATCAGCTGACAAGAATCTCAAGAGATTAAAAAAAGAATGAGAAATTTAATCAATAAAAAAAACTGGTTCTTTTTTAGATTGACGATTAACCTTGAACAATGAACAAAAAAAGAGACATTGAAATGTTTAATACCGATCGATAATCATAATAGTATAACTAAATACTATAATTTTATCATTAGATTAACAGATTATGGTTTTAAATTGACACTTTAATCAAGGTAATAAACAACAATAATCATCATCATTTACCTTTTTCTTTGGATTTGATTATGTGTACAAAAAGATGAGGATGATTTTCAATGAATGATGAGGCGTAACTAATTTGGATAACACATTCAGGTAACCATAAAAATAATTTCTGTTTCTTATTGTGTTGATTTTTGTTGTTACATTGTAAAGATATTTACCTGGAGGCAAAGGTTTCCATCATCATTATCATCATCGTCACTTTAAACATAATCATTACAAACACCTTATAACCCAATGACCCCCTTAAGGTTGACATTTTGTACTCTTGGTGTCAATGGCTACAGAAATATACAAAAGTATATATGGTAAATTTGTTGCTTCATAAGTTATTCCTTTCTCTCTCACTCTCTCTGATCATCTCTTTTACAGAAAGAGTGAGAGAGTTGCCAATTAGAATACGATTAACATTGACAATAAGATCAACAATGTAATGGTTTATACTTCTTGCTGGGTGTGAAAAAAACTAAATTGCATTGACTAAATACACACACACTCACTCTCTCTCTCTCCCTGTTATTTACCTAATACACGCACACACGCAGACAAATAGATGCAACAAAAAACACAATAAGATTTAAGGCTGATAAATTGTCATTGTAATAAATGATTTGCATAAATCTCTATGGGCAAAAATAGGGATCAATGTTTTTTTAAGCAATTTGCTAACTTTTATTTGTTTGAATAATTTTTTTTTTTTCATTCTTACTGATCAATTGTACGTGTCTATGTGTGTGAAAAGAGATGAGGAAAAAGATCTTATATATACATAAAAAATGATTACAATGAGCTTGATGGAAATGATGATGATGATAATGACTATGGTAATATTTTCTAATGTTTACCTATGTCCGCTTCTTATTATTTACCTTGATTGTAAGTGTTAAAGATATTTAATATAATGATGATGATGATGTGATTTAATTATTGTTAATGAAAAGTTTAAGTTAAAATGGTTCAGAGTAAATGAGTGTCAGTATAATGAGTGTGTTAACCAGACGATTAACATAGGAAAACAAGGTAGTTCAAATTGAAAGCTTCTCATGGATGAAAGAACAAGGAAGATAAAGAGGGAAAGGCCAGGGCGTTAGTTACCACAGATTTACGGTGTAAAGAGAAAGATAAAACGAGTTAAGGATGATGAGGATGAAGATGAAGATGCTGATGAGTTTGGAGAAGGCAGAGAGAGAGAGAGAGAGAGAGTCCTTGATGGTTTCCATCTCTTTCTTTTTCTCTTTCGATGTTTTTTTTGGATAATATTTTAGTCTTATGCTAACTTCAACTGTACATTTATTTTAACTGCAAACATATCAAATGAAAATGCGTAATTGATGGTATCGTTATCTCAAGCAACTTAATAAGAGCTATGAGGATACGGGCCTCAAGGGATGGGTTCCTTCCCAAAAATCTCTCTCTTTCTCTTACCTTTGAGAGATATTTAATATAACAACTAAACAGGCTATTAACAAGAAAAGGAAGGGGAATAAGAAAGAGAAAGAGGAGAAAGAGAGAAGAGGAAGGGAGGGGAGCCAGGTGAAAGAGAGAATCTTTTCTCTTTAACAAGAAAATATAAAGTCAGTTATATATTAGGAGACTTCAATGAGAGTATTCAAGAGGTAGTATAAATACACAGTGTACAAAACACAATCATAATAAGTGAGTGTCTCGAATGAGAGAGAGAGAGAGAGAGAGAGAGAGAAGACGAGATGAGTGGTTTGATGAAGAGGATGATGATTATGAGTGAATGATGAAAAGAGAAAAAGAGATCTCAAGAAAGTTGCTAAGAAGATCTGTTAAGAATGAGGCTAAAACATAGTGTGGAATTTCAAACAATAATAATCAAGAGAAGATGAAGATAAATAAAGAAGAGAAATGTATCCATACAGAATATAAGTACGAAAGAAGAGAGAGAGGTTGAAGATAATGATGATTGAAATTATGAAAGTGTGGATGCAAAAGAGAGAGAGAGAGAGAGAGAGAAATGATGAGGATGAGGATACACATCTTCCCAAGATAAATATATCTGCTTATCTAGAGGTACTCAATAGTATACTTGAAACATCTTGAGAGTACTTGAAAACGAGAATGAGCGATATGGCAATGATGATGAGAATGATGATCAGAGAGAGAGAGGGTTTGGAGATGAATGAGAGCTGTTGAAGAGTTAATATCATTGTCAACACAATTGCTTATGTGAATATATTCATAAGATGTAGTCAGTAGATTGACTTGATATTTAACACACAAAATACACAACAAGAACGATCTTTGAAAAGATATAACATATTATTCATTGTATAAGATGTATACAATTATCATCAAGAGAATTGAGAAGAGAAAATTATAAGAGCTAAAGAAAATGATTCACAGCAAATGAATAAATAGAAAATAAATTTAGATGCAAATTAAATGTGAATTTACCTGGAATGATGAAGATGTAAGATGGATTGGAGGTGTAAACATACTGAAGACATTAGTTGTCAAGGCTGAGGTTGGTTGGGATGTTGATGTTAAACCGGTAAGCAGATTTGAATTGGGACTTCGTACACAGAAAGGAGATTTGGGTGTTGGTACACCGCTTAAAAGATTATCCAATTTAAAGCTAATCGCAGCTTCAGCAGATTTAGTTGATGAAGTTGACGATGAATTTGATGTTGTTGTTGTTAACATTGTGCTACTATTATTAATAATATTACTGCTACTGTTATTGTTATTACTGGCACAATTTATGTTTGAATTATTTACACGATCACATTTTTTATAATCAGCGGTATTTAAATTACATTTTGTCAATTGATCAACACCAAGGGTTGAAGTTGTTGTTGTTGATGATGATGAAGATGATGATGATGATGTTGTTTGACGACGACTTTTAGAGGAAGATGATGACGAAGATGAATTAGATGATGTTGAAATTGTTGTTAAAGTTGTGGTTGTAGTTGTTGTTGTTGGTGGTGTTGTTGAAGAGGCAACGATTAATGATGACAAGGATGAAGAAGATGATGACGATGATGAGACTCGACGTCCTTGCCCAGAGATTATCTTCATTGTTGTTGTTGTTGTATCATTAAGGTCAGATGCATTTGAACATGTTAATCCAATGATTGAAGTACATTTGGTTTCATCTTTGATTGGTGATGATGATGTTGACCGTGAGGTTGAAGGTACAGGTAAAATTGTTGTACTTGTATCCATAATATTATCATCCTCTAATTTACAGGTTGCTTGTGGTGATAAAGATGATGATACACCACTTGTAGTACCATCAATGGTATTATTGCATTCATTTGATTGATTAGATCCAATCTCTTCTTTAATTATAATACTATTAACAATATTTTTAGTATCAATTTCATCTTTGCTACTATGATTATCTCCTCGTTCATTTTGATTACTCTTACAACGGATAATTGTTGTTGTTGTTGTTGTTGTCGTTAATGTTGATGTTGTTGGTGATATTGTCATCTCAGTTGGATTAACCATGGTACATGGAACTAGGGATGTGGTTGTTGTTGAGGTAGATGAAGGTGATGAAGGAGATTTTGGTCCATCTTCAGCTGATGATGCAGCGATATTCATATGCATTGATGGTGTAAACATACTCAATGCATTTACTGAAGATGAAGATGTGGTCGTTCCTGTGGTTGTTGTTGTCGTTATCACCAGGCTAGTGTTTGTTGTGGTTGTTGTTGATGGTGACAAAGATGATGTCGTCTTACTGGGATACAATGAATCTAATTTAAAATTTGATTGAATATCAGTTGATTTAATATCATCACCGCCTCCAATCCCTTTAATTTCAATACTGTTTGAGATAGTCGATGGTGGGGAAGGTGCATTACTATTATTGTCAACACTATTACTCGAATTACTATTAATATTATTTGAATTAGAATTGTTATTATTATTATTACTACTATTACTATTATGTTTACTATTACTATTTACACGATCACACTTTTCTTCTTGATTTGATTGGCATTTAGATGTTGATTTATGACAATTATCATCTCGATGAAGTTGTTTATTAATTGTTGCCTGGTCACTATTACTGGTTGATGATGTGGTTCGCCTACGTTTAGATGGAGGAGGTTGACTTGTTAATGTTGATGATAAATTGTGATTATCAGATTGATTTGATTTGTTAGTTAATTTTTTCTCAATATTTCCAGAACCATTTTCACAAAGTAATCCCATTACGATACATGATTTAATTGTAGTCTCCGGTGGTGTTGTTGTTGTTGTTGTTGTTGATAATTTAGATGATAATTTACTGGTTTTACTGGTTGATTTAATTAAATTGTGATCTAATTTATTTTTCTTATCCTTTGTACCTTTATTACAACTTTTGGTATCACTACTTTCACTTGTATCTTCACCACCAACATGAATACTGATTGAACTGGTAATCGGTGTAGTTGTTGAAGTTGAAGTTATCGATGAACATGTAACTGGAGCTGTTGTTGTTGTTAACGAGCTGGATGATGATGTTGTTGATGATGTTGAAGGAGAGGATGAGGATGAGGATGAGGAGGAATTTTTGGAATTAACGGTTGACGACGTTTTGACAGGTAAAACTTTCCCTTGTTTCTGTAAAGATGATGAGGAAGAAGATGAGTTTTTCAATGAAGTGAAAGAGAACATAAAAAAAACAATGATAATTTGTTTACGATTTAATAAACAACATTTATCATCATAAATAACAATCAAGAAGATTAAGCAAATACAGTAATCAAATTATCAAGTAATTAGTAAATCCACACCAATGTGTGTATAAACACACAATTGAATAAATAAGAAATTAATTGTAACCACAATTTGAATATTAAATTGCTTTAATAAATCCTCATTTCTAAAATATAAACACACACAAACACATGAATCATGAATGTATTTCCTTGAGTAAACAAATTAGTCACAATTAGATTTAATTTAATTGTAGGAACAAGAAAGAAAATTTTTTTTTTTATATATTTGAAAAAACGAAAACAATATTCATAAAAAAAAACAACAAGATGATGAAGATGAAAATGATGATGAAAAAAAGAGAAAATCAAAATAGTCTCTTGACTATGTTACACTCTTCATCATTCAGAGCTCCTCTCATGGAGCAGAGCAAAGTGAATAAAAACATGATGATGATGAGATGATGATGTTTGCAATATATATGAAAGAGAGAGAGAAGAGAGATGATAACTCAAGAAGGCAAATAAGAAAGTGAAGTAGAGTGAGAGAGAGAGAGACAGAGGGAGTAGCAGATAAAGAGAAATACAATGATAGAGAGAGAGAGAGAAACGTTTCAGTTGCTTTGCTTATTCACAAATAAAAATGGCCGAACCTAAAAAACTAGAACCAAAATATTGGGTTAGAACTAATGTAGTGTTGCCATCTATCGTTATTCAATAACACGATCATGTTAATCTGTTTGCATTTCGAGTCTGAGAGATCAGTTTCTTGGACTTGTAGGTTTCATGAGAAGATGGAATAAGAAAGAAAGATGATACTGAAGAAGAGAGTGGGAAAAGAAAGAGATGAAGGAGAGAAATAAAGAGAGAGAGAGAGAGAGAGAGAGAACGAGAGAAAGGGATACGCATCATGGTTATCATCATAATCTAAATCTCTGTGAACCTTTTTATTTTTCACTAATTGTTACACCAAGTGAAACAATTAAATGTTTTTATTGAATTAAAATTGCACAATCATAATCATTATAAAGATTATATCTCACATCTTGCACTTGACTATTTGATAATTTGATTACTTGATTAACTGTAAACATAGATTATAATTTAACTTAATCTGTAACTAATAATTATGCTTGACTATGTATCAATGATAGTAAAGAAAATGAAGATTGAAACATGATGATGAGAATAATAATAATAATAAAGATTATCATCATTTTCTTCAAGATTTTTCATCTTTTTTTTCTCATTCGATTAGTTTCTCATTCTTACCTTTTGATGATGATTATCTTCGGTCAATGACTGAGATGATCTCTTTTTCACCTTAGTCGTTGTTGTTGCTGTTGTTGTTGATGATGATGATGATGATGGACTAGCCTCACAACCTTTATCCTTGTGTTTGCCTGGACCCGTTGTGCCAATTGATGTAACAATACTAGATGATGACGATGATGATGATGATGATAGATTTTCATGATTTTTGGATGATTTGTCGTGGCAAATTTTATTTGACGATTTACTCTTCCCAGTGGAAGAAGGTGTTGATGTTGATGATGATGAAGGTGTGGTGTTTGTGGTGTTGTTAGATTTGGAATGATTTCCATGCTTCAAGGTAACACTTTTACTTGTACTATTGACATGTGAACCTTTTGAGCTATTTGATTTACTATTGGTACTTGAATTGCCACTTTCATCCCGTTCTTTAATTGATTTTCGTCCACCTCCACCTCCTCCTCCTACTTTAACAATAATATCACTCATAACAGCAGATTGGTGGTCACTTTGATCATCATTTAAGTGATGATGAACATTAATTGGTCCATTTACCGAGAAACCATCGTTTACACTACCATCACCATCACTTGATGTAGATGATGCTGATGATGATGATGAAGATGATAAACCAGATGATGTTACAGGTTGTTGTGATTGCTGTTGATGGTGATTATGATGTTGATGTTGATGTCCCTTGTTACCGGTTGATGAACTCATATGGTTTTTACCATTATTTGTATTATTATTATTATTAAGATGATGATTATTATTAGGATTAGTATTATGATTAGAATGATCTTTATCCTTTTCCTTGTCTTTATCTTTATCTTTATCTTTGTCTTTATCCTTGTCCTTGTCCTTATTTTTACCGGTTGATTTGTTGTTGGTTGAATGAGTACTAGATGTTAATCCTTTACCCACCATTGATGTAGATGATTTTTTACCAGTCTCCTTTGTAGGAGTATTACCATTATTAGTAGCTGATTCTTTATTTGAATTTGATTTTTTCGGTGAATTTCGTTTTCTCGAAACAACACCGACTGTTGATGAGGCACTTTTACCAGTTAAATTAGATGATGATGTTGTCTTCTTATTACTTGTATGATTGCTATTAACTCTATCAATATCTTTACTTTTACCACTATTTGAATGTGAATTATTATTATCCTTAGTAGAATTATTTGTGACAATGTTTTTCTCCTCAATAAGAGCTTCTTGTTCTTTAACAGTTTCCTTTAAGAAAAATAATACAAAGAGAGAGAGAGAAAAGATATTATTAGTGGAGATGATAATGATCAGGATAATTACATTACGAAATCAAAGTGTAAATTAATGAGTAGTAATAGTAAAAAAGGAGCTAAACAAGATTAGTTATTGAGAAGATAATCAAATGCCTTCATATCACGTGTTTATCTCTATCTACATCAGTTAGTTAAGTAATCGCAAAAAAAACAACAATCTAAACATATGATGATGATGATGATAATGGTGATGATTAACTTGGAAGAAAGGGAAGAGAGAGACGAAAGAGCCGATAATCTCTAATGATCGTTCTTAATCCATGTAAGAAAAGAGGTTTATCATCAGTATTATCAATGAAGGTATGAAAAATAATTAATTTGTTAAATAAATGATTAGTATTTCAAATTTATGCTGGCGTAATTATTAAACTATTGTTATTATCATCAATAGTATATCTAAACGGTTGGTTTAGGATATGGACTAGGTTCGTCTGAGGCTATGGTTCGGACACTTCCGACTGATACGTCTAAATTACCCATACGTTTAAAAGCTTCAGCAAATTCAGCGGCTGTCAATTCGTTATTCAATTCTGATGCAACTGTACTTCTTGCACCAAATTTTATTGAACTAAAATCGCTCGTTTTAAAATGATCTGAAAGTAGACGGTGACACTCAACTCGAATAACCGTATTTATCTCTACCAATTGTCTAAAATTAATAAACATTATCGAGGTTAATATACCATTGAAAGTTAGTAAGATTAAAGCAATAAAACCAATTGTGAAACATTCAATCAAACTCGAATTTTATCATTCTCACTATAACATGGTAAAGCTAGAAAAGTGTTTGTGTGTGAGAGAGAGAGATCAAAACAAAATCTTAAAAATCATCAGAAAGATGAAGAAAAGGAAGATGGTGATGAAGAGGGAAAGGAAGAAGTAAAGAGAAACTGAGAGAGGTAAAAAGAGAGATTCTAGTTCTCTCCCGAAGATGTCAATGGCTCTGTGTCAAAGTCTGAAACTAACATGACTTTATCTTCATCTTCTCCACCTTTACTTTCATCATTCAATCTTATCTAGTTTCTTTTTATTCTTTTTCTTATTATTAAAAGCAGAAGGATAAAGAGTGAGAGAGATAGAAAATGTAATCCATTTAATCAGCAAGAAACCAGCAAAGATTCAGGTAGCAAGAGAAGACTATACATGATGAAGAGGAAGGATGAAAATCAGAAATAAACACAATCTTCTGTTGAATGGAATTACTGGGCGTTCATCTCTTTCCCTTCTCTCAATGAGATCTACATGTTAACAAATACACAAAATGAATAAAAACAACAACAAGAAAACAATATATTGAAAATAAAAGGAAAATGATGATTGAAAGAAAGAGGATGATAAAATTGTAACTAATGATTAACAGTTAAGGGAAAGAAAAAAATTGATTCCTTGGAGGGATTCAAGTTAATTTGGTGAAACGCAAACCTCCAGGGAATCATTAATCAGATAGTATTTATAATCAAGCTCCGTATTAGCACCTTGATGGTGAACAAAAATGGATTAAGATTCTGAAGACGATCATGATAATTATCAAAATTTAGATATTAAACATATTCCAATCATCGGATTGGATAGTGAAAGGGAGATACAATTACATTGAGATTGACTATGTATCAATGATAGTGAATAAAGTGAAGATGAAAACATGATGATGAGAATAATAATAATAATAAAGATTATCATCATTTTCTTCAAGATTTTTCATCTTTTTTTTCTCATTCGATTAGTTTCTCATTCTTACCTTTTGATGATGATTATCTTCGGTCAATGACTGAGATGATCTCTTTTTCACCTTAGTCGTTGTTGTTGCTGTTGTTGATGATGATGATGATGATGATGGACTAGCCTCACAACCTTTATCCTTGTGTTTGCCTGGACCCGTTGTGCCAATTGATGTAACAATACTAGATGATGACGATGATGATGATGATAGATTTTCATGATTTTTGGATGATTTGTCGTGGCAAATTTTATTTGACGATTTACTCTTCCCAGTGGAAGAAGGTGTTGATGATGTTGATGTTGATGATGAAGTGTGGTGTTTGTGGTGTTGTTAGATTTGGAATGATTTCCATGCTTCAAGGTAACACTTTTACTTGTACTATTGACATGTGAACCTTTTGAGCTATTTGATTTACTATTGGTACTTGAATTGCCACTTTCATCCCGTTCTTTAATTGATTTTCGTCCACCTCCACCTCCTCCTCCTACTTTAACAATAATATCACTCATAACAGCAGATTGGTGGTCACTTTGATCATCATTTAAGTGATGATGAACATTAATTGGTCCATTTACCGAGAAACCATCACTACCATCACCATCACTTGATGTAGATGATGCTGATGATGATGATGAAGATGATAAACCAGATGATGTTACAGGTTGTTGTGATTGCTGTTGATGGTGATTATGATGTTGATGTTGATGTCCCTTGTTACCGGTTGATGAACTCATATGGTTTTTACCATTATTTGTATTACTATTATTAAGATGATGATTATTATTAGGATTAATATTATGATTAGAATGATCTTTATCCTTTTCCTTGTCTTTATCTTTATCCTTGTCCTTGTCCTTATTTTTACCGGTTGATTTGTTGTTGGTTGAATGAGTACTAGATGTTAATCCTTTACCCACCATTGATGTAGATGATTTTTTACCAGTCTCCTTTGTAGGAGTATTACCATTATTAGTAGCTGATTCTTTATTTGAATTTGATTTTTTCGGTGAATTTCGTTTTCTCGAAACAACACCGACTGTTGATGAGGCACTTTTACCAGTTAAATTAGATGATGATGTTGTCTTCTTATTACTTGTATGATTGCTATTAACTCTATCAATATCTTTACTTTTACCACTATTTGAATGTGAATTATTATTATCCTTAGTAGAATTATTTGTGACAATGTTTTTCTCCTCAATAAGAGCTTCTTGTTCTTTAACAGTTTCCTTTAAGAAAAATAATACAAAGAGAGAGAGAGAAAAGATATTATTAGTGGTGATGATAATGATCAGGATAATTACATTACGAAATAAAGGTGTGAATGAATTAATAGTAAAAAAATAGTATGACAATGTAATTATTTCGGGTCTGAGAAAAAGTGAAAGAGAAATAAAAAAAATGGCCGTTTTATTGTTGATGTATGAGAGAGTTTGTGAAGATTAGTGATGTTCGGATTAGCTGATTACTCGAATATTATTATTTATAATAACATGTATTAATCGTATGTTATTGTGTCTGTATCATGAAATATATTTAGATAGAAAAAGAAGAACAAAAAAGTAACTCAAATTAAAAGATTATGATATCGTATGAATATGAACAAGAAGAGAGGATAAAAATGTGAACCCATAATGATTATTTGAAGATACAATCTCTTCATCTCTAAACCTTTAAGGAAGATGATGATGAATTTGAAAAAGAGATGATGAAGATGAAAAAAAAGGAGTTAAACAAGATTTAAGATTAGGTGTTAAGGAGATGATCAAACGGCTTCATATCATGTGTGTGTGTGTGTGTGTTTAAGTCTACAACAGTTAGTCAAGTCATTACAATAAGCAACAACAATCTAAACATATGATGATGATAATGATGATTAGTTGAGTTTTCCGTGAGCTTTTTTTAAGGTTTGATAATGATGATGACTGGCTTGGGAGAGAGAGAGAGAGATGTACATACTTAATACATATAAGAAAAGAGGTTTATCATTAGTATTATCAATGAGAAGATGAAAAATAATTTATTTATTAAATGAATGATTATTTTTGTTTATTATTTCAAATTATAATTATTTTTCTTTTAATAATAATAATTATCTTATTATATTATTGTAGCTTTGTTATTATTAGTAAACGGTTGGTTTAGGATATGGACTAGGTTCGTCTGAGGCTATGGTTCGGACACTTCCGACTGATACGTCTAAATTACCCATACGTTTAAAAGCTTCAGCAAATTCAGCGGCTGTCAATTCGTTATTCAATTCTGATGCAACTGTACTTCTTGCACCAAATTTTATTGAACTAAAATCGCTCGTTTTAAAATGATCTGAAAGTAGACGGTGACACTCAACTCGAATAACCGTATTGATCTCTACCAATTGTCTAAAATTAATAAACATTATCGAGGTTAATATACCATTGAAAGTTAGTAAGATTAAAGCAATAAAACCAATTGTGAAACATTGAGACAAACTAGAATTTTCATCATTTCCACTATAACATGGTATAGCTAGAGTAGAGAGAGAGAGAGAAAGAGTGAGATCAAAACAAAATCTAAAAATCATCAGAAAGATGGAGAAAAGGATGATGATGATGAGATGATGGTAAAGGAAGATAACGTAAAAATGGAAGAGAAGGAGAAAAGAGAAATGGAGAAACGGAGAGGTAGAGAGAGAGAGAGAGAAAGAGAGAGAGAGGGAGAAGGGTCATTGGTCAACGAAAACGTAGCCATGAAAAGAGAGAAAGAGAGAAAGAATTTAAGATGACTAATGATTCTATCACATTGAATAATAAAATGAATTTTATGACTGAATGCATTCGAGAGGAGGAACAATCATGATAATAACCATGATTGTTTTGCATTAAAATAACTGATTGGAGTCAATTTAACGTGAACATCATTTCAAACAATCAGTATTATATATTTTTACTGTATGTTTTGTATGGTGTTACTTTTAATCTTCTCGGTATCTCAAGTAGGCAAATAGTTAAACAAAAAGTGGCGATAAATATTAGTAGAGGTTAATAATCATAATGTGATCATCATCATCATCATGATAAAACACTGAAGAAAATGATTATTTTTGATTAGTATGATGATGTGTCAAATAATAATCACAAAAAAGATGATGTTGTTAAAATGTGTGTGTATATATATCCACACATAAACTAATAACATTATCATCATCATCATCATCATGAAGGTTTCATTATTTGTAACAGTAAAAAAAGATTAGTCTTTAAGATGGACTCATTAGTTACAAGAGGGAAATTGAGATAACCCTACATGTTTATGAATAATAATTAATGTTAAGATGAGAAATTAGGTTGACTGGACAGTTGAAAGTGCTAGAAAAGACAAACCTAAGGATATTAGAAAGATAATATACAAAACGATTAGCCAGGCCCATGCAGCATTGGTGTAAAAATAGAAAACAATGAACTTTGAATTTGAACGAAGAATCCCAATGAAATTCGATAATAATCCACATAAATTGATTGAATTAATTAAAAGTAAAACAACATGATAATCAAAGTTATCCAATTCATTTTGATTTTTTGATATTCCACTTGGACCAATGGTGTTAATATCAACCTTACTAGATGAAAATACCGTTGACAGGTAGATTACGTAAAGGATATAAATCAGATTAAGTACCATGGAGATTATGTTGAAATAAGTGATCAGGGCGATGGTATCCAATTTTTTCTGAGCTTTTTTCCTTTGAACAGTCATTTTATCATCAACCATGATGAATAATGAATAGTAAAAAATCTCAGTTCAGTATATTCACTTTTCTATCTTTCTTTGAATGTCTATCCCTTTTTTTTACTCCTTTAAATGATTGTATCAACTCAATAGGAATTGTACAATAAATTGTTAACAAACTGTCATTTGTTGAAACAAATATATATAAATAAAAACACTCAATAATTATTCACCAAAAGGTAATTGTTTATGTTGCGTTGAAGCTAAAGGTGAACAAAAAAATGCAACAACAGTTAAATATATGAATGATTATTATTGAATGTATTAGTGTATGTGTGTGAGTCTTTTTTGTATTAAATAACAGTTCAGGTTATGTAGTTGAAGGAAAAAAAGATGATGGTGATGGTAGTAACCTTTACCTTTCAATTATTTTGCTTCACCTTGATATTATATAATATTGAGAGAGAGAGAGAGGAAAATATACTTCACTTTTCACAAGACTCGAGTCATACATCAACAATGAAGGAAAGATATTAACGATATAAACATTATGATGAACACACTTTCAACACTCTTATATACACACACACACATTCACGATGGATAAACAGAAATGGTGTATGTGTGTGGTGAAAATGAAGTAAAGATTAAGAGAAGTAGAAAAAAATAAAGATGAAGACACAGCAAGAAAGAGAGACAAATAGAGAGAGAGAAAAAAAATGGTTTAAATATGAGACAACACTGAAGATATTGTAACAAGCAAAGGAATAGATTAGCTTAAGAATAATAAAAGAGAATAGAATTTATATAAAATTTTCACTTTACCTCTAAATCAGTGTAAGTAAGAAAGGTGAATATTGCAAATCCATCAACAATTTCTTCCTCAAACAACCCACAAGTAGTAATATTATTGTTGTTATTAATAATATTATTGGTTGATCCAGTTGTATTAATAGATGAATTGATGGTGGTAATAGTAGTTGTGTTGGTAGTTGTAGTTGTTGTATATTTATCCTTATCCTTATCCTTGTTGTCTTCCAGTGTCTTAGACATGGTATTCACAAAAAGGCTTACCAACAAACCATTGAAAGGTTTTTACAAAGGTTAAACTAATGGATATCATCAACAATCAATCCTTTATGGTGGTGGAGTTGGTCTCATATTTTTTTCTGTTTTTGTCGGATAGAGAGAGAGAGAAAGAGAGAAAGAAAGAAAGAAAGAGAGAAGGATACAAGAGAAAGAGAGAGAGAGAGAGATGATGATACCAAGAGAATAGAATATATAAAACAATAAGTAAAATAAAATAAAAGATGATGATGATGATGAAGTAATGTTTCAATTGGAATATAATTTATATATGAAACCACACACACAGAGGGAGAGAGAAAAGAAAACACTAAATTCACTTAAAAGTATATTATGATTTTGGTGTTGGATTATCTGTTCTCTCTTTTGGATTAGAATAATTTTTCACCATTTACTATGTAAGAGATTGGCTTTTTTTTTGTTTGATTTTTTCTTCTTCCAATTGTTGGTTGATTATATTTACTATAGATTTTTGTTGAATGTTTATATGTGTAGATATAAAAAAAGGGAACTAAAACAGAGGAAAAAAATAAACAATAGAAGGTTTGATGATTAATAAGAAAGAAAAAAACACAGATGAGAAATTAGAAAGATGATGATGGTGATGAAGAGAAAGAGAAAGAAAGAGAAGCAAAAAGAAAGAGAAGAAAGAGAAATGTAATGATGATCACAATTCTTTATTAATGGGAGAGAGAAAAAGAAAGAGAACATTTGAGTTTTATTGTGCTTTGCTTTTCTACAGCATTGTAAGAGCAGCTTATTCAGCGCCAGCTCTTGGTGTTCATGTTCATTTTAACTTTTGGCGATAATTTTATAATAATTTGATCTGAATGTTATAAAATAAGATTAAATAAATGGTGATAATTTGATGTATAATTGTGAGGTGATTATTTTGTGTATAATTGGTGGTGATTGTTGTATTCATGATGATGTACTTCGGGTTAATGGAGTTGATGATGTTGGTCATGGTGGTTGGTGGGAGTTTTCGGCTGAGTCTGAGGCTGGTGAATCGAATATATTTTTGTTGATGGCATTTAGGTGACACTTTGTGGAGGTGTTATTGTTTCTTATTATGAATTTTATGATGTTTTCTCCACCTCGTTGATTCTCAATAAATTGTCTCGTTTCCTTGTTTATCGGACAGTGACTTATCTTGTGAATATGGTCGTTTACTTGGCTGCCACACTCGCACCGTTCAGGGAGGAGGAAGTTGTAGAATCCGAGGGTTAGTCTGATTTGTTTGTTCATTACTTTCCATGGTGTTTTTTTCTTTTCTTGTAGTATTACGGCGGCGGTCACATTGTCACTGTATTTCTGTTTCCAGAGTTTATTTTTTATATCTGTATTTGCTTGTTTCGACATCGGATTTAGTCCCCACCATATCCTGTTGTTGGTTATCGACGGCAGACATTCTGGACAATTTTTACGAATTTGTTCAGTGATTGAGGGTAGAATATGATGTCTGGATAGCATGAATTTTACCGTAAATTTTACCATTCTGTCAATTGTTGGCGTGTGGTTCAGGGCTTTGTAACTCAGATTCCATGAATCTCTTCCTTTGATCCTCAGCTTTTTCCTTATAAGTTTACCTGTCATTCTTTCAATTTCTTGAAAGATCGATGATGTTATCGGCTTATTGGCTAGTAGTATGGGTGAGTGACTTATGATTTTGGATTCTAACATGGACTGAGTGATGGTGGTGATGACATGGGTGGGAAGGGAGTGAATTAGTCCACTGGGGAGGTTGATTTTATTGATCTGTCTTTCGAGGTTGTTGATTATCTCTAGGGAGTTAATGTAGTGAGAGGTATGGGTTGTGGTGAATTGGAAGCCAAGGATGTTCGCATTCGAGTTCCAATTGATCTGTCCTTGGCTGCTGATGTGGTTTCCTATCAAGTGAGTTGTGATTAGTAGACTTTTACTTTCAGCTGTGGATAACCCGAGTGGTCTGAGCCTACTATTCAGTTCACTGATTATATCTTTGTAGTAGCTGATGGAGTTGTTTTGTTTAAGGAGGTTGACACTGATGTCCAGGCTGATGAAGATGTCGTCAGCATATACACAGAGAAGATGTGATTTCTGGCGCAGGTTGATGAACGCGAACTCCGACAGATAATCATCCGCGAATCTTGATATCGTTTCGTCAATACCCATTATGAATAGAATGGGTCCCAAGGCCGATCCTTGGGGAACACCTTTCACCGTTCTTTTAATCGATATGGTGTCCAGCTTCTGGAAGGCGGTGTTTCTATTAGAGAGGAAGGAGATGATCATTTTGATGGTTGATGGTGAATTGTCCACTCTAAGCACAGCTCTCAGAATTGGCTCGTGGTGAATCTGGTCGAAGGCGCCGATGATGTCAGATTGGACGATGAATGGAGTCGATCCTTTCGATAGTATGTGATCTACTATTTTACATGTAACATCTGAGGTTGACTTCCTTGGTTGGTAGGCAAATTGATATTTGAACATACTCTTTGGTATTTTGTCCGAGAGGATTTCCAGTATATACGATTCGATGATCTTGAGCAGAAAGGATGCACACTGAATTGTCCTGATTCTGATTCCATCAGATTTTGGAATCATTACAGCTCTGGTTATTTTCCAGGCCCAGGGAATCATATTGTTGCTTATCAGTAATCCATATATCTGGCGAAAAAACTGTTCGTTATTTTTAATTAGATTTTTCAGAGATTCTCTTTTCAGTAAATCTAATCCAGGGGCCGAGTCCTTAAGGGTTTCCAGCAGGGGGACGATCTCTATTGGTACAGGTGGCTTAAGGTTGTTACACTGAATATCCGGAGCTTTGAGATTTTTCAGTCCAATCTGTGTATATTCTTCTTCCGATTGATGAAGATTGGATAGATAGTCATCATGGAGTTCGTACTGTTGATTGATGAGCTTTTTAATATTTTTCCACTTCTCTTTGCTGTTTGATTGATTGAATTTTTCATCAATAATCTTGGTGAGCCCATCTAACAGTTTCTCTTTCTTGAGCTTCAAGCGATTAAGATTGAACTGTGTAGGGTTGGACTTGCAGGCTCTCTTAGCGTTTTTTATTTCTTTGATCAGCTGTCTGTTATCGTTGTCAATGATGAAGGGTTTGGGTGTTATCTCGGTCCACGATGTGGCGACCAAGGTGAGCTGTTTGCTGTACCAGTCGGTAATGTAGTTTTCAAGATCCACAGTGGATCTTAGCATCAGAGGGTCTCCAAGTTCCTTCACTATCTTTTCATTACCATTTTCAATCTTTTTCCAGTCCACTACTCGAATTTTATTCTGGCTTGTTTTCTTGGTGTGAAAGTCAATTTCAGCTGATATTGATCTATGATCTCTCTTACAGTGTCCCAAGGTCACCTCCATGGTTGATTTGTTGTAGAGGTTGTGACAGTTGGTCGCTATCACATCGATCCACGATGGTTTACCATTATGTGATATAAAGGTGAAATTGTCACTGCTTGGTGAAGGACAAATCAAACCAATCGAATCAATCATCGATGCAATGATTCGTCCTCTCTCTCGTGAGGAGCTAAGTGTTGAGAGCTCATTTGACCAGCTCGGGTGGGTCGCATTTACATCCGCTTCAAAGATGATTGTCGACGATTTGTACCCCATCAGCGCTTTGGTTAGTTTGTCTATTTCTTCCTTATATTGACCAATGGTGAGTTGTGGAGGTAGATATGATGATGCAAAGGTGATGTTTGTATTGCCCATTTTAACTCGGTTGATGACAGAATGCTTTCCGATTTTCAGGGTTGATATCGTACTACTACTAGGGGTAATGAGGATGATTCCCTCGTTGATGTTGATTGATGAATTGGTGTGGGTTGAGGTGATGATGTTGAAGTTGGGTTCTTGTATAAAGACTGCATCGTATTCAGTTAATTTGTCGACAATTTCCTGTGTCTTATGGACCATTTTTTGACAATTTCTAGCTATTATTTTAATTTTCATAATTCCAGTCGGTGATGGATTTTAATAGTTTGATGGCGTTGGTGAATGAGGGGCAGTCTCGACTTTTGGGTGCGTGGTCAATGTCTTGTTGGTTGTTATTCTTGCAAATCAGACAACCTGTTGGTCTGTTATTATTTTCACATGTGAAGCTTTGGTGGTCATTATCTCCTTCCGGGCATTTGAAACATTGTGGTTGATTGTTGCAAAATTTGGTCGAGTGACCAATGCGATTACAATTTGAGCAAGATCTGATGTAAAAATCGTCTTTATAAGCAGAGCTTTGTGACCCCATGAATACAAACGACTTCCTCTCAATGACAGAACGAGCCTCTCTGCTCAATCTTATAACCACTCTCATCTTCTCGACCTTATTCCTGGACTTGAACTTTAAGGTGTTTACAATCGCTGCTTCCATTTCCTCTGGTACATTGTTACGTTGTTTAAATTTTTCTATCGTCTCAAGTTGGTCAGGATCAATGATAAATGATATTTGAGGATCTAACTTTTTCAAGTTTTCGATCTTAAGTTCATTTTCTTCTTTCCCTGGTAATTTGGTTCTTAACTTTTCAATCAGCTTGTTATCATCTGTGGTGATTCTGATGGATCTGGAGTTGGCGGTTGAGTTGATTACCCTAATCGACGTGTCTTCCTTGGTTAATTGTTTGAGGTTGTTGTGGACTTCCCTGATGTCAACGTCAACCTTGGATGACTTGATGATGACTGTTGAGAAGTTCGGTTTTGCTTTTGTGACCTGTGCATAAGTTTTTGTACCATTGTCAAGTTTCTTTTCCAGATTCTCAATCTTTTCCAATATCTTCAAACAGTTACCATCATGGCCAGAAGGTTCAGCATTTACCATTGTTTTTTCCAATGTTTCCAGGATGTTGTCGAGTTGGTTGTTCCATTTCTGCTGATGACGTTTCTTTGCCGCCTGAACGGTGTTTTCCATGAGGTCAAGGAATAGGATGTTGATGCTTTTCTTCAGCAGGGCCATCTTATCACCTGATACGTTGTTGACAGTATCCACGTGTTCTTGACACATAATTGTTAAGCTAATTATTTTGATTTCTAGTAGCTTTTAAGATACAATTAGGGTACCAAAAGGTTCACTGAGACTTACTGATCCGTTTTGATTATAATTGGGGTTTATAATATTTTTTAATTGTGATAATTAATTAATTAATTAGGAGGTGATTTAAACACAACACATTTGAAATTCTACAAAAAACTGGCTCCATCTTCTGTCAATAATCTTAACCGTTTCTCTCTTTTCTCTCTTTCTTATTAACCCTTTTTCTAGAAAACAGATGGAGCCACATGAGTCGAACATATGATTTTCTTATATTCTGACCACGCCTTTTACTTTTTTGTTGTTGTCACCTTTTTAAATTTTTTTCTAATTGTTGCTAATTAATTGTCCAATTTAATTAATTGTCTTGGAATTTTTAATTATTCTTAATGGTTGATTGGTTTAACATTCGATCTCTTTGTTGGATTTTGAATTGAATCGAGATTGTGATTCATTTGTTGTTCTTTTTTGTTTGTTTTCATTTGGTTTGTTTCCATTTCTCTGATTGAGTTGATTTGTTAATTTCTCTCTCTCTCTCTCTGAAAAAGAGTTAATTGTTGTTTGATTGGGATTAAATTGTCTCAGGGTTTGTATTGGTGTAAATTTTCAATCTTTTTCTGTTACCTGATCTCTTTACCTGTTCTGTTTGATTGAATAATTATATCAACTCTTAAATATATCCTGAGTAATCAACGAGTTATTATTATTTAGTATTGGATTTACAAATGTTGAATGTTAATTTTAATCATCAATCTACACGATTACATGATGAGGAAGTTAACAATTAATTTAATTGTTGACTATTTACTATTTACTAATTCTCTAACATCAATTCTTACCATTTTCATGATTAATTTTGTTTGTTTCTTTTTTTACTACTCATCAACATTTATTTGATTCTCATAAATATAAACTAACCTGATGATCAGAAAAAAATCAAAACTAATTCAATTGCACATCAATCAACAATTTAATAGTTAATCTTATTTTCCACCAAACAGAATCACCTAAATTACGTTGATAGTTTAGTCAACAATCAACAATTAACTTAATCATCAAGGTTGATTATCAAAATAAGCAACAACAACAAAAAGTGAACAAAGTTAATTAATCAAATGAAAAAGTTTCCTAATTAATTATTTCCAATTAAAAGCGACTAATTTAATTCTCAACTAATAAGAAACTTGGAATCACAATAAAATTTGATGAATAATTAATCAACTAATCAAGAAAATGGTTCTAATTGTTGAGAAACAGAAAACGGTTAATCATTAATCTTAATCCAATATTAATGTTAATTTAAATCATCTCTTAATTAACCGGAAGAAGTGTAATAATTATGTTAATCATTTAAACTTGAATAGGTGAATGGTTAACAATTTAAAGTGAATTCACAATACACAAGTTAAATTGTTGCTTAAATTGTTGAACAATAATCTAAAAAGTAAATCAAGTGAATTGAGATTAATCAGTGAGAGACAATCAACTAATTCGCAATGATTAAATTGATAATGATGATGATTATTATAAAAGGAGCAACAATCGCCTCGGGGTTAATTGTTACGATTCAATATCTTCCGTCTTCATCTTAATCAATTTCAATTTTATCTCTTGATTATTTCACCTAATCGTTTGCTCTTAATTATCACAATAATCATAATTCATGTAATTAATTGAAATTATTTAATCATCATCATGTTAACCATGTTGTTGTTAATCATTCATACTGATTACAATCAATTGTGTTGACCTTTGGAGATACTGAATTAGTTTAATTGTTTACATTTAACTTTCGAGGATTAATAATTTTCACCAGGAAGTTAATTGTTATGTTTGTATGTAAATTGTAATTAAAGATTAATTTTCAATTTGTGAATTCAATTGCTGTCTCTTTGATGTAACAATTTGATTTACTGACAAAATAACAATCAACTCATATTAACTGTTTCAAATCCTGTTGTTAATTGTTACCAATGAACAAATCAATCAAATTTAGTAAACAATTAAAACATTTCATTTGAGTTAATCAACAAGTTAATCAAACTTTTCAAATAATAATATCATCAGCAATTTAAAACTAATCAACTCATTGATTTATTGAATTAAATGTAAATATATGCTAATTGTAATCACAATTAAGATGAGTTAACTAATAAGGAACAATTTAATTGACTAAGTTTAAATTGAATTAGGTCACAATTAGTATTAATTGTTTCTTGTTTCTTTCATAATTTTTTTTTTCTCAAATTTTTTAATCAGATTTTATAATGATTATCATTAATTGTATTAATTAGTATGATGGTTATTATAACTGATTATGTGACAATTAACAGCAAATGACAATTGATGATAAAATAATTGGTCAAATCAACTGATTAACTGAGTAAAACAACAATTACATTTGAATTGCCATCAAGATTGACCAACAACAACATAAACAATCAACAAACTGGACAATCAGATAACCAAACAATGAAACAACAATCAAGGTAATCATATTAATGATAATTGGTTAATTACAAGGAAACCAGGAAGAGTAATCAAGATAAATAATAAATTGTAAACTTAAAATTAAATTAAATTCATTTGAAAAATGAATTAAAAGTCAATTAGATTTTGCAACGGTTAAAGTTCAATCGTTCGGACATTAGAATTGACCTACTGGACATTATCGTTGAAGGACAAAGTCGCAACGATGACGCTCAATAGATTTTAAGCTTCACGCTGAAAAAGAGCCTTGAATTTGATGTTGGTCACTTCGAGTGAGAGAACATTTGATTTTTTTCGAATTTTCAAAAAATTCGAAAAACTTTTTCTCTTATTCTCTCCAATAATAATAATATCATGTTCTCATCGATGATAATATTCAACTCTTTTCCGCTTCTTACTATTTTTATCTTCCCTCATCTTCTTCATCATCATCTCACTCATCAGGTTTTTCGATAGAGTAAAAGTTTTCCTTTCGTGATGATCATTTTCACGTTTCGAAGGAAAAACTTTCAGAATAAAATATAACAGTGGTCATCATCATCTTCTTCATCTTCGTCTTCATCGGGAGGATCGTAATTACTATTTTCAGGCCACATCCTGATAGAACTGAAAACTTTCACTTGGAACGGAAAATAAGAAGTTAAAAAAACAAACTTATCTTCCTCCTCCTCCTTCATCATCTTCTCGTCATCCTCATCATCATCAATCCAGTTTTCTTGTATCAACATGGATTCGTAACTTTATTCAAACTTGATCATCTTCATCTTCCGTCTGGAGATCACTTTCTCCCTTAAATCATCTCCCTCTTCTCACTTACTTTCTCTTCCCTGTAGCTTATCATCATCACCGTTATCCTCAGCTTATTTTCATCATCATTTTTGATCTGACTTCATCTTCTCAACAACAACCAAATATTTTACCATTGAATTAGTTTCTTTCCGTACATCGAATGGTCCAAAAATGAAAGTAGGTCATTTTTCCGTTAATTTTAGTTTCAATTATTTGAAGAAAACTTTTTCCAATTTCTTTTCCAATGTTTTTATGTTTAATTTTGTTTCTCATATTCTCATCATACTAATGAATACAATTTTCTTGTCCTTTTCTCTCAGGTGACAATATGTTTAATTGTTTCACTTTCCGTGATTCTAATTGCGGAAGCCTCTCACAATCCAAAGATGAACGTTGATTTCGGTATTAATTTACCTTCGATGTCATTTAATCTTCCGGGTATGGCGATGCCAAAGATGAGGATAACAGCGATAGTTAACAAATCGAAACCAAAGAAACCAATGAAGATTGAACTTCCAGCAATTAGTCTTCATGCTAAATCGTTAGAGGATCCATGGGGTTCATCTGGTGGTGGATCTGAATATTCAAATGGCGGTGGTGGAGGTGCCGCTTATGGTGGTGGTGGAAATGCTGGTGGTTATAATGCCGGTGCTGGTGGTTCCAATGGTGGATATGGTGGTAATCAAGGTGGAGGTGATGGTTGGTCTGATGGTGGGTCAACTGATGGTTATGCCAGTGAAAATGAGGAGGAATATCAAGAAGGCCATGAAGATGGTGGTTATGATGAAGATTCATATGAACAACCAGCTCCACAATCTAATGGATACAATCAAAATAACGGTTACAATCAACAGGCTGGTGGTAATTACGGCGGTGGATCCAACGGTGGGTCTTATGGTAATCAAGAAGGTCCAAAAGGAGGATATGGTCAACAACAACCTCAACAATACCAACAACAAAATGGATACAATGGTCAATCAAATGGTTACCCTAATCAAGGTGAATACAATCAACCCCCACCACCACCACCACCACAATCATATAATAATAATTATCAACAACAAGCTCAACCAAATCAATATCATCAACCCGCTGCCCAACAAGGTTATGTACCTTCACAAGGATACAATCAGCCACCACCACCTCCGGAATATCATCCTAATCAACCACAATCAGGTGGATATACTCAGAATCAAGAATACAATCATCAAGTACTCAAATATGGTCCACCTCGACCTGATCAGGTAAGTTAATTACAATTAACTCTTTAAATTTTGATAGATGAAATTAAACTTTTGCCCTTTCCGTTTGTTCAGGATTATCAGGGTGGTCAAGGTGCTTATCCTCAACAACAATCAGGGTATGCTGGTCAAAATGGTGGATACAATCAGGGTGGAGGTGATAATTATGCTAATAATAATGGGGGTGGTTATGGTCAATCTAATTATGGTCCTAATTATGCCGAGGGCAAAGAATTGTATGTTTATGGACAAACTCCAAAAAAGGTTCGATTCTATCCAGATAAATATCAATCTTCTGGATATAATAATGGACAAAATAATAATAACAATTATGGTCAACAACAAGGTTATGGACAATCAACTGATTATGCAGCTAATTCACCAACTTCGGTGACACTTTCAACTGGATATAAATCACAATCAACTTCATCATCACCAACATCCAATAGCTCATGGAAACCTGTACCTGGTTCAAGTTACTATGGTTATCAATAGTTAATCAATCAATTAATCTACTTAATTATCATTTGTAATATTTTCCAAATTCATTTATTATATAAATAGTAATAATTACCTTTCTTTCAATTGTAATTTAATTTTTCCCAAAGATGAATTGGATTAGAATGAAAAACTTTTCATCTCTTGCGGAAAAAACAAACTCTCAGCATCATCTTTTTGGTGTAATAAATTAAAACTTCTCATTGTCTAGTTATTAATATTTTCGTATAAATTAATTAGAAAGAATAAAACAATTAATTGTATTTCTATTCTCAGAATTAAATTAATTTAAACTCTTCAAAAGTAATTGATTCAATTAGAAAAAGAAAAAAAAGTTCTTTAGTTGTTATTTCATACGTAAGGTGGCGTTCGAATCGTTTTCTAAAAAAACCTTGTTTACTTTTTGTTCAAAGTTTTCGTTATCTTAATTGTTGTGATTATTTAATTGTTCATCAAGATTAATTGATTGGATTTCGATTTGATTGGATTTCCGTTATAATCCATATTCTTTGGTAAAGGTTGGTAAGGTTTGTTTGGATCTTTTTGAATCAATTCGAATGATTTTCTTTCCATTTTCTTTTATTGGAATAATTTTATTTTTCTTTTTGTTTTGTTTATTTTTCTTCCATAGAATTTTTATAAAATTAAATTGTTCTCTTTGCCAAATTTGTTAAACATGTCAAATTTCAAGGAATTAACTGATTGGTGTTTCCACTTCTTCTGGGGTGGAGTGGAATCAAAGCCATTGGAAGTTGGTGACATCTCTCCATTATGGTTATGGTATTTGTCTTTTCCCTTTCTTAATCCGATGTGGCTTCATCTTCATCTTCATCTTCCTCTTTCTTCATATCGTTTACATGGTCAATCATTTTGTTCATTGAACAGTCCTGAGAAATGTACAGAATTTGGGTTAGTATTCTGGTATATGGTGAATCTTTTACTCTCAAGTTCTACTTACAAATGCATCTTTTATCTTCTCCAACGGTGGCTCATTTGCTTCTCTACACTCTCGGAACTGTTTTGAGAGAAAAGGCAATCAATTAATCATTTCAAATTCTATTTCTATATTTTTATCTATTAGTTATTCCATCGGAGAGATTACCTTAAGGTAACTGGCCTTGTGCTCCTCATTTGGACTCTTACAAGCTTCCGTTAACTGATCGTTTGTTTTGATGGTCAGTATGTTACCACATTCAAAGTTATTATACTCTTCTGGTGTCCATTTCTCTTTCTATGGTCATTCAAAATTGGAAATTAAATTTTCTCCATCTCGTCTTCATGGTCAATGGTTAAACTTACCATACATTCATTCACGTATCGATAATAAACTGGATTAAATCCAAACCAACGGAACAAAGTGTATACACAAGCATCTTCAATGGTACTTGGGATCTTCGGTACTCCTTTCCATTCAACCTGAGAATCAGCTAAACAAGTCTAACAATTTGGAAAATCAATTAATCAATCAAACGATTAGTATATTCCATTGGGTACTTATCAATTATTACTTGTAATTAGTGACTTAGTCCCTTTAACTTACTTTTATTGTCTCTTCTTCTTCAGGTGTATACTCATTGCTTCCGAAACAAGTTATCATCTGGAAGGTTCAGAAAATGATCAATTAATTTAGAATGTTCAAAATTTTCAACAATCAATTTGATTATTTACTGTCTTAAATTCAGCGTCTTGCTTTTCGATACATTTATCCACCGATGTTTGGTCAAATTTGTCGAAAGTCTCACAAGCCCAACGTGCCTCTGTTTTGGCTGGATAATTTTTCATCTACAAATCGTCGTGATTATAAAATGGAAATAAAAGAAAACGTTAATGGTCAGTGGCGATTTCACCGCAAGTCTGAATGGTCAACCAACCGAACAAGCTTCAAATCTGTCTTTGTACAATTCCTCCTCGTCGTGCCAATAATTTCGCGATTTGATACAAAATTCATCCAAATCTTTGAATGGCTTGTAGAGTAAAGCTAATTAACCAGAATAGGAAAATATCAGAATCGGAATCTATCAATTGTATTCGCTCACCTTGTAAAGCATATTCCTGATCGAGATCACCAAGAGCTTTGAAAGTACATGACTAGAAGATGGAGATAATTAAGATTCAATTTCCAAGGCGATGGTCAAAGAGAGAGAGATATAAACTTACCAATATGACGATTTTTTCATCATGAGTGATCATATTCTGTTTGAAACATTCTGTTCCCTGGAAAGAAAAAAAGTTCCAACGATTATGAGCAAGACCAATTAAGACTCGCAATTACTTACGGAATCAAATTCTTCCTTGTGATCCTCCGGTGATTTACATTTCTCATGGAAATCGTTTAAACTTTTAATCGGATATTTGGCATGACACTGAATTCGTTTTCCAACTCGATCATTACCGATAACTTTAAGCTAAACAATAGAACGAAAATCGAGAAAATCTATTGGATCTAATCACTTGATTGTTGGAACAATTAACTTACAGTACATGCATGATGAGCTTCAAAATGAGAGGGATGATTAAGATAATAACCGATCATGTTAAAGTCGCAAACTTCACTGATATTGTTCATTCGAGATAAATACCAACGGATATCTCGTTTTCTGCGCTTCGATTGAGTCTTTCGGTATCCCATACAGTCCTACAACAATTAGCGAATTATAATCAAGTACTTATTTTTCAACAATCGACAAGTTCTAGGCCAATACTTACCGCTAATTTGCTCCATTCTTCTTCGGTTAACTTTGTCTCATCTAAACACTTCTTCAACTATAAAATCACGATGATTGGGAGAAATTAACTTTACAATCAACTAAACCAATCCAAGGGAAATTACAACTTACCGATTCAAATTTACTCTGGTGATTTTCGGGAGCTAAACAATAACCAATATCCTTTGGATCCATGATTGATAAACATTGATTTTCCCGTTGCTTATATTTTTCCAGTGATACTTGGGACTAATTTGAAAATTCAAAGAATCAAATTACCGTTATATTTGATTTAGATCTTAGAACTTATACTCACCATACAAGTTCGATACTTGAGATCAAACAAATGTCGACGATGGTGCATCTCGAGGTGCCATTTATGGCGATTACAAAGTTCCGTCATGTTGGTCGGTGGTTCATGATGACGCATTAAATGTGGATGATGAGGATCACATTGGATAAACTGGATTAAAATGAATAACAAGTAGACACTAGATAATATCAATTCCATGATTAACTTAATTTACTTGGGAAAAAAACAAGAAAGTTAAACCACAAAATTGATTCTTCCTTGATACCTGTCGGTGTACTAATGATACCATTGATTACAAACATGATAACATTAATACTTTGGAAACAATTAACACGATCAATAATAGTTAATAATGCAAAAAATTGCCATTGGAAAGTAAACACAATTGTCAACTTATGATTCCTTGATAATTAACTGTGTTTAAATATTTGATTTAAATCAATCAATTTGGTTGATGATAAGTTAATGATGATTTATTAATGGTTTAATAATTAATCTATTAACATTCAATGGACAAGGACACAAACTTTGGTTTCATTAACCTGATCAACAATTAACTCATTTTATTGATGATGAACAAAAAAAACAATCAATCTTAACTTATTTACTTTGGACAATCAAATAGTTAATAATTTATATTTAATCAGATTGACAATCAATCACTGATTGTAACTCTCCTTTTGTTTTAAATTTAATTCATCAAGACTGATTGCTATTTACATTTGATAGCAATTTATAAATTGTTAGCAGTTATATTTTTCCTATTTAATCAACATTTGCAATATATAACAATCAAAGTGTAATAACAATTAATATTGATAAATTATTTTTTTATTATTAGCATTTTTGTTTTTCGTAAATTTAGTTTACAATGATTTAAATGATTAAACTGATTTAAAGCTTTTTGTCACAATTAACTGACAGATAAATTGATTGTTTTAATTGTGATTAAAAGGATTGGGTTATAACAATCAACGAAACAAAACAAAAAAGTTAATGAAAAGACAAAATAAATGACTACAACAATTGGAAAGAAATTAGTATTTAATTTGTCAATTAGTTGATTCTAAAGGAGGCAAAATTAATTTTAATTTAGTTGTGATTAATTTGTGATTGATTAAAATTTTCGTTGTTTAATTGTTCCCGTTGAGGGTGAAGTTGTTGTTGTTGTTGTTGTTGATTGATGGCAGAATCTGATATTTGTACAAGAATTAACTTTATTAAGATTGGTGATTGGCCTTGATTGATAATTAACTTGATTACGATTAGTTAATCCAATGTATTTAGCGATTCCTGATTTAATTTTACTCTGATGATTAAATGGTGATGAAATTTTTTGATTAACTGTAATTAGTTTGTTGTAATTTTTACTATTATTGATTTGATCTCGTTGAGGTTGACTTTTGATTAGCAGATTATTATTATTGTTATTATGACGATTAAATTGATTGTGATGATGATTAAAGTATAATGAAGATGATGGAGATGAGGATGAAGATGAAGAGGAAATGGAAGACGATGAATTTAATTGTCCAGTAGTTAGATGATTAAGTCTACCTGTTGAAGAGCTGATTGAACTTCGAGGTGAACTTCCCATTGAACTTGTGATGGTTGATGATGAAGTTGCGGTTGATGAGGTTGACGAAGTGTTGGAGTGGGTGGAGGAAGAGGAATCATCTGAATATTGGGACGATCGGGAGGGCTGACGATCAGATCCTTCAGAAAATGAATTCAGTGAACATGATGATTCAGTTAATCCAATTGAATCTCGTCGGATTAGATTAGGATAAATTGAAATCATTGATCCTGTTGAAAAACGCAGATTATCATAGCTGGTGTATTGAGGTTCATTTGATGGATAAGGTTGACGATTATAATTAATCCAAACTTGTGATCCATTAATTGATTTACGATTAGCTAATGAACTTTTCAATTGATTTTGCTGATGGTTAACTTGATTCATGGTGATTGTTGGACTGTTATTGTTGTTATTATTATTGTTCATGGTGTTCATGTTATTGATTAGATTGATTTCTTTGTCTTTGTTAATTATTGGGTTGGTTGAAAGTCCATTAGGTGAGGTTGATTTGTTAATTGTTCCAATGCGACATCGACATGGATCATGTCGGTCAAGATAGTGACCAAGAGTATCCCAACCACCTCCGACTCGAACCATAACATGATTACGAAGAATCTTTAATAGAATAGAAACCAATTTAATTAGTTAATCATCTTCTCTGATTTGATTTAGTTTGTTTTCTTCTTCTTAATTGTTGATCAACTTACCCGAACATAGATCAGAACTTTTGGATTACCAACTCGATATTTACCATCGGCAACCTTGACCATTGGAAATTGTGATGGACAAGTACATCGATTGAGGAGATCAACAACCTTAATTAATTTTCGAGAGAAAATAACAATTTAATTAATAAGTGATTAGATCAGTTTCCATTTCAAACAATCAAAGTTAATCACGTTTCATATTTTCTCATGCTAATCAAAAACTAATATCATGAAAGTAACAACAACAAGATAATCATCGTAATCGTTATGATTAAATTAACGACCAATTTAAGTTAATTTTCATTGAAATTAAATTTTCGTGGCTAATTTAATAGTAAAGAAACTTAATCAACATATTACAAGTTAATAAAAGTCTTAAATCAACATTAACATTGTAATAACAATTAACCATTACAATTCAAATGACGATGATGATGATGATAGAGATAAAAAAGTTTCCTAATCAAATTTACTAATTGTTGATTATGGAAACTTACAGAAAGATTTTCAATCGTTGATTGAATGAAATGATATTGAGAAACTGATTACAATTAAGATGAATAATCAAACTAGTTTTCTTTCCAATGATAATCACTGAAAGAATCAAGACATTTAGCTAATTATTCATCATCATCATCATGGGAAGTGATAGACTTGAATTTGCCCTGAGGCTTCAGAATCGGAATATAAAAAAAGTAGGAACATGAAAATTCAATCTAAATTAACTGCTAATGGAAACACAGAATACTAATGATTTAAGTCACTTAATCAAGGGTCGTCTTTTTCTTGCCGTAATTACAATTACAATTAACGTTGATGATGATGATGGTGATGTAGGAAAGGCTCACGCAATCATCATCATCATCATCATCATCTCTTTCATGATGGTAACAATTTGAATTAAATTGTTATTATTATCAAAGATGTCGGGTGATTTACTGACCCAAACAAGGTAATCAGATTTGATTGTTGATTAACATTAATGATGATCATTTAAAAACAAGTGATTAAAGTTAACAAATCTACAACCAACATGATTTTAAGGAAAAGTCTCCAAATAATCAACCCATTTAATCAGTAGCATTTAAATAAATACTAATTTAAAAAACGAAATCTAATTAACAAATATTAATTTAGTTACGAAAGGTAAAAACGGAAACGGTCAGTTAATTGGTGATATACAATTAAATTAAATGTAAACAACAAGAAAATTGAATCATTTAAGTTGATTGGTGGATAATTTGTACAATTAGAAATCAATCTGATTTAAATTGTTTACAATTAGTTAAAGTTTTTCAAAGTAAAATAAACAATCAAATTGATTATTTTGCTTTGAAAAAAAATATCAACAACATTGAAATTAATGTGATCATTTTGTATTCATCTAAATTGAACAAGTTAATTGTGAATTGAGAATCACATTTTCAACAACAACAAAAAGTTAATTGTTACTGTAACAATTTATCAATAGACTTTTGTTATCATTCAATATGAAGTTGATAATAAACTTTCATCATTATCAACACGATGATTAAAGTAATACAATTTTAATCAAGATACACTCTCATTCATAAAACTGCAACAATCAAATGATAAAAGTAAAAAAAAAGTTTTCCTTTATCTGGATTAGATCAAAATCTTTTAATCCAATCAATGTAAACCTATTGATGTAACTTTTACTTTATATTTAACAACAATGGATAAACAGGTAACAATTTAGGTAAAAAAAGTCTTAATCATGATTAAGATTAAGATGATTAAGATAACAGGTAAGAGGATGGATTGTCATCTCCATCAAAAGGTGATACTTTTAGTGGTAAAAAAAAAGGTTAAGATGATGAAAAGGTGATGAGAATAATGAAAGAAATCATTTTAATCCGTTTTCACAATTAAATTGATCATCATTATCATCTTAATCATCGTCATCATCATCATCATTAGTTTCATTGAGTTAAGATACAATAGTGACAATCAGGATACTTTGATGATAAACAGTTAACCAGTTAAATTATCTGGAGAGTTGTTAGTTAGTTAATTTAGTTTCTGATTGTTGGGATGATATTACAATTTGATTAACCTTATAAACACACACAAAATCACAATTTACAGTGTTAATTGTTGTTAATTGTGAACTGTTTCTCATTTCATGTCATCTGATGATTGTGATGATGATGTTTTTTTTTTACAATTACAATCAAAATTGATCATCAATTGATTGTAATATCATATTGTGATTGTGATTGTGTTTGTGTCTCTCAATTATTGATGATAATGATGATTAACGGAAACAATCAGGTTAATTTAGCTTCCTGGTAACATAGTAATTTAGTTAAATACTAAATTTGTTTTAGTATTAATTGGTAACAATTAACATTTGACTTTAATATCATTAGTGTTTTCAGTTTAATCAATTGAATGGGTATTTTCAATGAGGAAGTAAAGTTAATCAATAAATCATTAGGTTTGATTGTTGTTTGTTTCATTACATGCAAAATTAAATTGCTCTTGATTGTTTGTCTGATTGTGTGAGTATTTATCATGACAATTAAGAAACTTTTCCGTTGACACATTGGTAAGAACAATTTTCCAAGAGAAATTAATTAACTAATTGTGATTTATTAATAACAATATTAAAGTTATTACAGTTTTAAATTGTTTACTGATTGTGATACTGATTAACTTAACCATGAAAAAAATTAGATTCTTAATTGTTATAATATCATCACAATCTAATCATTATCAATGTTGTATCATCTTCTTGTTGAATTGACACAACAATTAACTTAATCATTATGATCTTATTATTATTATTATCATCATGACACTTAACCTCAATTATTATATTGTTATATTTGATTATTATTATTATGAAATTTTCTTAATCATGATTATAATTAAGAGAAAAAAATTTCATCATGATTAACCTTGAAAATTTTGTTCATTTCTAATTAATAGTTAATCATTTGCAATTCAATCAATAATAATGATAGTTTATAGTTTAAACATGTTGATTAATTTTGTATTCTGATCATCATCATCATGTTGATTAAATAGTTTGGAAATTAATTAATCAAATACAATAGGACATTGATGATCAACCAAACCTTAATTGTGAACAAAATTAAAGCTGATTAACTTTTTGTTTTCTTGATCAACATTTTGATCATTAACACAAACTGATTATTGTTGCTGTTAATTGTTACTGATCAAATTGTTTAAACCTTGAAACAATAGCACCCAGAAACACAGATTAAACAAATTTAGCAGCTTAATTGTTGTTCAAATATATTATATTAGCAACAATTTAGGTCAAGATTAATCAAGAATCGGTTGAAAATGAACAAAATTAAAATCAGATTGTTGAAGAAAAACTTTATAAGGAAATGAGATTTGAACTCTACAATTTTAGACAATTAACTAACTACCAATCATTAATCAACCCTAAATACTTAAAGTCGCCAACAATTTACTAATTGTTAACTTAAATCCAAGTTCAAATTGAGTTATTATTAATAATGAATATAAATATATTGTATTACCAGGCCTACAATCAACTGGAAACAATTAGAAGTAAAAAAAAAATTCAATAACAATTAAATGATAATCAAGTTAACCCTGATTTAGATTGTGATGATTAACCTGAATAACATGATAATCTTGATTAAATTTAATCATCTTCCTGTCTTGATGATTCAAGTTGATTGTTGGAATCAATTTCAATTCTAATATTGATTAAGTTGATCATCATCTTGTTTCATTGCAATTTGAATAAATTGGCAACAATTTACTAAATAATAAGATAATACAAAGATTAATTTCTCATTAAAATTAACTTAATCATCATTGAGTTTGTTAATTTTTTTTATATTACTAAATCCGGTTCCATCCTCTGATAATCAAATAACTTGATTGTTAATTCCGGTTATCTGTTGATCAAATTTAATTCAGTTTAAGGGAAAAGGAAAAACTTTAAATTCAATTAACTATCCAATGGATTTTTAATTGTTTATGGTAACAATTTGTTCCTATTGATTGTAAACTAATTCAGAGCAATCAACTAATCAACATACTCGGTGAACCTTAAATAATTTAAAATTATATTTCAACATTGATATTAACATTAAATTAGATTGATTAACAAAGTAATTAAAAAAAATTCTCACAATTTAAATCTAAATCTCGTGACAATATGAATGGTTAATCAAAATTAATTTAGTTTCCACCTTAATTATCATCATCATTAAGATTCAATTAACCAACCATAAATTTATGTTGATAATGATCATAGTAATTAGTTAATTGTTGTAAAGTTAATTTGCTTTCACTATCATTACAATGGGTTAAAATTTAATTAGACCAATTTAAAATCATTAGTAACCAATGAATATGATAACAACAATTAACAACTGAATTAACAAGCAAAAAAATTAGGTGAAAGTTAATATTGATTAATCATAATCAAGATTAAAAAAAGACAATAATGAAAAGCGGAACCAATTTGACAATCAAATTAAATTGTTGACAATCAATTGACCTGAACAATTAAATTAAAAAAATGATAATCAAATGGGAAACGTTTTCTTGATTATGATTAACTTGAAAACTGTTTAGTTTATTGGATTAATCGATTCAACAATTAACTAAATTGAGAGATGAGAGATATTCAATTCTAATCATATATTAATTTTACAAAGTAGTACAACAATTTAAAGTTAATTGTTACAATCAAAGGAAATTTTTTCATAAAGAGTTAAATGGTTTTCTTAGATTTAGAGTGAATCAATTGATTGTGATTAAAGTTTTCAAAATGATTAACAGTTGATTGTTTGGTTAATTTAATTCAGGGTTAAGTGTTTCCATCTCAATCAGGCAAACAATTAACTTGATTGTGATGGTTAACAACTATTGGCAATCAAATTATTAATAATAACACAAAATGTTGTTTGTAGGGAATCAAATGATTTCACAATTAAATTTAATTGTTGCAAATTTGTTTTTCTTAAGGTTAATCCTTTCAAACCAAATTCAGTTGATTAACTAATTATTGTCATGCTTTTAAATTGATTGTTAAAACAAAACAATCAATCAAAATCAATTGATTCAATCAGTTGAACATTGATGATAATCAATTTTAATTGTAATCTGATATAATTAATTTGATCGTTTGAAAATTGATTTGTTTCTGTCAATAATTAAGATGAGAATCAATCATCAATTGATTAAATTAAATTGCTACTGATTTAATTTGACTAATATCATTAACAACCTACAAGAAAATCAACTAATTATTAGATTAATGTTTTGATTGTTTATTATTAAAGTAAATTGCTCAAAATTAATAACAATCAATTTACCAACATTGACCTTAAAATAATAATGAAAACTGATCAAGATGATTAACTGATTCACAAGAAATTAAGTAAATTGTTATCAATTAACTCATATCAATCAGCTAAATTGTGTCTCTTGGTCAATCTCCACCCTTAATTGTAGTTTATTAATCACCATCTTAATTATTACAATTAAGGTTTGTCTTGAAAAATTAAAAGTAATAATCATCATCATTATCTAACAATTGAATCAAAATGATAAATATAAATTAACTTTAATTGCTGTGTAACTATTATTGTGATCAGTTAATTTTTTGGTATTAATCAAAATCTAGGACAATGAATTAACTAATAACTTTAACCATAATCACCTTAATTGTTATCATTAATATATCTTAAAGGATTATAATTAAAATAATGATACTAAACAAAAACAATTAAGGGTTGAACCGTAAGTCTAAATTGTAATCAATGATCAAGAATTAAAATTTAAATTGTTGCTAAATCTTAAAACTTTGTTGTAAATTCATTTCAATGAATCAAATTTTCACAATTAATATAAATATAAATTGTAATTCAGATTTAATCATATAACTTAACCACAATTGACCAACAACAACAAGATAATCAGTAACAATTAAAGGTTAATTATGATTAATTACAATTTGAATGATACAAAATCAGTTTAATTTAGAGGAAGAATAAAAAAAAACTATTTCTATTATTAGAGTTAATCATAAATGATTTAAACCAATATGATTAGTTAATTATGATAAGAAAAAAAGAAGACAACTGAATTAAGTTCAGATGATTCTGATTGATTGGGATTAATTTAATTAGAAAAGATCGTTAATCAAAGTGAAAGTTTTTAAAGAAAATTTGAAAAAAGTTTCGAAACTTTTTTTCTTATTTCGTTAAACAATCAATTGACAATCAACCATTTTAAAGTGAAATTATTGATTAAGATTTTTGTGATTAAAAAGATTTAATTGAAATGATACTATTATTAAATTGTTGATTAGTTGATCAACGATCATGATGATGATTGAAATGTAATCACAATCAACCGAAGCCTTAACAATGAATTGTGATTGGAGTTTTTAACTTTCTTGATTCATATTGTTAATCTTTTCAGCAATTTGAAGTTGATTAAACTAATTCAATTAGATTGACACTTAGATAATCAAGAAGAGGATAAAAAAATCTCAATTGAATCAGTAGAAATTGAGACAAAATTTGATTGCTCTTAATTGTTAAGAAATCAGGTAAGAATCAACTAATCCAATAGGTGAGAAAAATATTAAAATGAAAAGATTGAATTGTGATTAAGATTAATAATTAAATCACTTCATTTAACTTACCCTTTCATGAAGACATTTAAGGTTATTGGTGACAATTTGAGATTCACTTTTAATTGTTGATGATTGTTTATCATCATTTGAACTGTTGTAATTATTGATCGTTGTTGTTGATTGATTAGACTCAATTGATTGATTGTCTTTACTTTCTGAGCTGATTAAAGATCCCATGTAACCAGAATCAGGTGAAGTTGAAATGGTTACCAATGAACTTTCATATTCACTTCCATCACAATTATCTTCAATTTCATTTTGATCATCTTCAATTAATTGCTCTGAATTCAATTCACGATCAATTTCTTGTTCCATTTGAACAATTAGGGGAGCAACCATGCCAAAGGCGGTACACTTTCGGGATACCTCAAGGAGACACAGAATAAATGATTTCTCATTTTTCCCCAGAACCAAATCATCAGTTTCAAATAGTAAACAATCATGAATTTTCAGCGATTTACACCAAGAGATAAAATTGGAAACATTATCTCGAGCCTGAAAGGTTTTCGGCTTAGCATTAGCCCGATATCTAAGCTCATCACCTTTGTAAATGGCTTGATTGTTATTATTTGAATCTGCTCCTCCTCCTCCTTTTCCAGCATCATTTCCGTTTCCTCCGGAATCTTTAGCATCATTAAACTTATGACCAATCGATAGTGCTTTATTTATCACATCATTAGCATACCTGTTGAAATAGAGATTGACAAAAATTGATCATTGATTGATTGATAATTACTTTCAAGATCATTAATACATTTATATTGTAATTAAATCGCCAATATTTTGCCAAATTGTCAAGTTAATTGTTCAATAATCTAGAGCCTACATTGATCCTTGAGGGTAAATTTTTAAACAATTTAAAATCAACACACACCCAGCACCTTGTGTGTGTGTGAGTGAGTGTTTATCTGAATGAATATTGTTCAAATTAATTGTGACTGTAAGAGGTTAATTGTTGTTGTTGTTGTTGTTATTTGATATAATTTGATTTCATATGTGTGAAGGAGTAAGAAAAATATAGTTAATTGTTGTTTACTTTGTTGTATCATCTTAATCATGATAACCATGATAAACTAACAAGTGGGATCTTTTAACATGATGAATGTTGATTGTTTGATCACAATTAACTTTTAACAATTGGACAAGTTTATCATGTGGTTACTTTGATTATCATGGATTTGGATTAAAGGTTAAGAGACTTTCAAGTTTCTATTACTTTTCTTACCTGCACAAAATTACACCAGTTTCAAGTTTGTGGATAAAATTATCGGCATTAATGTTAATTTCATATAAATTATTCAACCATTCAGCAAGATCCTCCTTCATGGCCCAAAGGTATTCCTCATTTGACCGGAAGTTCCGGTAAGATCTTGAATAGGATGAAGATGAAGTATCCAATAGGTCAGAATAAGTTGAATCGCAACTGGAATTCAGGTTAATCAGGGAAACTGAATTTTCCAGGGTTGAAATATTGTTTTTCTCACAAGCAGGAGACATTATTTGATGATGATGATGATGGAAATGATTAGTTAATTGTTGACACTATTTTCTGAAAAACTTTTGATTCTGTTGTTGTTGTTGTTGATTGTTTCAAATTCAAATGGTGACTGATGAAACTGTCAAGACAATCTTAGACCTTCAAGAGTAAATAATTTAAGATTAATTACTCTTATGAAGAGATTAAAGGATTAACAGTTGATACCTTTTCCAATCTAATCCCTTTTGCTAATTGGATTAAGTTGTTGATTAGTTTTCTTTTTCTTTTTCTTGAAATTTGAAACTTTTTCTACTTTTCTCTGGACACTTAAGGTTAATCCGTTTTCTTTTTTTCTTAATCCATGAAACCCTCAAGAAGTAATCAGTCAATCGGTAGTCACTTATTACATTATGATGATGATTATCTAGTGATTGGTGTTGATTGTAGCAATTAAATGTTATTAAATGGATTCCAAAGGTGAAGATACAATTTATAAAAAAAACAGGAACAATTTACTAAATCAAATCACCCAAATGGATTTGACTTATTGGATTAACGACCTGAAAAGATATAATATTTAAAAAAAAATCATAAGTAAAGTGATTACGATCAAGTTGATTAAGGTAATTGTTGAACAATTTAATAATAGTTATTCCTGATGATGAGTACAATGATAAAGGTGAAAGTTAATTGTTGACAAACAATCAAAGTGAAGATGAAAGTTTATAAAACAATTTCAACTTTTTCCGATTTTTTTTTTCGCGTCAACATTGAGATGGAAACTTTTTTTTTCTCATTCACAATTACAATTAATTGATTGTTGTTGTTACCAATCATTAAACTTACTGGTAACAGAATAACAACAACAAAAAATGATATATCAAAAACTGATATTAATTGTGATTGGGTATTAATATTGTTAAAATCAATAACAATCAACAATTTGAAATAAATAATAATTTACACAATGAAGGAAACAGTAGTTGAACAATTTAAATTATCAATGGTATTGGTTAATAAACAATTGAAACTTTGTATAACTGTTATTAGTTTAATAGATGATTGTTGATTGTTGGTTGTTGATTGCTGATTGTTGATTATCACAAAACTAGATTCACAGGGTTGATCATCATCAGTTTGAAAAAGGTCAACAACAACATGATACTAACCGGATTTGATTAGGAAAAAAGTTAATCAACGAACCCGGTTTTTTATTTATTCTTGATTAAATATAATCAACGAATATAAATCCGGTACTAATAATTAAATGATCATCAAGATAATAATGATTAAGATGATTAGTTTAACCAGAGAGAGAGAGAGAGAGAGAGGACATCGAATCAGTGAGAGGGGTGGGGAAAAAAGTTCTAACTCTAATTGTTACCGTAGTAACTTTTAATTAAGTTGATTAGTTGTAATATTATGTCGTTTCCTTTATTAATTGTTACCACTAATTGTGATTATCTTTATGATTATTATCATAATATAAGCTGATTGTTAACCCACAATCAATAATGATCAGTTTTCGTGGATATGTTTGTGTGTGTGTCTTTGTGTTTGTGTCTTGATTACACAATTAACTAAATTGTTGTGTGAAAAATAATCAAGGTTAATTTACCTAAACAAAATGTATGGTTCAAAATTAACAATAACAACAATGAACGTTAATCAAATGATTAAAGGCCAATCATATTTTTTAAATTGTTCGAGTTGTTATTTAATCATGATTACAGTTTTTGATCATTAATAATAATTGGTTAACAATTTGATTGGTTTGACTATTTGATTATATTTACTGTTACTTTCAACATGTTTTGTCATTTAATTGCTGCTGTTTAATTTTAATCATCACAATTGTCAGACAAATCAAATGGTTGATTATGATTGTTGTTTATTAAACTTCCTTGTGACATGTTAGTTATTGTCCTTTTTTTTAATTATCACAATTAATGGTTAATTGTTGTTGTTGATCAAGAATCAAATTTGTACGATTTGTTAATTTTACCAGTAATTTAAATTGTCATCAATTGTTTTCCTCTAATTTATATATGTGGATGTGTTTGTTAATTTACCAAATCAGTTTAATTTAAATTCCCACTCAGATGAATAAAAAAATTAAGTAAATTGTTCAACAAAAACCTTAATTGTTACACTAAATTTCAATCATAATTAATGCGTCGGAAGATGTCACCTACAATTAAGCTTAATTAATCATCGATATAATCAAATTTGATTGATTTTCCAAGAAAATTTAAAGTCAAATTGGGTGTTAATTACAATTAACTATCCAACACAATTGGTTAACTAATTGTAATTGTAAAATCTTTGAAAAAAAACAACAATTAATCAATTGCATATCCTTGAAATAGCAAAAAAAATTGATGATTAAAACTAAACAACAAACAACAGACAATTAGTTAATTGCCTTCTGTTTATACAGATTGTCAATCGTTGGTATTTAATTACAATTTAGTTGAATGTGATCAATTGATGATTAATTAAAACTCACCTATTATTATGATTGTTACGTTAATTATTATTATCCAAGAAAAGGTTAATCCAGTTAATGAAAAACTTTTTGGACACAATCACAAACTATTCACAGAAAATCACAATTCATTGAGATTAACAATTAACATTGACACAAATAATTAAGACAATAGTTTGATTGTCGTTAGAGTTAATTGTTGACTACTGTTGATTGTTTTCCATTTGCATGACGATAATCAAATTGTTTACTGTTGATTGTTGACACTTTTTTCATGTCGCTCTCGCAGTTTGTGATGAGAGTTTGATGTGAACTTAATTGTGAATGAATCTTAACTAAATTAACTTATTTAATCTTCCAACAATTAACAGAAAACATCAAAATTCACCATTTGAAAGAATCAAACATTTGGTTAAACCTTTTTTCTCGTATGACGACATTAAAGATCCTCCTTTTTACCTTTCTTTCTTTTCTGTCTATTTTTCTGTCGACTTTTTGTTCCATCTTCTTTCTCATCCTCATCATCATCATCATCATCATCTCATCCTTTACACTAATACTTTACATCATCTTCCTCCATCATCATCACCAGAATCGTAATGTTTATTTAATTCATCTCATAAAATGATCAATTGACGTTCTTACCTTTTATGTATTATATGGACAACTCATCATTTCCGTTTCCTTTTTAGTTTCCATTTTTCAATGATAACCTTTATTCATGTAAACCGATTCATGATATCGGGTATTTGTTTCATGGTTATCATGATATCTGAATATAATTTGAAATTTGAAACTTGAAACACTAAACAAATTGAAACAAAGTGTCATGATTATCATTTAAATCATATTGATTTACCTTAATCATTATAATCATTGGATTTAATTTGTTTCCGCTTCTGTTTTTTTTCATAAACAAAAGTAAACCAGTTTACAATTAGTTAATCATTGACCAAGTATATTCCAATTGATTCAGTTGATTGCTTATCATTGGGTGTTACTGATGATGAGGATGATAAGTTTATCATCCTCATCAATTGTCCTTTGATCACTTTCATTGTGTCGCTTTTTTTTTATTATTATTAATATCAATTTATTATCAATCATCAACAATCAACCTTAATTGACCCTTACAATTAACTCTGTCAATCTATTTATTTTTTTTGCTTTGATTTTTTATCAAATTTTAGTTTAATATTGTTCACAATTAAGATGATGATGATGATGATTATGATTATTAAGATGACAAGTTATCGGTTCTCGTTGTTCAAATGATTAAATTGATATTCTTGATGAGATTGAACTTTAATTGAATCAAAATTTGACGTAATTAGATTGACAATTTATACTTTATTGATGATTTGATTTGATGGTTAAAGTTGTTTAATTGATACTCATACAATTGATTTAATTGTTTAATCAGACTGATTCAATTGTGGTGTTGTTGTTTTTTTTTTGATTGAGGGAAAATTTTTTTTCTTAATCAACAATCAAGATTAAGGTTGATCATCAGAGCTAATTAAAGTTTAATCAGCTGATTATATATTGATGATGTTTTCCTTTGTCAATCAATTTAATAGTTAATTGTTATTCATTTTTTTTTCAAATAACAATTTGATCAGTAAAATTGTGCTAATTTGATTGTAATTAACATTTAAAGGGAAGATACAAAACAACAACAACAACAACAATATGATTCAGATAATTAAATTACTAAGTTAATTTGGTTAATATTTATTTTCACTTTTATCTAAATATTAATTGTTAGTCTCACTAATTTAAATTAAACATGCAACCAAATGATTAACTAACAAGTAAACAGAAATATTAATAGTAATCAAATGATTTACATTCAGTTTAGAGTTAATTGTGTTATTGTGAGTAAAAGATGATTAATTGACCAGTCGTCTAATTGCAAACAATTAACTTGATAGTTGATTATTATCAACAATTAAAGTTTTAAATACGAAGAACCTGAAGCGCCATCTATGAGATTGGAATACAACTAAAATGAGATGATCGAAATGAAAAAAAAAGTTTTTCAAATAAAAAGTTTTTCTTTGTTTAAAACAATTTAAATTGAATTTTGTGCGATTGCTATTAGTTAATTAGCTAATTATTGATGGACATTAAGGTTTGAAAGATGGAAAATTTGAAAAAAAAGTTCTATTGATGTTGTTTATCTTGATTAACAATGTCGACCTTGTTTCGACTTATTAATATTATCGAACTTGTTAGAACCATTTTCTGTACATTTGACCTGGTCAATCGTTCTGATCGTTGATTATATTAAATTGAACTTGATTTACCATTTAACTAATAATACTAATCACCGTGAAGAAGACAAAAAGTTTTTTTTTCTGTTGATTGACTTGAGAATTAACTAATTGTAAATTGACCTTAATTCAGTTAATATAAAACGATCTTGATTATCACTTTGACCTAAACATGAATATTATTATTATTATTATTAATTTGATTTGCTTGATAATTGTTGCTAATCGTTAACAATTTAAACTTAACAATTAATCAGCTGAATCTCTGGGATTTTAATTTAATTCAAGGTTATAATTAAGTGAGTAGGTTGATTATGAAATAAACCAGATTTTAACCAGAAAAACCAGAAAGTTAATCAAATTTAAAGAAACTAATCAATTTGTTACAATCATGATTAGATTAAAAAATTAAATTAAAAACCCTTTTACTTTGATTAGTTAAACAACTAACAATTTAGTCCATTGTTACAATTGGACGATCATTATATTAATTGTAATCAATGGAACAGGAAATTTGATCAGAAAATAAAAGTTAACTTTGGATAGAAATCATAATGTTAACCTTAATTGTTACTGTTCACCATCAACAATTAACTTGATCATGTTCAGTGATTGTGCAAAAGATAAACAATTAACAACACTGAGCTAATAATAAATTATTATTACTAATTGTCACCAATCATTGGAAGGACAATTAAGCAAAAAAAAAGGTAAAGGAAGAGAATGAAAAATCAACACTTTCCCAATCAAGCCAAACAATTGAATTAGATTTTAATTGTTGCTTTGATTTGATACTAAATTCAATTGATATAAAAAAAACAACAACAGCAACAATTTAACCTTAACCACTTTCATGATTTGATCAATGAAAACACCAAGAACAATTTAATTAACAAATCAAACTTTTCCTTTTATTAGAATTGAGTTTTTTTTTGATTTAATTGTTATGATTAAAAAAAAAGTTCCAATGATTTTCTTTAAAAAAACAAACAAAACATTTGATTACTGTAAAAATACAGTTACAAGTTTGTTAATTGTTCAACTTGAGTGTTGATTAGTTAATTATCTAAGATTAGAAGTAAATTGTTGGACAGAAAGATTGAAAACCTTGACAATAGATGAGAAAGTTGAGCATTTGAATGGAAGGAAAAAAAGTACAAAAGTAATTATGGTAAAGAAAAGGACGAAAACTTTTTTGTTCTCGAAAAGTTTTCCAAGCTCGAATGTGATGGTTAACATGGGCAACAATTAGTTAATTATTGGGGTGGAGATGCGCCAACAATTTGAATACCACAGATCATTGAGATGTGATAGTCCATACATGCTTGGTACAATTGAATTTGAGCAATTCCAGCGGCAAATTGTTCCTCGGCCTCTTTTTTACATTCGTTATGTTGTCGTAAGACTTGAGGCTATTTAATCAAATTGAATGGAAAATTAATCAACAATTAGTTAACAATTGAGCTTGAAAGGAATGAGATTTTTTACTCTCACAGGTTAATCGAGACAACAAACATTAATAACATTGCCTCTGGAAATTAACCATAGATGGTAAATCAAGGCTATCAACTGATTCGAGTGGGTTAAGATTTAAGTGAATTCGTGAATTGATTGAGTTAATTTAATTGATTCTCTTACCTCTACATCGGGTGTAAGTTTCTTGTTCTTGATTTCGGTTTCAGCTTTTTCGTAACGATATTTACCATCGGCGGTGAACCAGTTTTCGGCGTTAAGTGCACATCGGGCCACTTCAGTTCGGTGTTTTTCAACCGATTCTTGGGTAATGTTTTCTGGGAGAGTGATTGATTTGAGACAATTACTGATTATTTCGGCTTTTACTTTTTTTTCACTTTCTTTTGGTTCCAATTGTGGACATTTTCCCCAGCTGATTTGTGGAGGTTGAGGTGGTCCACCAGCGGCTTCCTGAGGTCCTGGTCCGGAGACTTGTGGTCCAGCCTGAAGTTGACCTGAAGTTGGTTGAGGTTGAAATTGTTGCTGAGGTAAACCAATTGATGAACCAATTAACACAGATGAAATTAAACAGAAACAAATTAATTTAAACATGATGATCAATCAGATTAATAGAGTCGAAAATTTTTTTCTCTCCACAAAATTGAAACAATTTTTATTTCCACAATTAAAAGTTTTCTATTAATTGGAAAGTTACAATCAATTTGAACAAAAATCGTTCGCAACCAACGATTAATATAAACATTGAGAGTGAGAAACTCACTCACTCTCACTCTCTCACTCTCTCTCTCTCAGTAGGAGTGAGTTTGATGAAGATAAAGGTAAGGTGGACACACTCAGGTAGGTGGTGGGATGGTAATTATCATCAGTGAGCCAGTGAGCTAATCATTAATTTGTGTGATATATATCATGGATTAGGAACCGGTCCTTTAAAATGATTAGTTAAAAATTAGTGTCAAGGGAAAATTTTCACTATTTAATCATCTTCATCATTCATCTTGTCATCCTCATCATGATTATCCAGTAATATTATTATTATTATTGATTATTGAATAATAATAATAATAATGATTCCATGACAATCAAAGTTAATCACTCGTCTTGTCTGGTTTAAATATTATAACTGTTAATTTGGTTTCATCTTTATGATTAACTTGATAAATTATTAGTCTTCATGTTAATAAATTGTTTGTTGTTTGTTGTTGTTGTTTTCTTGATGATTGTGGTTATATTATTATGATAATAATGATTGAATTGTTGTTTGATTGTCAATTGTTGATTGTTGCTGTTTATTTAACTACTCACTCTATCTCCTTGACATGATTAACGGTTGAATTAATCTAATGGGCTTTATGAACACAACAACTTGTAATTGACAAAATTTAAATTGTCCTGGTTGACCCAAACAGTACAATTAAAGTTTTACCATAACAATCATACAATTAAATTTGTCTGTACTTTGTTACTTTCGGACAATTAAACAACAATTTAACTCAACAACAACAACAACAAAGTAAATTAAAGTTTTCAACTTTTGTTAATTTGTTCACAAAAGTCAATCAATTGATTGTTTGTAAACTTCCTTGTTGGAAAATTAATTTGTCTGGTTTAACCATAAATTAATAATTATTTAAATTGTATTAATATTTATTAATCAAATTTACTAATCATCAACAAATTTAATTAAAAGTTAATTATTTACAAAGGGAAACTTTTTTTTCTCATATTGTTGACTAAATTATCCACCAGATGGAGTAATATAAACAACTAATCAATTGATTTAAGATTTTGAAATTTGAATCAATTTCATTATTATTGATTGTTATTCATTAGATGAATTAATATTTTCACAACAATTTAATTATTATCATGTTAAAATCTGATTTAAGATTATGTTTCAATGAACTGACCAGAAAATGAAAGGTAAAAGTTTGTGATTGTTAAATATTACTTTCCATTGAAATGATAATGATGCTGGTCCATGATTGTTAAAGTTAATTGTGATAGTTGATGATTACAATTAGAGCTTTAATAAGTTGAAAAAATTTCATCCAATTGAGAAAACAAAGTTAAATTGGAAAAGTTTGATGTAAATCAAGGTAAACAAACCTATTAGACTATGGTGATTGTGTACAAATTGAATTAACAATTAAGTTTACCTATTGAATGTTTAAAGCAAATGTATTTATATTTATTGTAAATTCAATTATCATCATGATAATGATGAAGGTAAAAAAATACCCTCAGGGCTGATGACCTTACACACTATGAGATAATAAAAGTTATTGAAAAAAAAAGTGATTCACTTTGAAAAGGATTGAATCAGGGCCTATGAAAAAAAAACAACAACAACAATAACGAAGATGAAAGTTAATTGTGGTAAACAATTTACCACTAATCACTTTGATGATACAATCAACTAGAGGTAAGATAATAACTGTTAATAGGGAAAAAAAAGTTCTAAGTGATAGAAAAAGTTGATAACGAAAATGAAAATGAAAGGGAAAAAAAGTTTCAAGAGAAAACGGAAAAGTTCATTTTCAGCGTTTACTTGATATCGTTAGTGATCTGATGATGGTAACTTTGAACTTGAACAGGGGGATGAAGATGATAATAAATATAATGGTAATGGTAATGATGATGATGATGATGATGATGATGATAAAAGTCACAATTGTCTTGCACAAATGATTGGGTTGTGGTTGTAACAATGGAAGTGAAAAAAAGAGGTTGAATATTATTCAATATATTGAATTGAGCATATGAATGAAAGGGAAAAAAGTTCATTTGAAATTGATTGATCACGCAATGATTAAGGATGCGATTCAGTGGGGTGGAGGAATAATGATGATCAGAGAGAGAGGAGAGAGAGAGAGAGAGAGAGAATCATGAAAAAACAAGTAACTCATTGAGAGAGAGATGAAAAAAACTTTGTAAGAATATAAGAAACATAGAAAGATAAATACATGAGCATCTTCATGATGATTTATCAGCAATCTTTAAGTATACATATTCATCATCAACCATGATGATCATGATGATGATCATCTTAAAATTGTATTTGTTATGCTTTCACCAAGTTACCGAGACAATGGATTGTATCACAATGTGATCATCAACAAAAGTGATTCATGTGAAGATGAACAAGAGATAGAGAAGAAAAAAAAATTCTTATTCATGTATGATGATGATGATGATGATGATGAAGGTGTAATTGTGATGATGATAAACATTCTGATGATTTATTTACAATCGTGATGGACAATTATGATAATAGAACCATAATATTTGTACTTTTCCCTCAAAGTGAATGGAGGGAAAAAGTAATAGAAAATAATTCGAGTTGATCAGCTTGATCATCTTTCCCTTTTAATCTGATCAATGATCAAAGACTTGCAGTGATAAATTATCACCTAATCATCATGATAATTATGGTTAATCAAAATTGACCAGGCAAAGTTGCGATCCATGTGTAAATATCTTACCTTTGATATTATCAGAATCGCCTCTCTCTTTACATTGTCATTAAATTGTTAAATTTAAAGTTAATTTAGTTCACTGACCTAACACCGTGATACAATGTGGCCTCGAGACGCCCTGATCATCATTCAGTCATCCTAATCAACAATTAACATCATCTATCCCTCTGGAAGATGATAATTTATCAGTGTAACCAGTTTAACATGATTAAGAATCACATCTCACTCATCAAATGATATCTATTATTATTAACCAGTTTTCCATGGACCTTGATTGTTGGTTTTATCAATTTAATGTATCAAATTAAGGTTTCAATTTGATTCTGTTTATTGTCAATAGTTGAATAAATTTCGTTGATTGTTATCATTATTTACTTTCACTTTCATTTTTTTCCCCACCTCAACTGATTGTGTTAGTGTATTAATATGATTAATAGTAAATAAGTTATCATCGATAATCAATATTATATGATTTTAATGACAATAAGTTAATTGTTATTACAAATGATGATGATGGTGATGAATATGATTGATTATTGATTAATCATTTCCTTTACGCTAATTCGGAGGGTCAGGTTCGTCCTTTGTTGATTGTTTCAAGTTGATTGTTTCATTTCATGGGATTATGATTAATTTGATTGATTTAAGAGCAGTTAATTGCTTGGAGAGAGAAAGAGAAAGAGAGATTGAAATTAAATATTTTACAATAGTTGATTGTTGTTAATCAAATTTTGCTCTAGAGATCAGCCTGATTGTGATGATGGCAAATGATGATAATGATGATGATCACATTGATTGATGAAATGATGAAGTTTATATAAAATTAAATAATTTACTAATTATTATAAAGTAATGAGCGAGTTCAAACTTAATTACTTGAGAGATTAGAGTGAGAAAGTGATTAAGAGATTAATGTATAAAATTAAATGTTACAATTGGTTAAAATTAATCAAACAATCATTTTTTTTCATTCATTTCATCTCAAAATCTCTGAGTAATTAAGATCGGACCTGGTCATCAATTGTGTAGGTGGATGATTAGGTTTGTATGATTGATGAATTGTTTTTCTTACTCAATACAATGAGTGATTTGAAGATGAATAAACTGGCAATTTGTTAATTATGACTTGTAAATGGAAACAAAATGATCGGTTGATTGTAGTTTATGTTGAACTTGATGCTGTTGAAATTGTTGGAGTTGCAATTGTTGATTAGATTCTCGAAGCCTTGAGGCAGCAATTAGTCCGATAATCAATAAAAGGGTTTGAACGATAATCATGATTCCCATGAAAGTTGCCAACGTTGTTGGTTCAAAAAGGTTAAAACCAGTTTCACTTTTCAATGAATCGCCATCAATTTCATCGGCATCGTTACCATTATCACTAATATGATTATTATTATCATCAACATCATCATCAGTAGCAGAATCATTATCATCAATATTATCAGCAGAAACAGCAGCCGAAGCAGCAACTGAATTAACCATTGAGTGATCATCTTCAATTGCAATACCATTAATAATGATGTTTCCATTAGCCAAATTGTCATGATTAACATCACCATTGGAATGATTATTAGTTAAATCATAATCAACATCAGACTCTAAAGCCAATGAACGAGATGATGTTTCTTTGTTATCATCATTTTCTTGATGACCATTAGAATCGCCAGAATGATTGTTTTCAGTTGATTGTGATTTCCTTGCGATTGAATTAATTTGCGAAGGTGATGATGCTCGAGTAATTAGAACACCATTAACTTGATAAGATTTTCCTATGTTAATTCCGTCATCGAATAACTTTGATGTTGTATCACCATTAAGGCCAAATTGTGATGCTCGAATCGATAAAGTTTTACTCATCCGTTTGGTGTCAATTGGTTGACCAGTTGATTGATTTCGTGATTTAATTGAACGCCGTTTACGCCCATAAGAAACAACCATATCATAATCATCCTCTGATCGCCCGGAGGCCAATTGACATTGAACCTAATTGTAAACAAGATGATAAATTGTTCGTTAATTATTCTTTATTGCTATCAAATTAATTCGAGTTGATTGTTATTAACTTACAGGTCGACATCGTTCTAGACACGTTTCAACGTCGGCTTCCAGTTCCAAGGTACTTGACCCGGTAAACGAAAAGGCCTCGAAGTAACTTTCCAATGATTTACTTTTCTTATCAATGGTTCTCACTTCCTTCATCAATTTAGATTCAACTGGACATCTAAGATATGAAAAAGGTCAACAAATATATAGATTAACGATTATCAATCAATCATCAATATAAATATTACAAGAGTCTACAGATTATCTTGAAAGATTAATAAATTATCCTGACAAGTGATGGACATTGTAATGTGATGACCTCGTTGAGATTGACCAACAACTTTAAGCTACTAAAACTATTATCATGAATGTAAGGATAAATCATACGGAAGTCACAATCAAATTTAGAATTGAAAAAAAAACAAATAAACAAAATTACTCAGTCAACAACGTGATTAAGGAATCATTAATCGTCTCATTGATGATTATCATCATGTTGGATGAAGGATAAGGATTAAGATGAAGATGAAGATGAAAAATGATGATGATGGAGAAAACAAAAAGCAAAACTACAACTCTGACAATGACCTGTAAACCTTAGTTGATTCAATGTCACTCTCATGTTAATATTATCATAGTTGTCTCAATGATTATCATCTTAATTAACATCATCATCATCAAGTTTGATTAAATCATTTTCAAGGTGATCTTCTCAAAGGATCGATGATCTTAATTTTATCAACAACAAAAATTACATGATAAGGTAAATCCAATGAAAAGACAGGTAAGTATTACACAAAAACAACTGATTATCATCATGATGATTTCATGATGATAATTATTTAATCTTGACTATCACTGTTAATTAATAATCTCAAGTTAATCTGTTGATGACAGTTGAACAGACAAAATTAAAGCTAACAGATAATCAGGAAAATATTAATTTCTAATTTCTCATGTGTGTAAATATACAATCAGATTTAAAGGTAAAAGTTATTAATGAAAAAAGGAAAAATTTAAGAAGGAAAAAAAATAAAATTTTTTCCTTGATTAACTTGTTGATTAACTGATTGTGATTAATCATAATCAATGAGTGAATTTCAATGAATCATCATCAATGATAATCTGTAAACAACATTGAACAATTTAGAGATTTCATTTTTTAATTGTTAATTCAATTGGAATCTTTTACTTACCCTGTTTGATCAATTAAAGTTAAATTGTTGTTTCCAGTTGAATCTTTGGCAATTAAATTACGGACAAAGATACCATAAGTGTCTATTAACGATAAAACCAAATGATTAATTGTTAATTGTTGGTAACAACGACAAAAAAAGGTGAGTTAATTGTATTTACCTTCATCACTCATGCGAACCTGAACTCTCAATAATTCACCGAGATTAACAGTGTCTTTATCCAATCCTTTCAAATCCATGATACGAAATGATAAATCCGGAAGGGAAGGTGAATTTTGTTCACGATCAGTTAATCCCAATTGACTGTGATATAAGTTAATTGTTGCTCATTAATTGTTACAATTAGAGATCAACATAGAATCATAATAACAACAACAACAAATATTAACAGAATTGCTTGAAAACAATTGATTAATCTTTCGATGCATTAAATTGTAACAATCGGAATTGAATTAGAAGCAATAAATTAACTGTCAAATCCTTAATCCAATATCAACTTACATTTAAATCAATTATCCTCGATTAACCTTTAAAACCTTATAATTGATTAACTTTTAAGTTTAACAATTTATCATTGAAATAGATAAACTTAAATGGTTATTATTATCATTAGATACAAAATAGACTTAAATTGCTTTTCATCTTTGAGGATTAGAGAAGAGGATTAAAAAAAAGTAAAACCGTGAGCGGATTAATGTTAATGATTTAGACTAGAAAATTATCTTTGCCAAAAAAAACGTTGATTTTAATGATTAGCAAATCAAAGGGAGGACACATAGATGATAATTAAGCTAAGCTTGAGAGATGTTAAAATGATACAGGTAATATTAAAGGTATGCAAATGATAATAATCAAAAATAACGATGAGGATAAACGTATGAATGTGTGAGCCTTTACAAAGAGATGATAGTGTTTATCTCACCACAAAAAATTCTGATTCTATGAGATTATAACATGGAGTTGATGATTATGGTGGTATTACATGTTCAGAGAGAGAGAGAGAGAGAGAGAGAGAGAGAGAGAGAGAGGAGTAAAGGACTTGGCCCGAGGTCAATTAACATTGAGCATGAATATGGTAACGGGCTTGGGTGGAGAGTGAGACAGAGGAGGTGGTTGGTGTTGTTGTTGGTGGTGGTGGTGGTTTAAGTAATATTATTATCATGATGTGGGGAGGGAAAGAATAAGAAGAAAGCTGAAACTTTTTCTCTTTTTTTCTCTTTCGCTTTAATCCCGAGCAACGAGTATAAATCCCCTTTTGCCTGAGACCATTTTCTTTACCTCCAAGGAAATTTTCTTGTTATTCACCGATGGAACCGGCCTTAGAAATGATGGAGAAGAAGGAGAAGATGATGATGATGATGATGGAAAAGAAGAAAGAAGAATAAGAGAATTACTAAGACTGTCTTAATTTGCAAGAGAAATAGAGAGAGAGGTAAAGAAAAAGAGAGAAAGAGAGTAAGAGAAGCTCAAAATCGACTTGTATTAACCTTTTGTTATTGTATTTACTTCTTGCAGGTATATTATCGTGTTACTTTGCATTCAGCTCATTATGTCTTAAGATTTTTATCATCATCATCATCATCAGTTATCATCTTTTTCTTTCTTTCTCTCTTTCTCTTTACAAGTTTTTTCCCACAATTTAGTAAGATTAAAAAAACATAACAAGGGATTCATATGAATTTTGTTTTTTATTCATTGACTGTGATATTAATCATGTCACGGAATCCATTTTATCCCTTGTATGATATATTATATAGTTAATATGCTCAACGATTAGGTCAGTTTCCTATTGTCTGAAATCATTAACTGAATTGTTTTGAACTCAAATAGATATAATCATTATCATCATCATCATCATCATCATCATCGTTATTATCATCCTTTTACTAATGACAATGGTTTTGTTTTCCCAGGAAGAAAATTATTCAAATTCAATTGAACTGAGTAGATGAGAGATGATGATAATGATGATAGAAATTGTGTAAAAATTTCTTCAAATTCTAACTATTATTAACTAAATTAAAAATGTCTACTTTCTAATAACATAATTAGTGTTAATTCAATCCAATTATTATTATTATGGAATGTATATAATCATTAATCAGTTGATGAGGGAAATTAACAGGATTGTTGTTGTTATTTTTGATTGTGATTAATTTAATTGTGTTGATACTCACTCAATATTTAAAACAGTTTCTCCGGTTATGTTGCCAACATCATATGAACATCTCACTCCGATTGCTTTATCCACCGATGTGATTACATGATCATTACTCTGAATGATTAAGGTGTTGATGAAATTTCCTTCAGACTATTGTGTCCAGTTAATTGTGTGATTGAAAAGAAAAAGAAACAATAATAATTAGTTAATTGTGTTCAGCTTAATGTGATCCATGTCACTTGTATAATAACCACAAAAGATTATGAGAATAGGGAAAAAAATATTCTTGATTGAAATTGTATGTTAATCAGTTTTAATTTCAGTTAATCACTAATTGTTGGCGAGAAGAAAATTATAGTTACAACAATTAATTATATGGGAAAAAGTTCGTGTGACTCTGTGACTATGTTTTTCTTATCATGGTGATTATGATTAGGATGAAGATTATCATGTCAAAGGTAAAATGTTATCTTCATTCATTGATCTTGACAGTTGCTGGGAAAGGAAAAAGATTGTACAACTTGATTGTTAATCATATTAGTTAACTAATTAATTAAATTGTCAAGATTGTTATTAGTTAGTTGTTGAAGATACACAAAGTTGACATTTAACTAGGGAGGTCTGGTTAAGTTACATATATGAAAAAGGGAAAAGGTCAATGGGAAAATAAAATAGTCGTCAATGAATCCAGGGTCAAGGTTAAAAAAATGTTTGGGTGCTACTGAAGGGTCAGCTTTAGGTCAATAAAGGTCAGTTGTTATTCTTGGGTTACTTTGAATAAGGTCAAGGAGAGGAAAGAAAAGGTAAAGAGGTCACAAGAGACAGGGAGATGTTTATAATGTCAATGACAATGAGAGGAGGAAAATAACGAAAGGTCAATTTTCTAGGTTCTTAGGTCAAGGTCAGAGAGAGAGGAAACGAAAATAGAAAAAGGTCAAAGAAAGGTCAGAGTTTATTTGTTTACCTCTTCTTCGGTTGCACATTCATCTCCTTTCAATTGTATTGGTAATGAGAAGTCCATTGAATTGGCAATATCGACAAAACAACTTGTTGGCCTTTCCCGTGCATATAATTTACCTTGAAAAAGTGTACTCGATGTTACCTTAGCCTTCATCAGATCAGGTCCACAATCAATTGATACTGTAATTAAAAGTATAACAATTAGATTATTACTAAATAAGAAAAACTAAATCAAAAGTAAACAATTGAATTAATCAACCCAATCAACTTTATATAAAATAGAGCAATTGAATTACGGTGTTTGATTGTGTTAATCAAAATGAGGAAATCAAACAATGAGAGAGAAAAAAAATTACTACAATTAAATGGTTTTCGATAGTAGTTTTTCTTTGTGATTAATTGACTGGTTAATTATTTAGTAGATTGATTTTCTTACCGTCAAAACATGTTGATATTTCATTGACAATTGATGAAGGTGTTTTGAGCAGGGCAGCTCCTGGAACTGACCGGCGGGTATGGTGACTTAATGAACAGGTAAATGAGAGGGAATCAAATGTGAATGAGCGACAAATGAAATTACGATTATTGAGACATTCGTCTTGACAGGTCGATACATTGGGCGCGGTGAAGGTCTTGTCCGAGAGAACGAGGCGATTTTGTTTGGATGATTTCCAACTACAAAATGATCGAGGACCTTTTATAATGATAGAAATTAAGAAAATAGCAAATTAGATGCAAAGAAATTCATAACTAATTGTCTAATAAGATTAATAGAGAGTTAATTTTACCTTGAACACAATTGTTTTCCAAATAATCAACTAATGATGTTGATGGTTCCAGACGAACTTGTTTATTCAATGAAGAAAACCTATTGTAAGGACTTAATCGACATTCATTCATTTGGTAATTAAATTCAGCTGATAAACAATTAAATGGTTGATAATCAAGACAAGCTAATTCACATTGTTCCCTGGTTGAAGCTTCGACGACAATTTTTTCAAAAGGTAATCCAACTAACTCTTTACCACGAACTCTTTCAAATGACCAATCCCTATTGGAACACAATGAAGATGATAAAGGCAACCCTGATGATGATGAAGATGATGATGTCGTAGTATTTGTTGTATTTAGTAATAGTGATGATGATGATCCTTGAGATCGAACTAAGCAAACTTTTTCAAAGTAATTGAAAAATGGACTTGATCGTAGATTCCGATCGATTCCGGAGGTTCGTAAATTTTGTCCATTGAATGAACAGGTTCCCTTTTTATAATCAATATTAACCGATAAACATGATAAATCTTGAAGACACAATTTAAGGCAAACACCGGGTTCCAAGTCTCGAGTTATCTTGTACCCGTTAGCGGCCAACATGGATCCCGAAAGGAGTTCAAAATGAACTTCAGTTGAATTACATGCTAATGATATGGAGGAAAGAAAAGAGAAATCAAATTAATCACAATTTAGCTTTGATGAAGTGACAACTAATTGTAACAATCAATCGAGATAATCTTTGGAGAGTTAAACTAACCAAAATTAGATACAAAATTTATCTAATAACTAAAAATGATCAGAATTCAATCAGAATATTTTAATTAAATCCTTTTTTTTTTGGCTTCTTAACAACAAGAAAAAACTATTAATTCAAATGTTGTTTCATTAATCATTGTTGATTGTTGGTTATCATGGTTATCATGTTTATCATCATCATGAAAACCACGGACTTTTGGTTTTCTATTATTGTTAATACATTTAAAACATGACGGACATGAGAGAAAGAGAAAGTGACCTAAGGTCATCGTACGATATCAAACCAAAGAAAATGTAATAATCATAAGTGAAGAAAAGTTTTTTCTTTTACTTTTTCTGCACTTAACCCTGAATACTAAATGATCAACACAAATCATATTTAATTATCTAAAACAATTATCATGTTAATCGTTGCAGTTAAAAGTTAACAACAATTAACATTAATCAAAAAATAAACAACCAACGACCAGAATAAGTAAATAACATTGAGGCAGAATTTCATTTTTAAAGAAAAATATTCAATCAGAAAACATTAATTTCTCAACAATAATCTCAACCATTACTGATTAATCAACCTGACGGAAAATCCAATCAACTGGATTAACTTAATTACACAAGTTAAACTAAACTATCAACTAGTGATAAAGGATAATAATAATTCACAAGGTCACCAGGAAAAAGAAACGGAAGATAATAATAAAACAATATAATGACACAAAAAAAAAGATACTAAGATAATCATGACAATTAATCCTTCAATTCCTTAATCATTACAATTAACTTATATTTTTTTTCTCGTAACGGTAAAAATATGATATCATTATCATGCAACATTCCTAAGGGATGGATTTAATTATCATCATGGTGATGATGATGATTAAATTGTGATAATATGTATAATCTGTTATACGGAAGTGACCATAACTAAACAATATTGTATATTAAGTAGATCTAATTGTAATTAAAAACAATAAAAAAAATTAATAACAAAGAAAATAATAATCAACATCATATAATCATAATGTTTTATGGTCATCAAGGTAACACAACAAATTTTCATGTTTAGTTTAACACTTCCTCTATTATCATTATTATCATAATTAATATCATGAGATTGGGATTATAATGATAACAATGCTTATGGTTAACAAGTTACTTGGGAGAGAGAGAGAGAGAGAGAGAGAGAGAGAGAGAGAGAGAGATTAGTGAAAGAGTAACATTAAGATTTAATGATAATCATATTCATGGTTCCATGTAAATCAGGAAACTCTTGATTGTTGTAAGTTAATACTTTGTATTTAATTTTAAATTGTTACTGTTGTTACTTCATAGATGGACTATTATTACACCTATTTTTGTTCACAGTCAACCATAATTAGAAAGGTTTATAACAGTTAACTTAATTGTCTCGTTGGGATAACATAACAATTACATGTAACATGGTAGCAATGACTATGTGATTGTAATGATAATTAAACTGATGATATAAGTGAAACTGTTGGAAAAAAGTTACGATAACTTTTGAGATCTGATTGTATTCATATTTGTAAATTGTTACATTCTAATAATAATTCTTGATGATTGTTTATAAAGATTATTGTTTGTATTAAACTCACCTAAGATTTGAATGTCTCGTTTTTGATTAGGATCAGATTGATGTTTCAATGATCGGATATGTTTCAATTTAGCTGATTCGTCAAGTGATGAATCAGATTTTAAATTGTTGACAATATAAAATGTTGTTTCCATTGTGATGTCTGAATATATGTCACCAGATCGGACATCGTCCAGTGATTCAAGGGATTTTGCTTGGTCGGATGGTGAAGCAGGTGAACCATAAACTCGGTCAATTTCCGAACGGTCAACTTCTCGACGTCGCCGACGGCCAAATGATACATCGGAACGTCCAGTTCGTCCAATCAGTTTGTATTCATTAACATTATCAGGATCGTTTGTCGTTGGTGTTGTTAAATTAGATTTACAAGTTACCTTTAAATATTAATAGAAAAAGGAAAAATGGAAAAGTAACAAAAGATTAGTATTAATTTCAACTAATTATTTCTTCAAATTAAAACATTAACTTTAAAAGTGAAAAGAAAATCAATCAATCAATCAATTTGAATTGTTGGGTAAATCAATTTGTTACTCATGTTTAAGGTACAAATAAAAAGGTATTAATAACAATTACTCGCTAGATTTAAATTAACTCATCTAATTCAATCGTGAAACTAATTGTTTTGTAACAATCATTATAGATGAACAGAGATTAAGATAAATGATTTAATCACATGGATTGAGTGAGGAGCATGTTAATGATAATTAAATTGCCATTTCAAATTTGATTGATATATTAACTTTTGATTAGCTATCATATTTTTATAATGGCAATTTAATAGCAACATTTTACAATTAAAGGGAGTGTTGGCTATGATTTAGTCTTAATAGTGATTCCTTACCGGTGGACAGGTATCAAGGCAAAAAGAAACGGTCATCTGAAATTTAACTGAAGGGTCAGTTGCAAAGCGAAAGGCTTGAAATGGAGCAACCAGAGCTTTAGATGTCCGATCGGCCTTTTCTAATCCAGGAAATACATTGGGCTCAACGGGACAGCTACAGAAAAAAAAACCAAGACACTTTAGTGAATCAGATATAAGAGAAACCGGAAATCATCCTCATCCATGATGTGGATGAGTAAAAAAAACGCGAGGTGTTTTTTATATTAGATAAAAACAACAGTAACATGTTGTATCCTCTCATCAATATTGTGAAATGATGATGATGATGATGATGACAGAAATGAACCAGGTAACCAAATTTGGCCCCGGAAAACGTTTATCATATAATTTGAAAGTCTCACGGACTTTTAAATTCAACAACAACAGCATCATCATTATCATCTTAATCATTTTAAAAGATTCTCATCAAAGTTAATCTCTTGATGGATCACTTTGATCAAATAGTTAACAATTTGTTAACCATTGGAAACTGATTTCCATTTGCATAATCATTATAGTTTAAATACTATTGAAGCATTTTAATCAACTTATTGTTTTAAATTATCAATCAATTTGATTAGGATGATCATCATCATAACCAGACTATGGGAGTTTTTAACTTCCTGTAAATTTATTGATAGTTTGATAACAGTTATTAATGATGCTATCAGCTGATTTGATTTGAGTAATCAAAAAAAAAATTCTTCATTAACTTACCCTTGATCATCAATTAAGACAACGGATTCACTTCCCTCTCCGCTTCGGGCAACAAGTTCAGAGCCAAAAATCCCAAAGACACCTTATATTGATTGTGAGAGAAGAAAAAAAAAACAAAAAGTAATTAAGTTAATCAGACAATTTAATTGATTTTCATGTACACTAAATCAATGGAAATTAAGAGTTTTAATGATTTATTGTTTACTAAATTATTTCACATGGTAATTATTTGTTTCTGATCAACATTGTATCTTTATTATTCATCTTCTCATCATCGCAATGATGGAGATGATGGAGCAAATTTATGAGTTTTTCATCATCATAATTCAGCTAAAGTACAAACTCAAGGCTCTTCATCATCTTCATTCTTATTTTTTTTTCTTCATTTCTAATCATCTTACATTGTTCATCATCTTGACCAGTGTTGATCCAAGAAAGCAACAGAGAGAGAGAGAGAGAGAGAGAGAGAGAGAGAGAGAGAGAGAGATAAAATTGATCATCTTCTTATTTATGATTGATAGTCTTAATAATAGTGGTCAGTATAAATTCAGTCATGAGAGAATCATAAAAAATCCAATGTCCACTACTGGAAAAAAAATCTCAGTCAGATGATCAATAATAATAATAGATTTGAGTCAATATTTACTATAGAAATTTTTTTCATATGATAAGTGCATTTGTAAGTTCATTCATAATAATACAATTGAGATGATAATTTTGTCAATAAACTTTTTTAAGTACCACACCTTGAGCATCATTATCATCATCTTTTATCTCCTCCTTCTGTACTTTGTTTTTATCATTTAGCATCTTTTCCGGTTAATAAGTTGATTTACTAATTAACAGGAAGTTCAATTGATGATTAAGGTTGAAACCTTTTCATCAATAGTTGAAAAAAACGGATTTAAACTGTAAATAAATTAGCAATTAGAGTTGTGACTTTAATTGTCTTCTTTTAGTTCCTATGATGAAAATGAAATTTAAAATGAATTTAAACTTGAAACTAAATCTTTTTCTCGTTTGTTTACAATTAGAGTAACAATTAAAATGATTAATAAGTAGAAAGAAAAATAAAAGTTAATTTAGTTTGTTTTCCTTTTCTGATGTTTTTTAGCTCATTTAGAATATAAAATATTCAGGAAAAGTTCATCAAAGACTCGGAAACACGCGTCAAATTCAAAAGGGCGTGAAAAATATGATGAGGATTAAGATTCATCTTCTTCTTAAAGATGATGATAAACATTTAAAGGATATTATCTTTCACTCCCTCTCTCTTTCATTTTAATTTGTATCAACTTTGTTGTTGTTGTTTCTTCAACTGCTCAGTGATTAACTTTAATTGCTACTGACCTTCAGGGTGAGCAGAAGCTTCCGTTATAATAACATCAACTTTTACTCAATTTACCCTAACGGTCATTACCTTTTAAAGTAGTGATGGACACAATTAAATAGTAGACAAACAATTGGATAATAATTGTTTCTTTTAAAAAAAAACCTAAAGACAATTAAGGTGTAAATGAATTAATGGTGAAGTTCAATGGAGAAAAGGTTTAAATTGATCTAATTTGATTTAGTTTACAAAGAAAAACTTGAGTTGCGACAGTTTTTACTTTCTCTCTATCTGTCTATTTATGAGTTTTCCCTTTTTCTTTCCGGTTTTCATGGACAAAAAAAGACAAATGATGATGATGATGATGAGAAGAAGATGAGAAAGGCTTTTAAGAAATAGGAAGCTCCACACTAAACGAGTAAGGTAGCAACGTTTTGCTCAACCAACTGTAGTGACAAAAACACGCAATGAAAATGGACATAGTAAGAAAAAAAAACTTCCTTGTCAAAGTTAATTAATTGTAACAATTATACAGACGATGATTAAGATGATGAAGATAAAGGAAGCTAAAATGATGATAAACATCATCAACATCATCATTTGAAGGTTATCTGACCATTGACAATGAAACGAGAGCAACAGACAAAAAAGTTATGAATTGATCATTTCCTCAATTAATTTAGTCTCTCAAAACATTTACATGGTTATTTTTTTTTCTTTACTTTGATTACTTTTTTTGAGAATATTGTTCTTAAATTGATATTAATTAAGGCTGTGTCATTGATAGTTGATAATTGTTTCTTAATGGTAATTAATTAATTTACTTACTTTCATCTAACATTTCCACTTTGAGGTACAATGGATCACCAAGTTCAACGCCTTTCACCTCGTTCCCCGTTGAGTTGACCACTCGTAATCTTATCGGTGGTGTTGGTGCGAGTCCAGTTACGACTTGAGTCATTGCAATGGCATCGCTAGGAAATTAGATTGTGAAACGTGTTAATTATCACAATTTACGATGATTAAATCCTATTGACTTACCCTTCGGAAACTTGTTTACCACTTCGCAATTTACGAGTGATTTGTTGATAATCACAAACAACATCGATTCGTCTATCGGTTTCCCTTAAGATCAGCGGATGTCGTTGGACAACCAATGAGTTAATATAAGTACCATTACCCTGTTGATTGAATGGACAAATAATTTAATTAGTGGGAGGTTTAAAAGGATTTCATGTTCATTAACCCGTTATCTTAATTGTGAGCATCATAATTTGATGATTGTGACGATAAAATTTTTTATCTGATGCTGGAAAACTCATCATGTATAATAATTTATCGTTAATTATGATAACATAACATAAATCAACTCCAAGCAATACAATTTAGATGTGAACCAGACAATTAACTAAATGCTGTTTGGTTAAAGATGTTTACTTAATTTATAGAATCGTGATTAAGAAAAAGTAAACTATTATTAGTTTAATTATATTGAGAAAAAAACACCTAAGATATCACGATTAAGGATTTATAATCATATGTTTACTAATCATTTTATCCTACCTGGTGAAAATCAGTAATACATTTCAATGTAAGATAATTATCATCATGATAATCAACTAAATAATCCATGATAATATTATCAAAACTAATAATTAATCAGGTAAACATATTAAAAGCAAAAGAAAACATAAACACCTAATGTAAATTGTCAAAGAGAGAGAGAGAGGTACTTATTGCCTTAGGCGATGATAATGATAAGATATCATTACGATTATAAAACCTGATGATGATTGTTAATTATTTGCAATTATCTCTTGTGTTAATTGACTTACTAAATTTCGGGTTCCACATTGTCCACCATGTAAAGGTATCGAAAGTGCAATTGTATTATCTGATTCTTCAGCGCCTAAATTGTAACACTCTTGTGGATGTGTCAAGGTAAATAGGCGACCTTTGAATGGACCGGAGGTTTTAATCATCGCCGTCATTTCGTTGGCCTCACAACTTATTGTAACTGTAAATAGAGAAATTAAATTGTTATTAGTAAATTGAAAGTGAAATGTTTAAATTTGCATGGTAATTATTGTGAAAATAACAAACAATTAAGTTAAACATCAAGAGTAACCAAAAAAACTGGTTAATTCAACTTTCACTGTTGTTAAATTGTTGATAATATGAAATTTTGTAAAAAAAAATGGTAATTGTTTGTAGTTAAATTAAAATTATGATGGTTATTGTTAACTTGTGGAACCTGTTTAAATGATTAAGTTAATTGTTTGCTTTGTTAATTTTGTTAAATCAGCTTTTAGAACGGAATTAAATCAAATAATAATACAATTCGCAGTATGAAATTAACTATTGTAATTAAAAATACAACAATGATTAAGATTAAAGCTTTGATAATATGAAAACATAAAATCAATTATTCTTAATCAAATTGTATTAGATGATTCGGATTATTGATTATCAAGATGATGATTTAAATTGTGACCGGATTCACAGGGCGATTCATATTAAAGGGCCTCATTAATAATAGCAATTAACTTAAACCTCGCCTAGTTTTCAATGATTTAATTTTCTCAGCTAAATATTAATAGTTATCAATAGTTACTAAAGTTAATTTAGTTAATATTTAATTTCCATCTAGGAAAATTGTGATAATAACATAGTAATTGTAATGATGGTGATATTTGAATTGTAAATATGATTGAAATGATAATGATAACAATTAACTGATAGTGTTAAATAAGGACTCAGATATTAAATTGTTACTAAATTGTAATAAAGGAAACAAAGTTATATCAATTTTCTGGTAAATTGTTTTGATTGATATCCAAACAATTCTATACAAGGTAAGTAATTAAATAGGATACGGAAGAGGAATTGAAGTGAAGAAATGACAACAATTGTTAATCATTCAACTAATCAACTGTGTAAAGTGATTTAATTGGTGGGACAATTAAAAGGGATTCTGTTAATCATGTATGTCGAAGATTAGAATAAAAAAAAACGATTTTATTTAATTGTTTCAACAATTACGATTAATTAAATTGTAATTTGTGATCGTTATTACGATAACAAGTAATTGATGATTGAGATTAAATTGATTTAGTAAATGATAACTTATCAACTCAATGTAATAGTAACAATTAGGGTAATATTTATGATTTAAAATCAACAAGTTGTTAATAATATAACAATGTTATTCTGGTTAAATTGTTAGTTAATCTATTCACTGAAACGTAAATATAATAATAATAATCATCATCATTTAAATTATTATTATTACTACAATTGGTAATTATAATAAAGTAAAATCGTTAATCAAGCTAATAAGTATAACAATTAACTATGTTTATCTTTTACCTTTCTAATAATTGTAATAACTATTATCACAATTTACTAATATTATGATTAACGTGATGATGTTAATCAAGTGAAGGAAGAAACAATTAAAATTATCTAAATGGTAATAATGATTTGTGATCTAAATTTCATAATTGTGAGTACAAATGGTTAACCCTTTAAGTTTACCTGTGTTAAATTTCATTAACAAGAAGATATTGTAAGAGATTATCAAATCTAATCACGATCTTTGGTGTAAGATAATCATCATCAGAATTGACAATACATGATGAGAGAGACACAATGACACAGGCAAAGAAGAAAATTAAAATTCTAAATGCATCTGAGAGAGAGAGAGAGAGAGAAAGACAATCTTTATGAATATTCAATCTGCTTGAGGTTAACCCTAAAAATGGATTAGTTTTAACACTTTGCTTTTTGTTTCACTGAATCTCATAAGGAATGACAATTAAGTCTCTCTCTCTCTCTCCATGTAGTTGTTGAAGATCAATGTCTTTAACCATTTAGAAACTATTAGCAGCTATATGAACTTTTGAAAATTATTCCAACTGTTTGATAGTAGTTTTTGCTGTTGAGAGAATAGAATATAAAGAAAAAAAAAAGATGGAGAACAAAAATAATGAAAAGAAATAAAAACCAGTCTACTAACAATGATTTCTTATTCTTCTTTACCTTGACAATTGTTTATAAGAGAATTTTTCTCTTTTTCTCTCTCATATGTTTACTCTTAGGCCTTTCTAATCAGTGGTGGTTCACTTAAATCAATGTTATTGATTGTTGAATTAGTTGTTGCACTATTATTATTAGCATATTACAGGTTTGGTAAGGAGAAATAGATTATTATTATTACTGGTTGGTCTACTAATTAATGTTACTCCATTAGGAAATCATGTAACCATGATGGTACTTACCATCGATGCATGAAGCCTTCTCATAGAGATTCATGGGAACACCTTTGGTTGATGCTGATGAAGATAAACTTTTGATATCTTTGATACCATTTTCACCTAGACTCATTGAATCTTCGGGTGAAAGTAAACATAACCCTGAGTCTTCATAATGAATAAACGAACGGCATACAAATGATTTCTCAGAGAGACAATTTTTCTCACAATCAACCAATGTTAATCCAGTTAAATTGACCAAAGTTGAACTTGTCTCCACTTGATAATCATCTAAACGTCTAAAGGTACATCTAGGTGGTTCTATGAGAGAGAAAGAGAAAGAAACAGGTAACAATTAGACAGATAAAAATAGAAAATAATTCCAAAAGTAATCAAATAAAATCACACAATTAATTTAAACTCTAATGGAATCAAAGTTAATAATAAAGAGACACAAAGACAATCAAAAAAAAAAGAAAAGAACAAAATTAAGTATCGATATCGAGATCGGTATCTTTTCGTATTCTAATCCTTTCGCCACCGAAGTGACAATTAAATTGGAATTTTTTGTTTCTTTTAATTAGATTAATTAAATTTTGTTCTTCTTTTAATTCTCAATAATTAATTGTTTCTTTTTGCGATTGTTTACTGGACATAGGCTTTGTTTTATTCTCTTGTTGATTCGTTGTAAGTGATTTGATTTGATTCTTTAAGTTGATTCGTTTGATTATTCGTTTGATGTTTTTTTCTTATTGTGTTTTCTTTTTCTATATTTACAGAATTTAATTAACTAATTTAACCATGAATTTTGTGGATTTTTTCTTCTATTTTCTTGGTGGCAATTGTTTTTCTATGTTTAGTCAACAAATGGACAACCTTGGAATCAACCTCGAAATTAGTTAATCATTAAGGTTTATTATTTTTTATATGTAGAAAATATTGTTGAGGTTAATTGGAAAATAATGATAACTCAACAGCTGATGATCGTCTTTACTCAATGAGATTTATTTGTTTTTTTTTGTCTTCACTATGTAATTTGTAATTCTTATTTTGGTTTTTCTCTCAATTCTAGGTTGTGTTGGTCTATGAGAGTAAATCTATTGGAGGCTAAGGATGGTATCATTTAATTTTAATGGTTGCAATTCATGTCCTCCCTTGTTAACGGCTTGTGTATGTAATTTCTTGCAATTTTTATCCTACCACCATTTTGGATTTTATTTTTATCTTGATGGTAGAGAAGAAACGAACAAAAAAAACAACGTTGATGATTCTGCTGAAAATAACATACCTTGAACACACTGATTCTCTAGATATGACATTGAATTGGAATGAGTTTGATGGTGATTGGAAGAAGAGGGGTGAACCTTTCTAAACGATTCTTGAGATGTTCTTCTATCATGGCGAGATAATCCACAGATTAATTTAACATGATCATATCGAGCAGATCTACAGATAAATTGTCTCTCAGTGTAACAAGCGATCAAACAATCATCTTCACTTTTAATGTGATACAATAGTTTCTCGGTTACTCCATGTAATTGGCTATTTGGCACCTTCTCGAAAAACCAATCAACTGTACAAGATGAAAATGGCAATGGTTCTGACGAGGAGGAAGAAGAAGACAAATTGGTTAAAGGAGAAGGTGATGATGATAAAGATGATGATGATGATGATTGTGACGAAGATATTTCTGTAAAGAGAAAGAATCAAGAATACGATTAACCGGAATTTCCAATTGAGATTAAAAAGCTCATCATCAACTTGAATATTTTCCATCTTCCGTTTGCCAAATTTTCCAAATTATTTTGGAAAAACAAAAAATTGTTCACATTTACGGGAATCGAAAGCGAGGAAAAGCTATGGATCGACAGAATTGAAAAGAAGAAAAAAAAAGTAAAAGCTCATTGAACTTGAGCTTTTACTTCTAATAACAATTAACACCTACAACACCTTCAACAGGTAACAACAATGACAACAATTTATTGATAGTGAAAATGATCTGTTCAATGATTTTCTCTTTCTTTATTTTTCAGATTTTCCATTATTTGTAATTTCTTGTTCCTGTTTCAATGTGAACCGGAAGAAATTGATTCTGATGACAATAACATATTGATGATGAAAGGATAAACTACAGAGAGAGAGAGAGAGAGGGAATATTTTGATTTTCTCTCTCTCTCTCTCTCTCCTCCAATTCTTACGGAAGTTTTAATTCAATACAATCATAATAATCATAACAATATCATGGTGATAATATGAAACTAATGAATGGAATCATCCTGATATAAAGTGAATGTGTTTTTTTCCCATTCAAGTTGGAAATGATGTTCGTCCCTTTTGATTTCAACCAAAAAAAGAAACATTCATTTTTTGATTTCATTGACAATTGAGAATCAAAAGTAATCATCATTACAATGGTAATCATGTTAACTAAATTTAGCATGATTGCATTTTCATTTTAATCTGAAAATCATTGATACATTCAACACATTTTCACATCAAACAAACTAAACATTGTTTGATTGTTGAAATTTACTTTCACTTCCGAGGAAAATAATTTTCAATCAAACAATAATTTAACCTCTTCCTTTCCTAACAATTAACGAAAACAAAAAAAAAATCAAACTCTAACCTTATTGAGATTAACTCAAAATCTAATTGTTAACCTCCCAAATTATTGATAATCTTTTATTTTTATCTAATATTATCAATTCAATTGATTAACAGCCAATAGTAAATACAAAAAAAAGATGATCAATCCTTAATTGTAGGTGAGAAATCAAATGTTGAATGAAAAAAAAACTTTAACGATTGATAACAAAAAAATTAAAACCTTAATTGTGTTCTGATTGAATTGATTTTGATCAATACAAGTGTAAAAAAAAGTTTGATCAACATATTTCAAGGTTTCGTTAATATCATTAACTGAATTAGATTAATATACTATTACATTTGATTACAATTACTCCATAGACATAGATTGTCATTAAATTGTCTTACGATTTGCTTGGTTAATCAATTGATTGTTATCTGAACATTTTGATTGATAAAAAATTTTGGTGAAAAAAATTGATCATTCAGATTTGATTCTATATGTTAAATTGTTGAGAGTTGATTGTTTACCTCAAAGCAATTTGATTCATCTCAATTGAAGGTGAGTAAAATGATTTAATATTAACAATTTATTCAGTCAACAATTAAGTTGCTAATAAATTTTTAATCTTTTAAATTAAGTATTTAATTGTTAATCATTTTTTTTTTCTTCTCTTTTTTCTTACAGTTTTAATTGCGATTTAATTTAGTTAATTAACTTACCTCTTAATGGTAAACATATTTTCCTATGATAATTCCAGTTGATGTTTGGTTGTAAATTGTAATTAACTACTGGAGCTAATGAGGAATTAATCAAATAACAATTATAATTGTTACCATTAAAAAAATAAGCTTCACAAGTTGGATTTGATTGACAATGGTGATTACATTGGCTCCAATAATTTTGATTACTTTGATTAACTTTCATCATCTCTAATTGTGACAATTTACTCAATAATTGATCATTTGTTTTATAACCCATTGTCCGTATAAAGGTTTCCCTAAATCCAGTTGGACAGTAATTAGTTAATTGTTTCAATTGAGAAGAGGAATCATTTTTTTCATTTCTTATATTTTCATCTAACAATTTAATTGTTATTGTTGTTAAATTATTTACTATTGGTGATGATGTTGATGATAATGATAATCCATTGATGACACTCACAAGTAATAAACTAATTGTAATTAACATCCATTGATTATCGTTGTTAATCATATTTGATTTCATAGTCATAATGATTAATTGACAAAGCAAAGGAAACAAAAATTAAAACTGAATTAACTTAATTTCAGACAATTTGAATTTTTTTTTTCTCGTTTAACTGTTTTAACTTAAATCATACAATTAAAACAAATTTTAATCACTTCCAGTGAACATAGTGATTAGCCAAATTGTTGATAATCAAACAATAATCTAAATTGTTAGATAACATAATAAATTGTAAAAGTTAATTGTTATTAGAAAATTTCATTTCTCAATTTTGATGAAATATTGATTGGTACAAATTTGTTTTAATTGTTGATAAAATTAACCATCATTTTGTTTTCTGTCCATCAATAACAATTAACAATCCACAATAATATAATGATGATTATGATTAAGATGATGATAAATTACACAAATGATTAAATCTAATTGTCACTTATTGGTAATATTGAAAAAAAGACTTTCGATTAAATTTTCTCGAACTAAATTAACTTTATAGTTTGTTGGCCGATTGCAATGATTGGCACTGATTAGAAGAGCATTTTGTTCAATTGTCCGATGAGAATCAAGTTAATTGTGATTAAATTGATGATTGTAACTGATAGGAACAAGGTAACAATCAAAATCACAGGTAAAGTATTTAGATGAACACTAAATAAGTGAATGTAACCATAGAATAACTTTTTGCTATTCTTAACTTAGAATCTTCAAATTTTTATCTTCTCTCTCTCTCTCTCTCTCTCTCTCTCTCTCTCTCTCTCTCTCTCTTTCTCACCTTTCCCACCTTATCATCCTCATCATCATATTACCTTTCTTTTTCTCTTTCTTAATCATCTTCCTTAAAGACAGGTTTATATCCTGAGGCGGAGTAAGAAAAGGGAACCAACAATTTAGATTCTGGATTAAGGGGCTAACCCTCAACAGAAATTTAATCAACTAATGCCATCTATTTGATAGTGAATCTGTTAATCAAATAAAATCAATTTACAAATTCTAGTTGATTGAACAATTAACCAAAAATGATTTTCCAACGAATAAACTTTTCCTCTGATCTTCCCTTGATTGTAATTCTAATTGAATTGATATTTTTTTCTCAATTCCTTATCAACGAATTGATTGTAAATAATGATAAACTTTTGATCAATTAAACTTCAATTAAACTGTTCAAGTTAATCTTCAATTTGTTTGATGAGTGAAAAAGTTTTCTCAAAACTCCAAATGAAAAAGTTATTAAAACTTTTGGAGAAAATAAGTTTAACTTTGGCGGTGAAAATTTAGTTCTTTGAAAGAAAACAGGTGGAGTTAAAATCGTTGGAATTTTTTTCAAATCTTTTGATGAGTCATCAGTTGTATTCTATCAAATATCTGAATCAATTGTCGAGATACAAATAATCCCCATTGACGATAATGTTAAACTTTGATCGCTTTTTGTATCTAAAAGGAAAAACAAACTGATAACCGAGTTAAAAGCTTTTCCTCTCTTTAAAAGGGAGTATTCAAATTCCGGAATCGGGCGAAAAACCGGATAACCGAGAAGAAGAAAAAAATTTCCGATTTTCTACCAACCAAACTAATCTAAATCTCTCTTATTTAAATACTCAAAATTCACACATTTCATCTAAACAATTAAAATCAATTTTATATTCTCTTTAATCAACTGATCACACAAATTAAACGATTTAAATGATTCAATTTCTAAAAGAATCCAAGTTCCAATTAATTCCAATAGGTGGCGTTGCATGTTCTCTTTTCCATTGGAAATGATGATGTATGATAACCGAAAATTGTTCTTATTCCGCTAATCCAATTACCGTGTAACCGCAAGAGCTTAAAAGCCTTTAGGTTAAGATTTTAATCTTGTTGTTGTTGGTATGGAATCAGTTGATATGTGTTTTTATTTCATTTTAATTGTTTGAAGTTGATTATTATTAGTTTAGTTGATTTGTTTATTTTTGTTTATTCGCTGATTTCACCATTTGTCTTCAACTTCTCTTGAAGAATTAATTGAAACCAATACGAAGAAATTAAATCCCCACACAAGGAGAAAATCATGGCTCTCACCCTAAATTCATCTTCTCACCACAATAATAGTAATTCTAATAATAACAACAGTAGCAGTGGTGGTGGTGGTGTTTCTGTTGGTGTTAATGGTAGTAATGGTAGTGGTGGTGGTGGTGGTAATCGAATCAATTTACGTGAATCTTTAAAAGGATTATATTGTCCCTTCCATTCCCGTGGTTATTGTAAATTTGCCTCAGATTGTTCTTTCTCCCATGAAAGTCGATCGATTCGTGTACCTGATGATGTTTGCTATTTCAATCTATCTAAACAATGTTTCTCTGGTAATGAATGTCGCTTCCTTCATATTGATGCAATTACCCTGCTAGGCCTTCAAGATTATAGTAACAATTCAGACACAAACTCTACTCCTTCAAATAATAATAATAATAATAATAATAATTGTACAACAACAAACAATAACAACCATAACCATCATAGTTCATCACCTCAATCAACAACATCTTTATCATCGAAATCTTCTTCATCATCTTCATCATCATCATCTTCATCTTCTTCTTCTTCTTCTTCTTCTTCTTCTGACCATATCAAATTTAATGTACCCACTATTAGTGAATTAAATTGTAGCTCTTCTAGTGGTGGTGGAGGTGGTGGTGTCGTCATCGGTAATGGTATCGGTAGTAGTAGTAGTGGTACTGGTAATAAAAAATTTCTCAGCAATATTTCCTCTTTATGCTCAGCTTCCTCATCTGCCTTGTCCATTTCAAATTCATCAGCTAATCCTTCAAATAGCACGCTAACAAATTCAACAACTTCAAACACCAAATCAACAACAACAACAACAACAACAACAACCAGTAACAATAATAATAAAATAAATAACACTTCAAGCCAAGGTAACAAATTGGGTGCTTGGAGTTCACCCTTACAGATAACTCCCATCAACAGTGATTCCCAAAACCAACAAGACAGACGATCTCTCCCTTTGTGCCCCTTTGCCAGAGTCTCTGATCATTGTCCCCATGAAAATTGTACCTACCTACATGGTGATCTATGCGATTTTTGTAATTGCCTATGTCTTCATCCGTACAATACTGATCAAAGGGATTTCCATCGAGAAGAATGTATCAAGGAACACGAGAGAGAAATGGAACAAGCTTTCGCTATCCAACGAAGTAATGATAAAGCTTGTGGAATTTGTATGGACATTATCATGGACAAGGAATTACCGGTTGAAAGGCGTTTTGGTATATTAGAGAAATGTGACCACGTCTTTTGTCTAACCTGCATTCGTAAATGGAGACAAACGGAACAATTGGACAAAAAGACAATCCGATCCTGCCCCGAGTGCCGGATATTTTCTGCATTTGTTATACCCAGTCAGTATTGGTATGACAGTGGTGAAGAGAAAGACAGGTTAATAACCAATTACAAGAAAGCCCTAAGTCAAAAACCTTGTAAACATTTCAATCAAGGCCAAGGAACATGTCCCTTTGCTGGAGCTTGTTTCTACCTTCATGCCTACCCAGATGGAAGAAAGGTTGACATGCCTCCCCCAACATCAAGGAGAAGAAGCAACAATGAGTCAGAATCATCTAATTTCAGGGTAAGTTCTCATTTCTTTTATTTTTTTTCTTTCTCCATTCTTCTTCTTCTTCCTTTCGTCCTTGTATTGGTATTGACCGAATGTTACGTTTTGTTGTGTTCTCTTTCTTTTAAAACAAACACGTAGATAGCGAAAGCTCTTGATTGATGTTAATTGTCTTTCTCTATAAAATGTACTTATAATTAGCTTATCAACGCAGTTGAACATGAAAAGCGTCGCGTCAAGTAAACTCAAAAATCTATCAACGCAATCAACGGAAGTTCAATATTCATTTTATGTTTCATGTTTCATGATGTTTCCTCTTTTCTCTTTCTTTCTCTCTCTCTCTCTTTCTCTGTTCTTCTCATCATCTTTCATCCTTTTTTCTCTTCAATCATCATTTTTCTCTCTTGGTGATTTATTCTGTTCTCTTTCTTTGGTTTCTTTTCCTTCTTAATTGATAGTATAGATTTTAAATGTTGGGTCTCTATCATCATCATCATCATCATCATTAAGATTATTTATTTCCATATCATAATTGATCAGCAAATTAATTCTCTTTTTTTTCTTTCCTTCATTTTCTCATTTAGAATATGCTTCTTTGGAATTATCTTGAATTTCGTCAAGATAATCGACTACTGACCTTAGACTATTTGGAACTTCTAGATACAGCTGATCAAGAGCTTTTAAGCTCATTCGTTTTCTCGGACACCGAAGATGAGTCCGAATGGGGTTCATTTGCTGATTTTCCTTAATTGTCGATACCTGGTTAATCCTTTTCCTTTCTCTTAAATTTACCAATTTAAATTCTCATCTCTTTCTTTCTCTCTGTTTATCCTTCCCCTCTCTCTCTTTCTCTTTCTCTTTACACCAGAACAATTATAATCAACTAATCATTCTGGGTTCAATTCAATCTTCCTCCTTAAAGAAAAAATCTCCTGTTGAAAACAAAAAATTGAAATCAAATGTTATTAATTTGCCTTTATTACCTTATCCCTTTTCTCACACCATCAAATCCAATGTTAGTTTACAGAGATTCAATTTTCTTTTTCCTGATCAACATCTAAATTTTAATCCACCAATCAATTGATTATACTTACAATGTGAATTCTTATTACAATTAATTAACTATTAATGTTAAATAATAGCTATTGAAATGGAGAAATGAAAAGTCACCGCTAACACAATTGAACAAAACACACACACACACTCTTGATTCCAATTCTATTGTTTGTCAGTTGTATTACTTTTTCCTTAATCAATTATTTTAATTTTTTCTTCTTACACATCATAGAATTGTGTGTTTAATTAATGTTCCCTTCACAAGACTTGACTTGATTACTTTCAAATAACAATTAAGTAACAACAGTTTAAAATACATTTGGAAAAATAAATTAGAGAAAACAATTTATAAGCTTCACAATCTTTCAATCAATTAAAACGAAAAAAATTCAAGACAAATCACTAATCTTAAATCACTTTCCTTTCTCTTGATCACAATTAATAGTTTCAATTATTATCTCAATGAATTGTTATTATTTTAACTCGAAAAACAATCAATGAACGATAAACAACAAGCTAAATATTGATAAGTGATTAAGATTAATCATATTAAAGAGATTGAGTGTAAGAGACTTGAATTAATTTACACTGATTAAGTCAACACAATAATGGGAACAATCAAATTGCTAATTGTTTTTAAGAGTTAATTGTTAGGAATAAAATAGAAACGGTGACGTGTTGACTTGACTTAATTAGATACTCAAGCTGAACAATTAAGCCGATTAGTTGTTATCGGTCGACTGGATCAGCTGAGCTTTTAATTGGTAAACAGAAAGTGATTAAGGAAAACAATTTAAATGGTTAAGTTACTTGAGATTTTAATTAGTAACAAGATAAATAGTTTTCGATGATTAATAACAATCAGTTGGACGAATGGACAATTTTTGTCTCGCAAAGATAATTAAATGAATAATCTGTTGAAGGAATTACCGGTTTATAATTGTTAACATTAATTTAAATCAATTGAATGATTTAATTTTCTAATTTAGTGTTAGTTTTATGTGTGCTCATGATAATGTTGACAATTTTGATTTAGTGCTTTGTGAGCAAATCATTTGAGTTTAATTATGCACCATTTTTTGTTTGTTTACGTGAAACTGATTTGTTTCAATTAGATGGTACATCAATGAGACAGGTGAGAGAGTGATAAAGAGAGAGAGAGGGAGAGGAGAGAGAGAGAGAGAGATGGGAAAGGTGATAAGAAAGTAAAGGTTGAAGAAAAAAAAATGACAAGACAAGAAAAATGAATCAATATGATCATCTTCTAGTCTGTGGCGGGAAACTTTTTGATTTGATTTCCTCAGTTTGGATAGTTGATCAGTTGTGAGAGGAAAAAAATATGAATTCTTGGTGATATTATTTTGTTTGGTTGAAGGAGTGAAATTATTTTCTCATTAATCCATTTGGTTGATGCAACTTTTAAGTTAATCTTGGATAGGTTGAGAAAATAATTGTAATTTGTGTGTATACTGAGCAAGAGGAAGAAAAATTTGATGAAAATAGAAAGGGATGTTATGGGTGACGGTGTGTGAGTGTGTCTTTTGGTTTGAAACTTGAGAGAGAAAGAGAGAGAGAGAGAGGTGGTCAATGGATCAGAAAAAAATGGATGAAATGGAAGAATAGAATGAGGCAAAAAGTTAATAATAAAGAATAGGAGAAAAAGAAAAGAAAGACAAAGAAACATCCGGATTTTTTTCTGCTGATATAAACCAAGAATAAACGGTGATATAATCCAATGATACAACGAGATTTTATCCAATTGATTACCGCATCTTGTAGGTGTATAATTGGTCGTTAATTTCACTATGTTGCCCATGGAAGTCGACTAATATTTCAAAATCTAGATCTCTCTGTAAAGAAAAGATGTAAACAAATAATGAGATTAGAACATTTTCTTTTTTGAAGGAAAAAGAAGGTAAAAGTAAACTGAAATTCGCATTTACCTTATTATTCTTGTTGGGTTTCATTGAAAAAGTACCATGAATCTGTTCATTTTTGTTGCAGGTAAGTGATTGATCAATGTAGAAAACAGTTTGTTTCCAGTGAGTATAAGCTGCATCCGGTGCTGAAAATGATAGTTGTAAAGATAAAATTAGTTTTAAAGGTGATTTATCATCAATGGAAGGTAATTAAATCAACTTACAAGTTGTAAAACCAGTGGGCTTGTGGCATTTAGTGAATTGGACTGAGAAAAAAGTTACAAAAGCCTGAATATAATCATCTCTTTTCATCACAAGAGTAAACGGAGTTTTGAAACTTAGATCTTCGGGTCGAACGGTGTAGAGATCAACTTCTTTAAGAAGACAATAGGAAGTAACAGTTTGTTTAGGGTCAACAACATCGACTAAAGGTTCTTTAAGAGCAACTTCTCTTATACAGCTCATGTTGAATCCATATACATCTTCCCACCCTGCAAGTTAAACAAATAGGGAGTATTATTATTGGTACAAATTCTCATTAGTCTTTTTCTAAATTAAACTTAATTCAATGTAATTTCACTTACAATTAATCTTATCCTCCTTATATTGTCTATCTTCAATAGCAGTAATGTAAAGTGTTGCACGATCTGGGAACATGAAACCATCTTTTTTCTGAAAGATTGAAAGATAAAATGGATTATAAATGTGAGAACGGAAATTTGGATGAATTTCCTTTTCTACAACGAAATGCTTTCAACTTACCAGCCATTTATCACGAGCATAAATAACAGTGTCCAACATTGACTCATAGAAAAGACAATAGCCCATCCATTCTGAGATGATAATATCGACTTTATCAATGCCCTCTGGAAGCTCAACCTCTTCAACTTTTCCCTTGACTATTGTAATTCTATCGTCGAAACCGTTATCCTTAATTACACGTTCAGCAAGATTAACAATACCAGAGCATTCGATCTGTGGAATAGAATAAAACATTCATGAGTAAAATTCAGCCTCTAAGCACGTTAGAACCTTTTGTCTATACGATGGAACCATTTAAATGGCACTTTTTAACTAAAGTGTGGCAGATTAACCATTGAGATCATACTCGAATCAATACTTACACCGATGACTTTTGCGGCCCCCGCCTTGGCAGCAAACATGGATAATATACCGGTACCACAGCCAATATCAAGAACAATTTTACCCTTGAAAAGGTGCTTGTTATGGAGCATAGAGTTTTTATAAGTAACAGTTCGAACCTCATCTTTCAACATTTCCTCGTGAATTCCAAAATGAGCGTAACTGTCAAAATAATAATCTTTACTGGTCATTTCATCAGGAGCTTTATTAACGATTTCATTGTTATCATCAAGGATCAACACTTCGGCTTCACAAAGATCTTTACCGTCGGTATCACCTCCATTGGCATGATTGGTAACAGCATTGTCAATCTGAGCGGATTCCATAGTACAAGAAACAGTAGAACAACTTTCTCAATAAACTTGGATAAAAAGTATCAATCAGCGATGTTAAAGAGGAAGACAAAGATGAGAGGAACAAAGACAAATAGACAACAAAGAAATGAATTAAATATTACAGAGAGAGAAAGAGAAAAACAAACGGATTAACAGAGAGAAAGAAAAAGATTGGATCACAAGCAGACAATAGAGACACAGAGAAGAAATTGAAACAAAAAGGGACAAAGGAAAATTTAGAGTTCGGCCAGAGAACCGGCTGATTAAAGGGCAAATAGATTAGTAAATGACATTAACGGTTCAAACAATTAGATTAAATTAGAAAGCCGGTTAATTGTTGATTAACTTAACAATAGAAACAAATGATTCTCTTTAAAGAACAACAAACAGCATGTTTCCCTTTGGTTCTCTCGTTTTCTTCAGGGATCTTATAATAATTAAAAGAATAAAAGTTAACTTGAAGATTCGATAAAATTGATTTTCTCTAATTCGAACAATTGATTTTTTAAGATTCGTTTGTTGATTAGTTTTTTTTTTATTCTTTTTGATGGTCTTTAGTTTTTTCTGATGCTTTAATTAAATAATTTAGTGGATTTTGGAAATTTTGAAGGGAAATGGAAAGGGGGTCGTTTTATTTGAATCATTGAGAGCAAATGTAATAACAAAATGGCTCTAAGTCATTGTGACAGTTTTTTGAATGTTTAGTTTGTTTTGATTTGGACAATATGAATTGGTTTTGTTTGAAATTTAAATGAAAAAAAGAATCTGAAAATGAGAGAAAGTGAAAAAGAAAAATGCATATCTGATGGATTTTTTGTTTGGAAGGAAAGTTTTGAGTTTTCGATGGGTTATAAGTTTTTTGATATGAAATTTTATGTCTAAATTATTTAGTTGAAATTGTCCGGGGTTTTAAAGAGTTAGCTCGATGGCGTATTCGTGGTCTGAGATTTTTCTAACAACTTTAATGTCAGCTGGAGTTCCTCTGCCAATTCGATCAGCTAATCTTGTCTCGAAATTCTCAATTTTGTCCATATTGTCAATTCGACATCTTATTCCTTGAGCTGGAATCTTTTCCAAATTAATTTTACTAGGTAACTTGAGTATTTCAGCATTTTTAACCCAGTCTGTATTACCAAAGTCCAAGTAAAAGACGCGACACTTATCACCGTCAACTTCCATGACAACGACTCGGTAAAAATCACCATCTAGTGATAAGAATAGAAAATCGAAATAAAATTAACCATGATTTCAGTAAAGTTCATTGGGATTGAATATTAAAGACTTACCATCGGCTGGTGCTACAGCAAGTAAACCAGGTTTCGGCTCAATATGAACACCTCTTTCTTCAATAGTACCGAGTTCAGCACAAAGCTTCAACATTGAATCATCTAGAAAATTAAATATAAACAAAATAAACAATCAAAAACATTAGCAATGTAATCAAAAGATTACATCATTGATAATTGACTTACTGTTTCCCAAAAGAAAAACAATTGATGGATCATCAACATCATTGTACAACAAAACAGCTTCGTCTTCTTTGATTGATCCCATACTATAGAGATGATAAAAGCTGGCTGGTGTTTTTTGTAAACTCTTCTAGTAATTGGAAGGAATTTTAAAAAAAATAAATTTTAAATGCCAATTTACTTTGAGGAAGGAAAAACGCTCAACAAACCTTATAAGCTTCTCCTGGAGATATATCTTCAACTGGTTTGGGTCGTGGTGGCGAAACTTCAATTGGACTTGGTTTAACTCGAACTGGCTCAATATCATCAGGTTTAGGTTTATTGAAGCCATTTCCCATTTTGTTTTCATTATGGGCTTCTGATCCTCCATGGGTTTTTCCGATCTCGGGAGGTGATGTGCTAAGGTCAGGATTACGACGAATACGAGGTGGGAGAGGCTAATTGTAAATTAAAGGGGTCAAAATGTGTGACAAATATTAGAGAAACTTGTAAATTGATTAACTAAGAGTGTAAAATAAATACCTTTCGAATTTCTTCATAACCCTTGGCTAATCCTTTTTGTACCAATAAGTCATTAAGTTTTTCACCATTTTCACTGATAAGCTCGACTTGATGAACACCATCAAACTCGTTGTAAACCTTACAATTATTATATGGAATTTCAGCTTCATCAGCAATTTGATCTTCAAAAAATTTAGAAGCTTCCCTATTCCAACCGCTTTCGAAAAGTGGCTTAACGAATTTTAACGCACAGTTAACTGCCAGGGCGGGAATCGCAACCATCTCAGGAGGTAAAGGTCGTAAAGCTTCAAAATTAACAATATCTCGATTACCGTAGTCAATAAATTTAACTTCGACCATGTTGTTTTTGAATCCTAGAACTTTAGCTCGGTACCAATATCCATCATGGTCAAAACGGGCAGCACAATAGTTACCAGGTTTGAGTTTATTAGCATCAGGCCATTCATTAGCTTTTTGACAGATTTCAAAAAGCTTTTCTGTAATAGCTTCGGCTTCGGGTGTGTCCACAGCTCTTTGAACAAAAAAGTCTGATGGATTGTAACAGAAAGAGAAAACTACCTCGGTAATAGTGTTAAATTCAAGTTTTGTTTCCCTGATGTGGTTAACTTCATTGTTCAAGGAGATTTTGATTCTGGGTGTAATAATTTTGTTGGGTTCTTGGATGAAATTCGCCGGATTAATGATTCGTCCCACATTGTTATCAGAATAGATAGTTCTCTGGATTACTTTTTGAGGAGATGGTAGTTTAGCTGGAGGTGAAACCTCTGGGACTTTTGCTTTATGATATTCTTTGACTTCAGCTTTCTTGACTTCATAACTTTCCGTTGGTTTAACCTCTTGTTTTATCTCAGATTTGGGTGGGTTAGAAGGGATTGGTTTAGTTTGGACCTTTTCTTCCACTTTGGTTACTTTAGGGGCAACCTCAACCTTTGGAGATAAAGGTTGCTTCTTGATAGTGGTAAGTTTGGTGATAATATTGGATTCATCAGATAAATGAGAATCTCCATTAGAAAGATTTGACTGAGGGGAACATTTTTTACGATGAGAAAGCCAATCTAAAGATTGACATCGTAGTCCACAGTAAGAGGTAGTTTGACATCTTGAGCAGACAACAAATTTCCCATCCTTGGTACAGCAATAAGAACAGGCAACAGAAAAACTTTGAGGTAAATCTTGGAAAGGATCGATAACAATTTCCTCTGATGCAATAAAGTGAACATGTCGAATTAGAGGTTCAGCCGTACAAACTTGACACATTTCATCTCGAGTAGAAAGAATTTTAAACAAATTCTCAACAGCACAAAGATTATTGACTAATTCTCCCATTTTGTTAAGTGGTCTGGCCAAAGCTCGCAAGTGTTTAGCAAGTTCCGCACGTTGTTCACGCTTTTAAAAGTCAAAGAACACACACAATTTCAAATAAAAAGTAAAGAAAATAATGACAATAGATAAAATTATATCACCTGAAGAAAATAGAAGAGAATTTAATCTTACCTGTATTAGATCTTTTTTATTTTCAAAATCTTCTTCGTCAGCAGCAAGTGTAACTCGCAAGTGCAACGGTGGTCGGTTGTTTAAAGCTTGAATCGCAGTAGTAGCGTCAGTTATCGATCTGACTTGTAAAATGCTATAACATTTATAAAGGTAAGAAAATATGAGAATTAACTTGACATGTAAGAGTAAAAAATCTCAAATGAGAACAACTAATAAGAAGTGAAAGTGGACACAAGGAAAGAAGAAGAAGAAGAGAATAAATGAGATAAGAGAAACAAAGACCACTTGTGGAAAAGCTTTTAAATTCTACAAAACGAATTCAAGAGAAGATAGACTTTGCATAAGAGCGATAAAGAAAATATTCCAATAGATAAATACGACAGATATAATAATCTCAAAATAAGATTATGATGAAAAAGACAATAAAAATGGCCGTTTAATTAAAATGGAGGGATAGGAAAGAAAAGAAGAATAGAAATAGATTCAAAATGGAGGGAAGAGATTTTGTTTTTTAATAATTCTTATAATGTACTTACGCTTTGTTTAAACCTTTCGATGGTAGGAGCTTGCAAGTGATCGGAAACACGTTAACTAATTTAAAAGCGCGAATGAGACCTTCCTGTTAGATGGAAGACAATGTTATAGAAAAGAGAATTAGTGATGAAATGATTAAAGAAAATGAAAAAACGATCATTTAAACAGAAAGAGACAGAGAGAAAGTGAAAGAGATGTTAAGACGCTGATTAAGATGGGCAAGTGATCGTCAGTTGAATGATGTAAAGCTGTTAATCGGTTGATGGTTTAAATAAGGTAATTGTCATGGTTAATTTTAAATTAAACCAATTACTGTGTTAGAGGGAGATAAACAAAGTTAGAAGTAAGGAGCAAAGAGAGAGAGAGAGAGAGAGAGAGAGACCGAAAGAGTTTAAAAAGAAAGACAATTCAAATGATGTAATAAGACAATTAAGTTAATCCATCAGTAACTTACCCTTTTTAAATCCTCTGGTATGTTTTCAACAAGGATATGAAGAGGAGGCTTAGTACCGTTTCTGTGTGAATTTAATTTTCCAATCAAAAGGAGAACAAAAGAAAAATAAATTAATACAATCACATGAAGAAGAGAAAATAATCAATTGGATTAGAAAAGCTTCTACTTACTGTACATCAGGTATGGCGAATCCTGGACCACCGAAATAGTTACTATTCAATGTTTTCACATAATCTTCACCCATCGGATCAAAACCATCGAAAATTTCGGAACCGTCAAGATCCATGATTAGAGAATTATAAAGAATTAGAAGACTAATTAACTTAACGAATAAAGAAAAACAAAGAGAAAAAAGAAAAGTGATGTTCACTCAAAGAGAAACACTAACAAAGTGAATGCGAAGAAGCTTCAAGAATATTGGAAAAGAGAATAGAATTTATTTTTTGTTCTACAAAGAGAATAGAAAACCAAGTGAACAAGAGAAAAGAAATAAACAAAATGGTTCTTTAAATGTGATTCCAGTTAATTAAATTGATTCTAAAATGGAAAACAATTTAATTCTTATCTGTTAATTATCTTGGAAAATCTATTAACTCGAGATGATCAGTTTTCCATATTTAATGTAAACAAAATGGAGAGAGAAAAAAAATTCTAGTTTAACATTTACTTTGGTTTCTTAATTGTTTGTAAATTGTTTCTGCCAATTTTTTCCTCTCATAAGGTCAACAATTAATTGATTTAAACTCTTCACAATTTGATGAATGACTAAATTAACAAGAGATAAATAATAATTACAAGTAGTGTTGATCAATTGACCGAAGAGTAAGAATCAATATTGGCTTGAAATCTTTAACCGATTCTGTTGATTTTGGTTTAATCATCTTGAGAAAATTGTAATTTAAAAGATGGACAATTTTAACAATTTAATTTGATTAATGAGTTTTTTTGGTTTAATTTTTGAAGACTGGATTGATTATTGCAATTTTGTTTGATTTGGCAAATTGTTTTGTAGTTTGATTTTTGGTTTCTCGTCTTGTCTAATTATAACAATTTACTAGATAAATACAAGATAATTAGACACTGTCGACATGAAGATAAGGTGGAATTGCGGTTGGTTGAAGGTCGTGATGTTGCTTTGGCCTTGGAACATCAAATTGACCGCTAATTGTGTCGGAGCTTTGACGCCTTTTCCGTTTTCGATGGCATAGTGAGCATATGATGATCAAAAATAAAATTGTTCCAACCGTAATCATCGCAACCATCATTAATTTGTTCACTTCGGTCACTCTAATACCTGAGAGAAAGATGAAGAGATGCTAAAGGTTAGAATGATGTTTTTTAAATGTTTAATTGGACTTACAATTATCTTCGTCGATTTGATCGTAAAAGCCACAATTAGGAGCTCCATTGCATTTCATATCATTAGATACACAGTAACCACTTTTTGGACATTGGAGGGCATCGCAACTTGTCCCGTCATCTTTAATCTCGGACCAAACAGCTTCAAATCCTCGAGCTCCAACAGCAGTATCAGTGATTAGAAAACTGTTTAAGATTAGAATAAGAAGAAAATGTAAATAATAATCTTGATAAATATTCAAAATCACTCACGATATTTTGATGATATTTGTTGTTGAAATTACATCTTGAGTATCATTTTCCAAGCCAACACCACATAGTTCCATTGGTGATCTATTTAAATCGGACCAAACTCTGAGAACTGCAGTTGGACAACCTCGTTCTAATTTCGTTTAGAGATGATTGAAATAAGATTTTAATTTTTTTATACCATTTATATACTCAGAACTTACCTTTCATTGAGCCTTCGATAATTAAATTAAGAAAAGTGAGAAGTATTTTATGATTTGGTTTAACAGTAATAAACCAATTGCAGTTTAATTTCTGTGGTCGGTATTTTTCAGGATAACCTGGACTTTTAATGTAACCAAATAATGAGCCCGTTATGTTACCTCCACAATCTGGTAGGGGAGAAAAAGTTCAATCAGATTAGAGGGAATAAAGTTTTCTTTCGATATTAAATTACCTGATTTAATTTTCTTTCTAGGAATGAAATGATAATTGGCCAAGAATCCACTTGATGTATCAGTTCCGTCGGTTTTCATGACAACTTTTAACATGGTAACACCGATTGGAGTAACATAGGGACCTGGAGCGGAATAGACACAATATCGGCCGATTTTTTGTTCTCGTCCCGATAAATGTATTTCATACATTTCAAGATAATCTTCTTGGCAGGCAGCATCATAACCCAAAATTAGGTCACTATTTTTTTTCATGTTAAACTCAACAAATGTTATTTCAATTTGTTCCCCTGGTAAACCAATGAACCAATATTCACAATGGGTTATCGGTGGGTAACTACTTGGATGTCGAGGTGAATTGAAGACTCCCTTTTTAATTGATTCACTAGAATATTTAAATTTACATCCGGGAGGTTCAGGAGTTCCGGGTATGCGATAGTCGGGAAGGAAAGTATAACGTCCCTTGAAACCTTGACCCTGTGTAAGACCCGAACTAAAGACAACAATTAAAGTAGGTCCATCTGATTCAACAGGAGAAGGTAATTTGTCAGTTCCACAAAAAACATAATCAGGTTCTTCCATTGATTCAGATGTTGTATAGACACGGACATTTGCATCACCACATCTAAAGAGATTATGGAAGAGTAAATTAAATAGTTATTCTTGCGAAATTAGGAATTCACATTTATCCAAACTTACTCATTAATTGCTTCAGTATCATCTATTGCACCCATTAAATTAATCGAATCACTGATTCCAATAGAGCCACTAAGTGGAATTGAAAGAGCTCCGTTTACTTTTAACTTTTCTTTAACAATTGGGATCTCAAATTTTTCGAATTCAAGTCTAATCTTTTCTAAATGTTGTTCATCTTGGATTCCGTAAATGTGATATTTACAAATTATATTGGAATGATAAAGGAATGGATAATTTGGTGAATAAATTGTTCCATTATTTTCTTTTCGAGATAATATCTTCTGGTCACATTCTGTACCACGAATATGCTCTCCATCGTTTTTACCAATAAAACCTAAAGATTGGATGCAATAATTAACTCTGATTATTTTAAGAAATTCAAATTAAGAATGTGAAAATTTTCGATAACCAACCTAAATTGACGAATCGTTCAGAGAATTCAAACCACCCGATAAAACCTCGATTCTCATGAGCTGCACTCCGAGGTAAAGTAGTAAATGTGACCATAAGATTTTCACCCGATGAATATAAAACTAAATTTCGTTTTTGTCCACAATAAGTACCAATTAAAGGGTCATCTTTACTGCTACCATCGTAAACATGGATTTGATCAAATGGACAACTGTCAAGAGGAAAAAAGCAAAACAAAAATAAAGATTAATAGATAGAATAAAATTTGATCAACTGTGTGAAACACATACTGAGGTCCACCATAGAGTAGATCAAAGTCCATGAATTCGACTCGTACCCGTTGACCTTTGCGTCCGAAAAATTGATATTGGCATTTAAGATTTTTGGGATAAACTCCAGGATAAGTTGGGGATAAAAATTGACCCTCTCGTTTTTTGTCACTAAAAATAGTGTAACTACAAATCTCTCGAGGTGCTGGAGTACCAGCAATGAAAGGTGCTGAAAGGGAGAGAGAAAGAGAGGTGAAAAATAGACAAAAAGAATTAGAAATCTTTCCAATCAAAACACTCTTAATTTACATAATGATGAATAGGAGGAAAAAAGTTCCAAAAGAAATTCTAATTAATGAGAAAATAAGCTCTTGACAAGATTTCTAATTGGGATTTTCTCCCTCTCATCAACACATCCTCATTGTCTGCATCACTTGCTCTCATTTTAATTTCTTTCTTTTTTTTTCATTGTTTCCTTCTGACATCTCTTAATTTCACCTGACAATTAACAATTTGCTAATTAATTCAAATAATTATCCTTAAAATAATGTTTCTCCATTGAGATATGACAGGAAAAGATGAAGACGGAGCAATACAATAGATGTAAATAAATTTAGATGTACATGTCAAGTTAATGACAGGTTAATGTTAATTATAATTTGTGACTTACTTGCATCAATAAATTCATATGTTCCATTAAAGATATTTTGATTAGACAAAGGTTTGTCTGTGTGAAAGCTCAATACTAAGGTTTGATAAAGAGAAACCCGATCTCGAGGAACCGACCGACCACAATATCTACCACTAAATGGTGTAACAATTAAATCTTGATTAGGATCCTCTGATTCGGTGTAAACATCCAAATATTCATGGTTACAGCTAGAAAAGAAAAATTGAAAGAAAAAGGAGAGAAAATAAATCAAATTAACGATAAATCAATGGAAAAGATAAAAAGAAATAAACTAATCACAATGTTTACATTTCTATAGAAAAATAAAATACTTACTCTGGGGGAGAACCACGTAGATCAAAGTGATTAAATTTCACATGAATCCGTTCATTTTCCGAAGCAATAAATGTATAAGTACATGATCGAGTCTATTTTCAAAGAGAATAATCAATTTAAATTGTTATAGAAAATTTCTTAAACTAATTAACTTACGTGATTTTGATTATTCTCTATAGTTGGTGATATAAAGGTTCCATTTTTTGGAGCATCAGGATTACTTATTATCATCTGATCACATCCTTTGGTTACCATGGAGAAAGAAATAAAGATGGAAATAAAAATTATTCTTCTAATCATGATTACACAATTATCTCTTCTCATTAATCACTTCACTTGAACAATTAAATCAAATTATTCTCTAGTCAAGTTAAATCTTTCATTTTAGATTCTTCAACTTGACTCCTTTGGGCACATAAACATATTCACTTTTAGAGTTAAATTGTAGACAAAATAATGGAAACACCGAGAAGACAATGTATCCATACTGAAGATCCAATGGTGACTCCAAGCTACAAAGTATTAGAACATTTCGATCTCGATTTTGTTTCGATTTTCTTTCCTTTCTCTTCTCTGTCTTTTTTTCTTTCGTTTTTCCATTTAAAAGAAACAAGAAGAGAAGAAAAATTTTTTCTTCTTTTCCTTGCAAAAAGTAACAAAGAAAATCGACAGATGGAGTTACCGATCAAAGAGAATAGAAAATTAGAAAAGTTCGAATTCGAATTCGAATTTAATTTTCATTCTCTTTTCGGTTAATTGTGATTTTTTTCGTTCTTCTTTTTGATTAGTTGTTTTTGTTGATTTTTTTAAAGTTTAGTTTTTTTTATTGTTATATTAGAATTATTTGTTTGTTCAACTATTTGCTGTGAGCCAAAAGGATGAATAATAGCAACGATATTTATGAGATCGATTGTATTGAAGATGAGATTCAATTTGATGAAGATCGTCAAGTGATTGAAAGTGTGACGAATCATTTATTGAATAGTGTGGAGGGACAATTTGATGACGATTCAAGTGATATTAATTGTTTGACTGGTGGACTTATTAAGGAAGAGAATGATAATGATGATGGTTATATTATTCTTGGTGATGAAAATGATAATGATGTTATTTTTGTTGATAGTACGCAACAATCTCAGGAACGAAAAATTTCATATGCGTCCACTGGTTCACAAACATGTTCATCATATACGTCTACCTGTTCACAAACGTATTCATCTTATTCATCGTATACTGATTATACTTCATCTCAGGAGAAAGATAAATTTTCACCACCTTGGAGTAAACGTCTTGTTTATGAGGAGGAAAGTCTAAAATTTTTGGCCATGAGAAAAGAAAAACAAATGAAAGAACGAAAGTGGAGAAGCTTCGTTCAAAAACATTGGCCCTCCGAAGAAAAATTTAAAAAAAGACACAGAAATTCAAAGTGAGACAAAAATTGTACATAATGAACATCGCGGGTTTTTAATCTTCTCGGTTACTCTTCATTTTTGTTTTCTCTCCACTCACCAGCTGAGCTGTTCAACACACGTGAAGAAAACAAAGTCTATAAAATTTTCTCTTCTCTTCAATTCTCTTACTGTTTACCCTATTTATTATATTGTGTAAATATTTCAATTGTCTTCCACCTACAAATATGTTCAGCAATCAAGCGAAGTTATTTTTCCCTCAGTTTCGATTATGTGTAAAATACCTTCATCAACAACCAGTTTTCTCTGCTCATCAAAAAGAGTCACAATCATCATCCTCAACTTTCCCTAACCATCATGTTTATCAAAATATTTATCCTTGGAATCGATTGGAACAATTTGTTGACCATCTATTAAGTCAAACCTTATATTCTGATAATGATATTATTGCAATTGCCAAACCATTTGGAGTTGGTATCTACAATCCATATGATAAGTCAAACCTTCCCGATAAAATTGAACCAAATATTTTTGGTGATCCCAGATATTGTATTGCTGACGCTTTGGAGACTCTTTCAGAAAAATTGAATACTCCTGATCTGTCAATATGTATCACTGAAAATCGTATAGTCAGTGGTATTATTGTGCTGGCCAAGTCTTCCAAGGGCTCAAAACGTACTAAAGATGCGTATCTAAGAGGAAAAATGGCCAAAGATCAAGTATTCACCTTCCATTGTTTAACCCACGGCCCACCGATGATGAAAGAACCAATTGTTGAGGAAATTGTTGCCATTCAAGAGATTTGTGTAAATGAAAACACCAAACAGAAAGAACCAGAGATAATCTACAATTTAAGCAAATCACAAATACGCAGGCGAGATGAAATCAGAAGAATAAAGGCAATTCTCAAAGTATTGGACTACAATTCGAGTTTAAATGTGGCCTTAGTCGAGATAAGTTGTAATCGAACCAATTATCATTTCGTCAGATGTTATTTAGCAAGTAGAGCTTGCTATATATTGGGTAAGTTATTTGTTTCAATTAAAAATCAATTCGTTTCTAAATAAGACTAACCATTTTCCATTATTATTTTCCAGGTGATTCAAGATTTTCACGTCGAGTTGGTCATATTTTAGGTGTACCATATTCCCTCAGAGCAGCAAATATGAAACCACGAGAAGAAAGTTTAACTAATGGAATACGAAAAATTTTAGACGTACCCAAAAACAAATCAATTCCGTTAATGATACATCAAGTCAAATTATCATTGACAAATTATACAAAAAATACCGATTTAACCATAGAAAATTATACTTATCCAAAACACTTTAATTGGACAATGAACAAACTTTTGACAACAAAATATCAATAAAATAGTAATTGTTTCCAAATTATAAATTACACATTGTCTCATCTTTTCCTTTCCGTCCATATTAAACACTAATGGTGACCATTTCCTCTTCGTCGCTTTCAACAGCCATTTCTTCCTCTTCTTGACTATTCTCACTTTCATCTTCCATTTCATCTTCAAATCGAACAATAACTTTACTTTTCTCTTTCCTTCTCTCCCTTTTCATTCCAGCAGCAGGAGATTTGATGAGGGCGAGATCTCGTTTAACCTCTTTGATATCTCTTTCCTTTTCAATAGCATTTGCCTTTCGAAGACGTTTCATGATAAATTCAGATTCCCTTCTCCTTCGTATCTCTGTAACCCTTTTCATGGCATCAATAGTCTTTAACCATAATTCACGATTATATTTCATTGGAGTGTCTCGTCTCTTTTCAAATTCAAATGCTGGATCATTAACAAGCTCCTTTCCAGCAGCTTTTCGATAAGCTTTTGTCCATTTGGTTTTCCTAGGATTCTTTTTCTGATTAAATCGTCGCCTACATTTACTCCTACAAAATCGAAAAAGCTATAATCCAATAAAAGAAAGAAAAAGATAAAGATAAAATTCACCAACAAAATTAAAAAGAGAATTTAAATCATTACAAAAGAGAAAGAACCACGTGAAAGAGAGAGAATGGAAAAAGAAACAACTTACCTTACAATCATTCCTAACGAATTGAATTCCATGCCCTGGATAGACAGGAGAAGAACAGAAATAACAACGTTCAACCCTCATAATGTGAAGGAAAAAAACTCAAATAAACAACAGGTCGAAGGTTAAATTAATCAACAATAATGATCAACAATTAAAATCTAATTTAAACCAAAATAAAATGTTAAAAGACAGAAAATTGACTTTTCTATACAAAACCATGTTCTCTTCTTGTGGCTCCATCTCCTGGTTGGATTAACAAAAATTCGAAAATAAAGCGACGTCTGTTGGGTAGAGTTTCAACTATTTACAATTCTATTTCTCTTTTTCTGTTATTATTGTTCATTCTTTCATCTTATCAAGTAAAAAATGGTAAATTTCAATTTCTTATCTCGATTTATTATTTTAATTCTAAATTCTTCTAATGAAATGGTATAATTTTGCTTATTCTCTTTAGGCCCCACCAAGATCTCGACCACCACTTCATAGTAATGACAAAAAGAAATTGGATATGTGGTATGTTAAATACCGAGGTAAGTAACCATAAGTTGAATATGATTTTCTTTAGGTTTTCTTTTCTTTTTTTTCTTTTTGAGAAAAAGAAACAAGGTCAAATCATTTGCCGATTGGTAACAAAACAGAATCAATGGTGTAGAAAAAATAATTAGCACGATTGTTTGTTTTTCACTATACTTTTACTTACACTAATCAGCACGAGATTAATTTGTTCTTTTTTTCTTCTTCTCTCCTTTTTCTCTTCTCCCCACAGATCCACATGACTCAGATAAAATTACCTCAGATGGAATAATTAAATTTTTACAAGAATTACAATTAGAACCGGCTGATGTTAAAGTATTAATATTCGCCTGGAAATGTAAAGCTAAGGAACAATGTATGTTCACACGAGATGAATTTTTCACGGGTCTAATAGATTGTGGAGCAGATAATGTGGAGAAATTAAGTCAACGGTTGATGGCTCTTGAGAAAGAATTGAGGAAAGATGTCTCCAAATTTAAGGATCTTTACTATTTTACCTTTAATTATGCCAAGAATGAGGGTCAGAAAAGTTTAGACTTGGAAATTGCTCTGGCCTATTGGAATATTTTCTTTAACTCGGATCCCTTTCCATCAACCACAAACGCCGGTCCAAGTGGTAACCTTTCTAGGTCATCTAATAGTCAAGTACCTATTGGAATAGTTCCCTTTAGATTATTACCTTTATGGTCTTATTATCTTAAAAATCATTACCAAAGGTCAATAAGTCGAGATACATGGAATCTTTTATTGGACTTTATCTGTCTCATTAAGGATGATTTGTCTAATTACGACGAAGAAGGAGCTTGGCCTGTTCTATTGGATAGTTTTGTCGAATGGGTTAGAAAGGGAAACCATCAAAATGTCCAATAACAATCAAAAAAACACATCACTAGGAACATCAAATCAACAACAACAACAAAATAAATCTAATTGTGTAAAAAAAATCGTAAATTTGATTATCATCATGATGCATCAAGAGAAGAAGAAAAAACCAGAGATAAACAATAACATCAAACAAATCATATCTTCTAATTAAAGTCACATCAACACCATTAAAGATCCAAGAGAAATGAGAGAAGATGAACATTAATCATCCTCATTAAAAGCCCTTAATTAACAATCAAAAGGAACAATAATCCAATCAACAAACGAGAAGAACAAAAAAAAAGATTTAACAAAATTAACCCTGTGATGAATTGAACGAAGGTTTAATTTCTTTTCCTTTCAGATTGATTATCAGTTCAAATTAATTTTCTCCTTACAATTTATTTTCTTTGTTTTAATTACTCTTTTGTTCCAATATTTTGTTTTCTTACCTTTTTCTCTCTTTCACCTTCATCATTTTTTTGCTCTTCGATTGATAATCAATGATGACAAAGGAACCGAAAAAAAAATGAATAAATTTCCAATTGGTTTTATTATTGGTTAATTGTCAACTTCAATTTATTTTTTACTCTACTTTTAGTTACTCTCATTTTTCCATATTTTATGTTTTATCCTTGATTTTAAGAGAGAGAGATTGAGAGAGAGAGAGAAAAGGGCCTGGGTTTTGAGTTTCTTTTTTTGATTTAAACTTAATTGTTGGTGTGTAAACCCTAAAATAATAAGATGGTGATGGTAAATTGGGTTATATCGGCTAGAGGTTGTATTTAATTTTTCTGGTTGAGGAGAGTAAATAACTTAAAAAGCGAAAAGAATCAAAAAGGCCATCATAAGACAGAAAAGACCCATAGCCTCGGAAAGGGCGAAACCAAGGATAGCATATTGGAAAAGTTGTGCCTTGAGAGATGGATTACGAGCGTAACCAATGATTAAACTACCGAAGACTGAACCAATACCAGCTCCTGATCCAGCAACACCAACGGTGGCAGCTCCAGCACCAATGAACTTGGCGGCGGAGTCAATGTCATTTCGGATTGAACTAGTGTGAATTGGTCTGATTGCAGAAAGAGCAGGAAGGGATGAAAGAGTTTGCATTGGTTTCATCTCTTGCTTCATCTGAACTGGACTGCTGAAACTAGAGCTACCACTGATGATGGAGCTTAAGGGTCGAACCATACCTCGGTTAGCAGACATAACCTGAAAATAAAATAAAAAAACATGGAGAGAAAGAGAAAGAGAAAGACAAGTATAATTAGAGATAAGAGGGGAAAAATTGAGATTATCAAGATAGAAAGAAAAAAGTATAGAGGAAAAAAAAAGAAACAAGGTGGATTAAAGAAAAAGAGAGGTCACCCCAGAATAGGAAAAGGTCATTGAAGGAAAAGATAACAAATAGAATAAATGAGAAGATAAATTGGACCAACGAATTAAAATAAAAATAATAAAACAACACCAAAAGGCCATCATCATGGAAAAGATCATAAAAACAAAAAAAGAGACAAATATAGAGAAAAAAAAGGAACACGGAGAAAGGAGAAAAAAGAAAGGAAAGGAAAAATAGAAAGGCCAGAAAGACTAAGAGAATAGAATATTGAATGAGAATTGGAATTTGTTAAAACTTACCATTGCTCTGGAGAGAAGTGAAGGTGCTGCACAAAGGAAAACCATTTTTACTAATTAAATTGAGTAAATTAACCTTTTGATTAAGTTAACAATTAACAAATAAGGAGAGAAATTAAAAATTAGATTTAACCTTAAGGACAGAAAGAAATCTAATCAACACACACCGGGGTAGAGGAGAGACACAAGTAGTAACCAGAAATACCAGACAAGCCACAAGGTTAACTCAATGACTCTCATCCAGTTACAGTTTCTTATTATATATTATGCGAATTGGTCACTGGCTCCATCTACCGAATGGAAATCCTACTAATCAGGAGAAACCCGAATGAATGAAATTGAGTTTCTCTCACAACCAAATCAATGAATTCCCAAAGATGGAGCTGAATGAGCAGCATAAAATGTTACAATCGACTGTAAACTTGTATCATCATTCTCTGAGTGAGAGCAGAAGATGGAAAGAGGAAGATAAATGCTCCGAGAAGAAAAGCGGGCAATTTGAAAAAAATTTCGAAAATTTTTTTTTAATTATTTTTCTCTCTCTTTCGATTTGACGATTAATTTAATTTGAATTAATTGTTTAAATTAAAGTGAAAATTGATATTGTGTGTTAATAGAAAGTTTAAATTTGTTAAACAATTACAGTTGATTGTTAATTCTAATACAGATTTGATTATAATGGTTACATTTTAATTGGCGAAAGGGATGAGATAAAAATCCAATTGATTGTTAATTATTGTGAGGAAATTAATTAAATGTGAAAATCAAGACAAGAAAAACAATTAATTGATCAACTGAATTAAACATGGAATTTTTTTTTGATCTCAGTTACAGAAATGACCTTTTCCAACCTCTAAGTTTAAACTGATCTTCGGGTCAGGTCATTTTTGAGGTAATAACGGTCAACAAGAGTAAATTGATTGAGATGATTAACAAAACAAGAATCCAATTAATTAACCAACAGATTAACATTTAATTTTCTCTTAATTTTCCAATCATTTCAAGCAATCAAATCTCTCAATCAAATCTTCATTTTTTTCAAAAGGATTTTTTTTTCTTGTTAATTATTTGGTACAAATAACGATTTTATCAACAATTAACAATTGTCTTCTTTTAACCAGCAATTAAAGAGTTATTTATAAGTGTATTTATACATATGAAAAGGTAATTAGTTAATTGTTGTAATCTATGTTTAAGTTTATACATATAATGTAGTTGATTGAATAAGTTTTCAAGTTGATTATGATTTTGATCACTGTACAGGGTTAGGGTTAATTGTTGATTCCAATAGATTTTGTTGGGTTTAAATTGTTGTTCAAATTAAAGTTTAAGTTATAAACAATCAGTTAATTGTGTATTTATTAATTGATGATAGTTGATCATCAAACTGTTGAGCCAATGAGCCAGTTTGTATATCAAACTAATCAAATTTTTGTTTCATTTGGCACTCAAGTCACCGATGATTAAAAAAGTTACCACTGAGCTGATTAGGTGAACAATCAATTGATTGTGATCAATTAATTATTCACATCATTTTGTAAATTAAAGTAATAACTTTCCAATCGATTAATGATAATTGATTATTAATTGTATTATATAAGTGATTAACATGATTAACAAGAGGAAAGGGAAAACAGAAAAACTTTTAACAAATTGAAATTATTTCAATTGTAACTGAATTAACTTTAAATTGTCAATTAATTGTCTGTCTTTCTGTGTATATATTATGTGTTTACATCTGTACAATATTTAAACAATTTGGGGCACCATTAATTTTAATTGTTATAATCAAATTAACTTTTCGTTGGTTTCAAATTTTTGAAAATTTCAATTCCAATAAGAAACAAATCAACAAGTTAAATTGAATTAATCAACTGATTTAAATAATTGTGTATGATTAAAACATGCATTTTTCAAGTGATGATAATCAATTAATCATAATGATAATAATAATAATGATAATAATGCATATGATTAAGCTGAAAGTTGATTAAGAAATGATTTAAAATTAACGATTCGAAATATGAATTCTGCTAATTGTGTTAATCAATTGATTAACTTATTAAAGTAGCAATTGAGCCATGAAAGGGTAAATTAAATGTTCCTCTGAGAAAGAGATGAACAGTTGATAAGGTTAATTAATTGGATTTGATGATTTACTGTTTGCAATTTAAGATTGACCACTTGATTGGTCAAGAATAATCTTCTTTGCCCATTCCAAAAGCAGGAATAAAATCAGTATGAGCATGAATCGGATGTGGAAAACCATATCCGGGCATCGGCATCCCTGGTATACCATTTCCGGGAGTTTGCATGATAACTTGACTTCCCATATCGTCCATTCCCGTTCGTCGAACTGGCCTGGTGCTTCCATAGCAGCAGATAACGTGTTTCAATTCGCGCATCAGTTCAACAAAAATATGATCCTAAAGAAGAAGAAATGAAAAAAAAGTTATTCGAAAGAATAAACTTTGTTCTAATGATATCGAACTTTAGAAATTGGTGGACTTACTCGTTCCCCTCGAGGTATTTGTTTCATTTTCCAAACAAACTCGAAAACACATATGACCACCGCACAAACCGAACCCGCTGCAAGTACAACGAAAACCCCGCCAACATTTGCCAGTCCAAGTTCACTTGCCGCTCCTGCGGCCTTTTGAGCGCCATCTTTGGGTCCACACTTTTTCTGGCTCCACCATTTCTCCTTGATCGCTTGAAGAATACCCTTCTCTTGAAGGGCCAAAATGGTGTCCGAAATGATACCTCGATAAGGTGAATCAGGTGGAGTGGCAATACCATAGCCCTTAGAATCCAATAAACCACCAACCTGATAAAGGTCACATTCTCGTTCAACAATATATTCAATGGAAGTTGACTCCATAAGATAAGCATAATCGCCCTTTTTAACCCGTTCGGTGCCCTTATCGTTACTCTCAACGAACACACTGGGTCGTGTTGACTCCATAAAAGACCACATTCGAGCGTATGTTGAGAAATTTGAATTCTAAAGCAATTAAAACGAAAAACAAACCACAATTAACCCTCGAATAGTACTCATATATATTAATATACGTACTTTGAAAAACGCTTGTGTCGATCCAAACATAAGGCATCCGTAGTGGATTTTTGTTTGTTTAGCCAAATCTTCAACGCTCTCAATTGGATTGACCATCCTTTCAACTGTCAAAAAGGCAGCTAAATTAGCGGTATACGAAGAGACCAGGATAAGGATGAAAAACCACCAAGAAGCGGCAAGGACTCTTGTTGATAGTGCCCGAGGCATAATATCACAGCCTTGTTGCATCAGGCAACCAATTGTAAACCAAAGGGTATTTTTCATTGTAAAATTGTTTTCCAGATCTTCCGGTGTTTTTATACAGGGATGAGGATTAATCCACTCGTAGGGTGAGAAACGTGCAATTACAAAGAGAAACAGAGTAACACCAAGGAAAGCGGTTAAAAGGTAAATCCAAACTTCTATGGCCAAAGGTGACATGAAACTGAACAATCGGGGTGGTTCTTTCTTGGGTTTACGGAAAAGAATTCCAATTCCAAGGTTCATAAAGGGCATCGTAAAGTCAACAGCAGATTCACGTTCATAAGTTATCGTTAAATCAGCAACAGCGATATCAGCTTTCTATTTATGGTTCATGGGGATGAGAAGATGAGAAGATGAGAGAACAAAGATTAGAAATTGAATATGTTCGGTGTGGGAAGATCTCGACTATTTTTAGTTCTATTAGATGATATACTTACACCGTCGATCAATTCTCGAATCATTCCATTCCATTCTCCTTTCTCATTTCGACGACCATAAGCTCGATCTTCAACCAAACGAATAACGTATTTAAATTGTAATCGTTTGGCGATTTCGTTCATTAAATCGATACAATAACCTTCGAATCGATCATTTCCAGTTAATCCTTTCTTCTCGTAGTCTTCAACGAACATTGTATAAGGTCGGCCCTGTATGATGAGAATAAATTGATTGACAATTAGTAGACTAATTAGTCGTTGTGATGAAATGTCTACTCACTGGAAATGTAGTAACTACTAAAGTCTTATTTTTCAAAGTGGCCTTAAAAATTTCCTCCATTGTTTTACTGTAATTACCGATGAACTGGACTCGTTTCTCTGCAGTCCATTCACCGACCTGAATAAATTAGATTGTAACAATTAGATGATGATGATTAACAAGTTTGTTGGTCATCTTTTTGATTTCCTACCTCTTTTAGTCCTTCGTTGGTCAATTCGATCAATTTGAGTCGGACATCGGTTCGTAATCCATTTCGATCAAACTTAATATCTCCAGTTAGACCTCGAACTGTTATCTAAGGTTTTGATTGATAAGTTTGTTAGAAATTGGAACAATTCAAGTTAATTAACTAACCATTCTCATATAATTTGTTAAAGTGATTCCATATTGCCAGGGATCTTCACTTTCACATGATAATGGATTCATGGTGATTGTTTTACTCCGATCTAAATCATGAAGAGCTTTGGCCAACAATTTAACTGAGTCGTACATTAGAGCAACTTCAGTCTGAACAATTAACAAGAAAATTAATCAATAGGATTTGTTAATACCTTCAGTAACTTTCAACTGAATCAAATACTTACCGTAAAGTTTTGTAAAAGTGATGCCTGAATATTTGATGGGGAAAGAAATCAAATGAACAATTAGTTAAATTTCTTCGGATTTTTGTTAGTTTTGTTGATCAGATTCAATTGTTACCTTTGAACTGAATGGATCTTCTTCAATCCAACTTGACCTGGTCACTGGAACTGATGATTGCCATTCTCGAATGATTTCCTTAAAGTCATTCGATGATCTTTCAATAAGACAAAATGATGAAATGTTTGTCCCAGCATATTGGAAATCTTCAAGGTCAACAGTTTGAAGGTCAAGGGTTGTGAATATATAATCATGATACTCGGATAACATGTCAACTTGTTGAGCATGACGAAGTACATTGTGGATGTTTTCCCTTGGAACGTCAACAATTAAGTTCTTAATGTTCAATTTGTTGACCTCTTTGAAAATAGTTCGATATTCATCAGTCTCGAATTGGCGAACAACCATTTTCTTTTCCCGAAGAACTTCATCTTTCAGAATCTCTTCCAATCTTAATAAGGCTTTTAGTAAACAGAAACAACAAAAGAAACAGAAAAAAAAAGTTCAATCAACATTTCATTGATTCTATGACGAAGAGAAAAACTTTTCGATTTTTGTTTTTTCTTTGAAAGTTCGAACCAAAAAAAAATGTTACCTTCGTTTTCTTGATACAAAATAGCGAAATTTTTCCAATTCTTCATGCGAATCAGATCTCTTATCGCTTCTCCGAACACCTTCGGGTGTGGATAAAGATTGAGCGAATGATTTGCCGCTATTGACCTGAAATCTAATCGAGTCTCCATATGAGGAATGTGAAGAACATCACAAGTTGACTGAATATGAGTCGAGGTCTCGATTGATTGTGGACCAAAAATCGCCGCTATTCCTTGTTCAAATAGACCACAAGCTATAATAAATTTAGAAAAGAAAATGGTAAATTTTGTTTCGAACTTGAAAATTGAACATTCGAACATTTTCTTCTCAATATTACCTTTTTTCGATACTGAGAAACTATCACTTTTCTCCACCTTTTCCACTTGAGCGAGTAATCGAGATCTTGGAATCATTTTACCGTCGCTATTGATTCGTTCAACTGCACTTCGAAAGGCCATTTCCATTGGATCATCTCCGGTTTCGAATAGACCACCTTAATTACCGGAAAGAAGAAGAAGAAAAATCAAATTAATCCAATCATTAAATTCTCAGGTCAAAGGTCAAAACTTCATTTCCATTTAACGTCCAATCAAACAATCACTTTAATTCACCTATTAATCAGATACTCAGATAATACGATAAGTACTTTAATTAAGAGCTTAAAGTTAATTGTTTGTAACGATTGAGATGATTAGCTGATCAGTGATTATCTCAGATGATTCAAGTAATAGTTGAGATTAATTGGTTTGATTTTCGCAACAATTAACTTACCTATTCTCAGGATTTCAGGTAATGCAAGTACAAAATTTACGTTAATTGTAATTAGTAGAAAATTTAAAATCTTAATTAACCAGGTAGACTTCATGATGGTTCTAATGAACAATTAACGATTATTGAATAAACAACAAGTTGATTATAATGTTATAATATTTGAACAGTTTAATATCAATCAAAGTCTCAACTAGATTGATAATGAATCAATAAATTGCTGATGAAAATCAATAACAATTAACAGGTTAGCCAATAATTCATATTGTCACAACGACAAATAAATTAAAACCCTTGGTGATTAACTTAATTGTAAATTAGTTTCCTGTTGATTCTGATGATACTTGAACAGTTTCACAATCAATTAATCATTATATTAATCACAATAATCTGGGTAAACAATTAATTGTTGAAAGGGTTCCAAGTGACCGTCCAAGTGAAAGTGATCATAAAAATTAAGAGGTTGATTCAATTCCATGATTTTTTGTTCAAACAATTAACCATTTGATTAGAGTCTTAATCACAATCATCAGGCCACTAACGATTAAATCAACATGCAACTCATATAATCACAATTAAAGAAATCAAAAAAAGTGAAACAACAAAATCAACGAGGAAAATATTGAACTGGGAACAATAATATCGATCCAATTAACGAAGGGAGTTTTTAATCACTGGGAACAAACGAGAAATCAATTAACTTGATCAACGAATAGGAATTAAATGATTCCAATATTAATTAGAAATCAAATGTAATCACAACTTAACAAGATGAAAAATCGAACAACAAAATTAAATCAAATTAAATTCGAAAGAAAATGTTAATCATATTATTATTATTATCGAGAAAAAGAGAAAAATTTATTCTTCAGCTTCTCTGATTCTCTGAGTTCGGCGTTTGCTCTTCTTGGAATTATTTTCTCTCTCTCTCATCATCTTCTTCCTTTCATCAACTTCTTTCTCCATCCTCATCCGTTACCATGGAGATCACATCCCATTGGAATGCTTGGATGAAGGTGGAGAAAGAGAAACCAAAATGATAGAGAAAAACAATATTATTGATCCATTGATGATCTTTCCCCTTTTACGATTTGTAAACAAATTCCATTGACAAATATAATCAATTGTGTAACAATTAGACTTTTCCAATTACAATTAACTTGACCACGAGAGTTAATTAATGTGTTCATTTTCATTTCTCTTTCTCTCTCATTGAGAATCGTTTTCAGAAATGTGATCATAGTGAAAATTATAATTCTCATGCTTACATATATTAGAAAACAATACATGATTAGTTAGTTAATTTATTGATTTAATTGTAGTTGAAACAAGATGCATAGAGTATGAAAATTGTTTTTCATTCTTAGTCAATTGTTAGTTAATTTGTTGAGTGATTTTTTGGTTAATCAAACAAACATTGAAGTGGTTAATATAATAATAGGAATGATTGTTGTTTGATTAGTTTTGTTACCTGTAAACTTTTCATTTGTAAATAAAGATCATTAATTAAATAACAGTAATTAAATTAATATCTTTGAAATATGGTAGCTGAATTTGATTTGGCTCGAAATGGATTAATTTTGCTTTTTTTTTAAAGCAAAAATCTTCACAATTTATATTTAATTTGTAGATTTACGATTTCTTTCAATTTCTTTCTGGAGGATCATTGTGATGATTTTATTGTTCGTAGGCATCAGCGATAATTAGATAATTAAGGACATCAACATGAGTAATTATTCCGGCAACTTTAACTTCGGAAGGTGAAATTTGGTCAACAATTACAACAAACGATTGTGATTTAAGGAGAGTCGTTAGAGAGCCAAGTGTCTCGTTACGATCAATGGAGGGAAAAACTTTGGTCATTATAATTTCAACGGGATCATCAACGGTCGCTGCACCACCGACCAAACTTTTCATGGTCGCTGAAACAGTTACCATACCTTTAAGGAATCCGGAAGAATCAACAACCGGCATTTGGTCAATTCCTTGACTTCTCATGGTTGAAATGGCTTCACTTATTTTATTGGTCATTTGAATTGTTATCAGACCCGCACCAACGGATAAACTGTCAATGGTCAAATCCCAGAACCAGGGTTTCTGTTGCTCTTGAGCTTTGAGTAGACTTTCAGTGAGAAAACCTCTCTCAGCCATCCAATTGTCGTCAAGTAATTTGGTCATATAGTTACGAACACTGTCCGGTAAGATGACCACACAGGTTTCATCTTCTTTTAAATCTTTGGCGACCTTCATAGCGGCAGCCATGGCACTTCCAGATGATCCACCACAGAGAAGACCTTCTTTTGCAATTAACTCTCGAGCCATGATAAGTGATTCTTTGTCTCCCGATTTAACCCAAAGGTCAACAACAGATCGATCTAAAACTGTTGGAATAAAATCATAACCAATACCTTCAACTTCGTAAAAAGTTGTACTCGTCTCGTTAAGGGTCTCAGGTTGAGCCAAAATAGATCCATAAGGATCAACACCGACGACCTTACATTGAGGCACAGTTTCCTTTAATTTACGGCCAATACCCGCGATGGTACCTCCAGTTCCAGCACCGAGAACAACCATGTCAACCTTATTGTTACATTGTTCCAAGATCTCGGTGGCAGTACCATCATAATGAGCCAATGGATTAGACGGATTAACATATTGATCAAGAATAATTGATTTTGGTATTTGTCGGCACAATTTCTGAGCAACCGAAACATGAGAATCCGGTGAATCGAAACTGGCTGATGTTGGTGTCCTAATAACTTCAGCTCCCAACGCTCGAAGTACATTGGCCTTTTCGGTGGACATTTTCTCGGGCATTACAATGATACATCGATAACCCTTAACAGCGGCAGCCAAAGCTAATCCAATACCAGTGTTTCCTTTTGATATCAAATGAAAAAAAGATTGAATTTAATACAAGTTAAGAGAAATGGAATGGAAAAGGAAAAGGAAAGTAATTAATTCTGGTTTCATCATTCAAACTAAATTGTAATAGAAAACAAATTTCAAGGATAAGTTGATTGCATAATCTTTATGCTGGATGTTTTTTATGTGTCATCTTTTAATTGTTGATGATGGAGAAAAGTTTTTGATTGTTTAATCATCAACTCAAATGATATCTATGACTGATTGTCTGGATTTGTCTGCTTTCCATTGTTATTGTAGGTAAATTTTGTTCAGTGTTAACTTGATTGTAAATAGTAATTGCTGATAAATGCTACGAAAGATTAATATCTAAATGATGATGATGATGAGAAATATAATCTAACGGTAGTAATCAAGTTTGACATTGGATCTTCATCTTATTGTCTTTGAATTGTGAATAATTAGGAAAGGAAAGAGAAAAATAAAAGAAATTAACATTATTATTACCTGAGGTAGGTTCGATTAATGTCCAACCAGGTTCGATTTTACCCTTTTCTTCAGCATCTTCAATCATTCGTAAGGCAATACGATCTTTAACACTTCCACCAGGATTGAAGAACTCACATTTAGCCAGAACTTGGCATTTTACACCATATTGACTGGGAATTTTATTCAATCGTATCAAAGGTGTATTACCAATATGATTAAGAACAGTTGGACAAACAGGAGCTCTTAATTGGCGGTTATGTAAATGAGGATCGATTGTTTCATCAGATTTACCCTTTGGTGACCATGTACATTTAGATGGATGATCAGGCGCTGGGAAGATTGGACACTCAGTGGTTGACATTTTGTAGGAAGAGAAAACGATTAAATTTAGAAAAATAAAAGATTAAAGTTGAGTATAAATGAGAGAGAGAGAGAAAGGATTAGTTAATTCTGATTGAAGAGCTCAAAGAGATCAGGAAAAAAAAGTGAATACAAGAGCAATAAGAAAAAAACACCAAACGAAAAAAAAGGAAAAACTGATTTTAAAGTAGATGTGATAACAAAATAGATAATAGAAAATGATAACCAAGTTGATAATCAATCTCAATTATACAATCAAATTAATCATCAGAGAGACACAGTTGATTGTGATTCGATTATCAAAGTGATTACAATCAAAGACTAAATCAGCAACATGGGGAGTTTCAATTCCACTTATGAGTTTGTGCACAAGTTCCCAAGCGCCACTTTCGACTTTAATCACACAATTATAACTAATTGATTATCTTAAATTATCTCAGAAGATTAGAAGAAAAAAAAATTAATTCCATTCAATCAAATTCTTATCAAACGGATAAAACAATTAAAAGTGTTTCTCTTTCATAATGGTTAATCTTTTTTCTGTTTACGAAAAATTCTTCAGGGGTGGTTACCTTATTTACGAAGGGAAAAAAGAGTTGAGTCATTTTCTTTTTCTCGTCTTAATGATCAAACGTAATTCCTTTGGAATCTAATTAATTACTTGGTGACCCTGTGAATTTATTTACCACCAGTTACTTAATCATCCAGTTTTCGAATACATCGTCATGAAGGATGAAGTAATTTCCATGGGAACTGTTGATTATTGGAAAATCACTTTCATCTCTCTTCAAGGTAATGTTTTTAATCTTGATGATTTTTATTTACATTTGATAATCTTTTTGATATTATCTTTTTTTTTTCTTGTTTAACACGTTTTTCATTTCATTTCTTTGATTCAGGGAAAGAATTTTAATTAACAATCAGCTGATGACAAGAGAAAGAAAACGAAAAAGTGAAAAGAAAAAATAAAAATTCTATTTATGGAAAATCAAGTGATCGTTTTCAAAGTGATGCCTTTTCATTTCCATTCACAAGTTGGGCCTGAGAAATTTACCTATGGAAAATTGATTGTCCTTACAATTAACACTTTGATTTCATAAATTGCTGATTAATTAGGCGATGTTAGCGATTTGAGGGATTTAAGTTTTGCGCAAAGTTCATCAACTGAATCAACCTAAGAATCAGTTACTTAGCAACTGAATCTGGTTGATTTCCAATGTAAAGTTTATATTTAAACACCAGTTGTGAGTAATTTAGAGTAACCAAAATATTGTCTCTTTTTGTTGTTGATAATTTTTGTTCCCTCAGGGCTTTTGACGTTGATAATTGTGGTTTTATCTGTTTACTTTGTGAAATTTTTTCCGATCATTGGAGAAAAGAGTGAACAAAAAAGCGATGCCATCAACTGATGATTATTTACTTCTTTTACCTAATCGATTTAGAGAGAGACAATTTCTTCACAAAGTTGCTGCTACTCTTTTCGTTTGTGTCATTTTTTTCTCAGTCTCTTTCTTTGTCTCTTCATATTTTCAATCAAAATACACAAAACCCTCAATTTTATCTTGTAAAAAACCCGATTATGATTACGATTTATTGGCCGTTCGTTGGACACCAACTTTCTGCTCTTATCAAAAATGTATCAACTCAACTGAAGATTGGGATATTCACGGTCTTTGGCCTAGTTGGAAAAATAAATCACAAGGGCCACAATTTTGCTGCCGATCTTGGGGATTCAGTCAAACTGAAATAACATCACTAATCTCAGAATTAAATGTGAGAAATGTTTAAATTATCAAGAATTTGTAATCTAAACCTTAACGCCTAATCTTTAACATGAATTTTTTTTATTACTATTTGTCTATTAGGAGCAATGGCCTAATCAAAAACAGAATCAATCTCTTGATAGTTTATGGAAACACGAATGGACTAAACATGGTACATGTTCAAATGTCGCTCGTTCTGGTGGTATGATCGCTTATTTCAACACAACATTGTCTTTGTTTGCTAAATATCCACTCGAAAAATGGCTTAACAATAGCGGGATCATACCAACACCAATAGAAGATAAATTTGCTTATGATATTGATAAAATTCACCAAACCATTGAAAATAATCTTGGTGATAAAACGATTACAATCCAATGTAAACAATCAAAATCAATTCCATTATTGGATACAATCTACTTGTGTTTCCATCCATCAACCATGGATTTGGTCAATTGTCCGCCCGATCGCTGTAAAGGAGCAAAAAAGGTCATTCTACCGAAAAGTCGATAATAATAAGATAAATTTTGTATTGTTTTCGCATTTAATAAGGGGATTGATTGTTAACTTTTAATTCACTGTTTTAATCAATTATTCGCAACAGAATTATTTTCAACTAATCCAATTCACCTAATCCATCACCAAACAGAACAATGATCGTTTATATCATTTGTGATTTACTCAAATCAACTAATCACATTGTATTAAATTGATTAATCTGAATTTTGGACTTTCTTGATAATCTCTTGTTATTGATAACAATGATTGATTCACAATCAATAGTTAATTTTATCAGTTCCCAAACGATTATCAACTCAAAAAATCTCAAGTCTGGAAAAGATTCAAGAGTTCATAATTTTCTTAATTGATTTGAATTCTTATAATCAATGAAATCAAAACATTTTATTATCGATTACACTTTTTTGTTTATTGAGAAAAATAATTACAGAAGTGACTTCAATTGTGTTTTTTGACGCTTCGGTGGTTTAAAAATGGAATAATTGTTTAGATAACTTAATGAACATAACTTATGCATTAGTCAAGAGATTACTGTAAGTGTAAAATTATTAATTTTACACAATTTAATGAATGAATGTCCTCATTATTGTCCTTGACATGGTCATCATCGGAAAATCTTGGTGCACTCGCCGATGATATTTTACAGGATGGGGATCGAGATTGTTCATAGGAAGTCCATAGGAAAATCCATCTAAAATACTAAAAACGCCATTTTTGAATAGACTTAAGATTCATGATAAATTCGGAATGGGAACCAATGCTCGAATATTTCGGAAGGTTCAAAATAAATGTGAAATACAATGACCTTGACTAACCAAATGTGTATCTTTTTATAAAAGAACCAATTATTAGTTTATAAGTTATTAGGTTAGATCTTAAGTTAGCTATGAAAGTTTTGTTATATAGCATCAACATATCTAAGAGCCATTTGCCTGTAAAAGTTTATGGTATTACACCAGGTCAAATGATTGGTTGGATGCGTTGGATTAAGCTGTAAATAGTACGAACAATCAGCACATTTGGGTGGAGAGATACATAAATCATTAGTCTTATATCGTTGACAATAAATACCATTACATACTTAGCACAACGGCATCTCATCACATTCATGAATCTGCTCGTTGAAAAAATTTACACAGCAATCAGGACATTGTTCCAGTTGTAAGAAGCAAGATTATCTCGAACATTTTGAAAGGTAAATAGAACTTCACTCAGTTCACTTCCATCACTTCGAGAGTAATCCAATTTATCTGGAAGTTCTCATCCGATTTGCAACATGAGCAGCATCATGATTTAACTCTTGATTTTGATGGAAAAGTGCGAAACTTGGTTGTTGATTATTCATTATCTCGCATCTGTAGTTATCTTCTTGCATCAACGTGAGCTTCTTATACAGGGCAATTCAGCTAACTTGAAGGTTTTCTTTTCACGATTACTCCAAAACTACTTGACCGATAGGGTCCATATTTCGTCTATGAAAGTTTGACCGATACTCATTTGTCATATTCCAAGGTCAAGGTCATTCAAGGTCATTTTCTTTAAACTGTTCCTGAGGTTTTTTAAGGTTATTAGAAGATTTTTTTGATATTTGCAAGTTCAATTTGCGCAATTGGAAATCGATTGAACATTCAGTTCGAGAGATAAACCTTTTTAAGTCTATAAAGAATATCAGAATTGTTTAGAAGAGCTCCGTTAGCACAAACCAGTCACTACCACGAGCAGGTGGAGATGCTTTTTAGTGGCCATTGGACATTTTTTGCTCCGTCTTGTTGGAAAATGAAATAGTCTTTCCAGTCACTTCTGACCATGGCCAACTCACGTAAAAGAAAACAAAAACTTGGGACCGAATATTACTTTTCATAATTAAATAATGATAAGCAACCTTTTTAAGATTTGTTTTGATATCAATATTTACATCTTCGTAAAAGCAAACATAATTATCCAGCATTACCAATAATTAACGTACAATCAATTGTTAATTTTGCACTTTCCAATTGATAATCAACTCATTGAATTTTAAGTCGCGAAAAGATTTAAGATTCAATAAAAAAGTTTTAATTTCTACTTTCAATAGGCGATTTGCATTTTTATGAACATTGAATTTAAACGAGTCCTAATTAAGATTATACTTTCGGGTTTATTGAGAACAAAATTACAGAAGTGATTTCGATTGTAGTAGAAAAGGAAAACAAAAAATTAAAACGAAAAAAACAACCATTTTACAATTAAATTTACACGTGAACTGAGACTAATCAGATCGAGTTTAACAATTAAGTCTCGTAAAACAGTTTAAATGGATAAGAAGATGATTAAGTTTAAATTTCCAATTGATTTGCTACTGTTGATGAAGATGAAATCTTTTTTCTCTTTGGATGGTTTTACATAATTGTTAATGGATTAATAGTTATAATTAGAGGAAGGAAAATCTCTCCAAATACTTAAATTAATCTCGCGTTTCTTCATTTAGTTACGATGAATTGATGATGATTAAAGATGCGAAGGATTGACAATCATTATCTAAGTTTAGTTACTCCTTGTGATCTTTTTTGTTACTGTTTTGACTGTTTTAAAGATGAGATAAATGTTTAAATTAATTTAATTGTCCATTGGAAATTTGTTTCTCCTTATTCTTGATTTGTGACGAGTTAGAGGATCAATTCCAAGATATTCTAGTGAATTTTTGGTTGACTTAGAGTCATCACCTTCTTCTGATGCAATTATGGTGAAGAATTTATACTCTTCATCCATCGAATAAGGTTCAGAACGATAATTGTACATATAACCTAAAATAATACTTAAAGCAGATAAGTCGTAATGATGACAACCAGAGTAACGATATAATGGCCTTTTATCATATCTACAACCATAACTTTGAGCTCCAACTGGTGCGATACAATCAATTGTTAGAACACATTTTATCCATGGTAACATTAATTGTGTATGAACTTTATCAATATTATATAAGACAATCACCGATGGTTCAATCATCCGATGGAAATAATAATTTTCAGGAGAAGTATGAAAATGTTCAAACATCCTTGGATGGGTCATGGCGGTTGTGGGCTCATCGATTGTCCAACATTGAATACCCTCTTTCTTTGCTGCTTCGATTGCTTTATTTATCTTTGGGATGGATGAAGGTAACAATTGATAACCTGGTTCAATCCATAGAACGGAGCCCGCTTGATCTAGAACTTGTTGTATTATTATTGGACGAAATGCGAACAGTTTGAGATCGTTCACATGGAGAGGGAAATTTTCAAAGGTAAATTTTCGAGTGTAACAAGATACAGATGAATTACAAAATTGGGTAACCTGAGAGGGAAGAGAATATATAAATAGACAAAAGATATTAGATATTAAATTCTATTCTATTCCAAGAGAAGAGAAAAAAAAACAAAAAGGAAAAATAAATTCACTTACGATCTCCGTTTCATCCTCATCCATGTTGAGAAGGTAAGTGAGTAATGAAGCTTGCGAATAATTTTCTTGCAATGATTGAACCAATTCTCTGATAAAATGGATCTCGTTACTCTTTATGGCAGTGACAAAAACGGGTAAGGTAACATTGGCCCATTTAGAATTAGGAAATAATCTTGGATTAGAAATAAATCCAAGATTCTTGAGGTATTTCTCCTTTAATTCGGAAGTTGTTTGCTGTTGGGTGTTACTGGAAAGGTAATAATTTCTATTCTCTTCAACTGCAGGAACCACAACATTCTTTATCTTAACCAAACTTTGAGATAGATGATTATCATAAATGATCCCCTCGAGTGGCTTTTGATCACCAACAAGACAATAAAATAAAGTTGATAATATGAGACATAAAATTATCAAAATGAAACCTTTGATTTTCATCTGACAACCAAATGACATTTTAACCAAATCCATGGTTGTAACTGCAACAGTAGTTTTAGTAATGAGTGATGACGATGTTGATGATAATTTAATGATAAATAATTCACAGCCAATGATAAATCCATTTTATTTACGTAGAGATCAAATGGAAAGACAAACCAATATAATCAAATAGAATCATAATTTTTTGTACCTTTTTCTTTTCCAATAGAATTTTTTTTCCTTCCACTTTTAGAACAATTTATTTCAAGAGTAATCGAAACAATTTCAAATGGTGTACAACACAATCTGGTGATTCTTTTAATTCACAATTTAGAAAAAGAGAAAGAAACAATTACTCCAAATTCACTAATTGTCATTAAATTAAAAAGAGAAACACAAAATTAATCATTGATTGTTTTCATCTTCACAGAGTCAACATTGGAACCGATTAGAAATCAATGTAACCCACCCAAGGGAGGAAAAGAAAAGCGGGAAAATTGAAAAGGAAAATTTTATATCGAAATAATTATTTTCGTCTTAATTTTTTTAGAATTAGATTATTTTCTATTAACTTTTATTTGTATTTTTTTTTACAATCTATTCAATTGATAATAATAATAATAATAATAAGGGAAAATACAAATGACATACAAATTGTGAGAAACAGTTAAGTGGTTTTATGTGTGTGAGTTTTAAATTGATTAGTCAGAAAGATGAATTAATGTTAATATAAGATAATTGTTGATTTGTTTTAAAGGAAATGTTGATGACTATGATTAGATGATGATGATGATGATTTCGTGATAATGATGATGATGGTCATGAGCGGTTAAGTGTATAGTTTTCTTTTTCTTTACAAGGCTAATCCGGGATTTTCATATTCCATGTCAGCGGGATTATCATGATCATCTTTGAATTCGGGTGAATGATGATCGTGATCTCGGTGTTTATGTTTGTGTTTATGTTTGTGTTTCTTTTTCTTTTTCTTTTTGTCTTTATGTGGTTTAGATGATCCACCATCTTCTCTTTCTCTGTCTCTGTCTTTATCTTTTTTCTTCTTCTCTTTTTCACCTCGTTCACCTCGTTCACTTTTCTCAAGTTTTAATTCAAACTTTTCAACTGTTCGATTGGTAAAATCTATTTGCTGCCTGTTAACCATTTCATCTGATGGTGGAATTGGTGTTGAGGCCATTTCTCCTGAAAGGGTGGCTGAAGGTGGGGTGAATCGCACATCTTCATTGTTACGATCGGAAAGTGATAATACAAGTGGTGATGATTCTTGTCGAGGTGATAATTCGGTTGCAATTAGTGGACTGGGAGTGGGTTGTTGTAAATTCAATTGGAGGTCACTGGGGTCAGATATTGGCAAATCTTCCTCTGATATTTTCGTTTCCGAAAGACCAAGACTAGGTTCAGCATTGTCATCCTATTGGAATAGAAGAAATTTTTTACCAACCAAATTAATCGAAGCAATGAAAATGAACAATATTATTTATATATCAAGATGGAAATTCTTACCTCACTAATATGTGATCCTTCAGCTGATAATCGCCGCTTCTTATTGGAAAGAAACTCTTCATTAACGGGCCTCTTGAGTGCGATGATCTTCGAGAAAGCGTCTAAAGGTTCAGGTTCAGTGGGTCGATCTTCACGATTTGATTGCTGTTTGAGAAATAATTCATTTAGTTAATCGTTGAATTGATCGTTGAAGATGGTTAAATTATTATTCTTACCGATGGTGACATGGAAAGAGCTGTACTGATGACTGCTTTTTTCTCCTTCAAGTTTAATACCATCGAAAACTATTGAGAAAATAAAAAGAAATTTAAAAACAAAGGATTAGTTAATTAACGAAATTTTCTTAAACACAAGTAATCATTTTACCTCTGGTTTAGGTAAACAGGAAGGTCGACCACGGCCATAGAAGGTATAGTAAAGATCGACGACAGCACATCGCAATTTAGAATCGTGGTATAGACAATTGTTCATTAATCTCCATAATCGCTCGACAATATCTTCGGTGTTCAGTGGATTATGAACATCTTTCTTGGTTATCGGTGGATTTTCAATCATCGCTAAAATGGTGAGATGTCGCACTTTCGGTAATGGATCATGTTCAATAATATCGAGTAAATAAGCGAGATCTTCCTTTCGCTGTTCGACTTTGGTAATATCAATAAGACACTCAATTGCCGCCATTCGAACGTCAATGAAAACACCATAACGAGCGTACTCTTGGTAGAAAGCTGAATTACTTGGTAAATGTCCCATTTTTTGAAGATGGCGAATCGCTTTGAGACAGGAAACGGACACAGTAAGTTTATAACAGGGTAACAATTTGTCCAAATTAAAATAACGAACAATCTCTTCTAGTATTAATTTAGTTTCTTGAGGTAGAGATTCAGCTTGTTGTTGTAAACTGGTACGAGCAAGAACAGCAGATACACAGGGTGTCACAGAAGCAGCCAAAGCATCAACTAAAGCAGATCGATAATAATTATCTGAGAATTTGTTTTTACTATTATCATTATATTTAAATAGATCAAGAATAAATCTCAACACTTCGGGTGGACAAATTTTATGAGCAGAGCGTAATCCAGCCATGGCAACGGGAAGGGTTTTCTGGAGGAAGTATAACTGGAAATTGGAAAAATTGTTCAACTTTGGTACTTGGGGACAAGAAAATGATCCATATAATTTTCTGAAAACATTCATCATAGCGGCTGGAGCCGGTGGACCAGTGGCTTGTGAGGCCATCTCATTAGAAACATGGGTTACAGCAGTTGCTGCCATGCATCGGATCTTATAAAAACAGTGCTCATTTTCAACAATGTCCAGTAAAGCTTTTCGAGTAAGTTGAGTTGGGAATCGTTTAAGTTGTTCAATGGCCTCAGCTTGAGCGGTTACATCTCGTTCGTAGCGTAACTGATATTGCCAATTGATGTCGGGCTGTTCAAAGGCAACTTGTCGAAGTAGCTGCATATCGGGATCAATCCTTATCCATAGAACGGGTGAATCGGCATCCATATTGGAAAGATCCATGTCAACCTCTTCTCCCGTACAGAGAGGAATCTTTTTCTTCTTATTACGCCGACTTTTCGAGTGACAGGTAATATCATGTTTGGTTGTATTCTCTTCCACTTGAAGATTATGTTTAAATGTTCCATCCAATTCTTGTATCCAAACGGTAATTGGCCCCATATATTTTCGTATACCAAGTGAAGTTGTTTCTAATTGTTTAATTTCAAGTTCAACAATATTACGTTTCCTATTAAAGGCAAAACTACCATGAAACTTTGGATGACCACCAATGTGAACCCATTGACCAAGAAATGTACCAATCTCTTTACCAGTAACATTGAAAATAACCTTGGTAAAACTACTTGTAGATATTTGAATATTAATCCAGGCCATTAAAGTGTTGGCGGTAATTTTTTGTTGAGATGCATTGATTGCCAATGATAGAAGTTTATTAAAAACTTGAAGCATCAATTCACGACCAATACGATCTTCTAACATTCGTATGATAAGATGTGACTTTTTCCGGTGAATTTCATCATAAAGAGGTGACACAGTGTGAGGATAACGATAAGAGAAATAAAGAGCATTGGAATTATCATTGTCCGATGTTTTCGAAGGGTCAAGAATTACACCTCCATGGGTTTGCTCGTAAGCGATAACTTCATGGAGCTCTCGGTTAACAAAGAAACGATACTCATTGTTACCAAACGCTTTCTTCCGATATTGTGAGCTTAAATGAGCGGAGATACCTCGAGTTAACCAGCAATCGGAATAAGCGTTCATGGTGATAAAGGTACCAAAAAATTGTTTCGCGATTGCAGAGGCAAGAATATTTCGAGTATCATAAGTTTGATCGATAATGTGTTTGGAATGAAGGAGATTAACATCAAATATACTCATGGATGCATAAGAAATACAATCACCATAAGCTTCATCAACGAAAACCTGCTTATAACAAGTGTATGGATATCGGGTTGATAAAAGTTCCTCATAGAATTCAAATGCTTCATGAAGAAAGGAGCATGTGGCCTGAAGGTGAGATCGTAAATGAGGTAGACAAAAATGAGTAACTTCATGCATATTTGGATCGACAATCACTTCAAAAGGTCCAACAGCTAATCCAATGGCTGGAGCACAAGTTGGTATATTAAGTTGATAATGATAAGTTTTACGTTTTTTATCATGGGTATAAATTACATCAACCAGATCACCACAAGAGACCGCGACCATTGAAGCATCAACGGTAAACTCTAATTTCCATGAACAAGGTTCACTGTAAGAATCTACTGAAGGAAACCATAGACGAGAACTATTCTCATGACCATAGGTGAATAAATGAGGAACCGTAACGGAATAATTTGGATCATCGATTTTCCTTGGTACACCACCGCCGAAATGAACACCACCCAAAGGTGTTTCAGCAGCAAACTCAACACTAATCCTTAGAATTTTACCTTCTTGAACATAATTTAATAGATCATCGGGAACTTGGATTATAATTTCACCATTATTTTTCTCTGGATCAGTTGAACTTATACAAGTTAAATGGGCAGAGGAAAAAGCGTCAATGTTACGTTGTTTACATTCCTCTTGACATATTTCCAAACTTGGATCATTATAGGTAAATGTACATGGATAAACATCATTCATATCAACTTTGAAAATTCTCATCTGTTTACAATTAATTTTGATTGTCCTTAAATTACTATCCTGGGCAATAACATGAAGCTCAACCATTCCAATATAAGATAGACTTTCAAAGTTAATATTGCTGATACACAACAGTTGATGGACCCTAAAAGAAGCATAGTAAACCAAATCAAAGGAGAATACCGTCAATATTATGTAATCAATGTTGAAAAGGTAAGAGGAGAAAAAAGAAATTAAAATTAATTAGTAATCAAGAGACAAAAATAAAAGGACAAATTAAAAAAATGAGAAGTGAAAAATTGGTTAATGTAAATCATCAATATCGATGTTCATCTCTAATTGTTAATTAATTAGATTATGTCACCGGTATACTTACAGTTTATATGGTCTGCTGTGTTCCTTGGCAATCATGGTGATCACCGTAATTAAATCAAACCAATTGTAATTACATTTAATAAGAAATCAAGACAAATTTAATTAGATTTTGAAAAAACCAAACCAACAAAATCATCGCGCTTAGGGACCGTTGATAAATTGAAAAGAATAAAAAAATTTTCTTCAATTTTGTTAACCAGAAATAGGAAATTAAGTTTAATTTTGTTAATTTAATTTAAAATTTGTTCTTTTAGTTAAATTAAAATGGGAGCTTTTAAATATAAAGGTGACTTTAAGCCTTCGAGTTTCAAGAATATTTTGTTGTTGTTGTGATTTTAAGCTAATTTTTGGCTTAGAAATACTTTGTAACTTGATTGTTTGAGTTACGAAAATGAAATCGTTGTAAATGTGATTAATTATTAATTATTTTACTCTTTTAGTATCAGTGTAATTACACTCATAAGGATTTTCATCAATTCGATTGAAGTAAATTCCTCTTTCGTTTGTTTCAATTGATCGAAAACCTAATTCAGTCTCAGTTGGTCCACAATCTTCTTGAACCTCAAAGTTTGCAATTCGAGGACAACGAAGGTTAGAACGGAAAGAGCAATCGGCTTTCTTTGCAATCGCCGCGTCAAAATAGACCAAAGCCTTGAAATGTGAACACCAGGCCAGAAAATTACCACCACAACCTGGCATAGCCCAAAGAAGATCGCCCTCCGTTGGGATAGAAATCTTTATGAGCCACCGGAAGATAATAACCAACCGTGTGGGGAACCGCTAATTGGAAGTAGATTGATGAGTGAATACAATCAGTGTAATCGGCATCATCGGGAGAAAGTGACCGTTCAGGGTGACCGTAGAAAAAGGGTGCACCAGGATCCAAGGCTAAGATGAGAGAATAGAACCAAAAGAGAAAAAAGTCCGAATTTAATTTCTATTGATATTTTTTGAATTCGATGAAAAAAATTGAGGTCAGATTATTTGTACTTACTGGTCATTCGGCCCATTTTAATATTATGGCGTTTTCTCAGCCAATAGGAAACATGATGACCCATTTGGGCACCAAAAGAGTGACCATAATAATAAATATCCGCTGGATTGAGATCTCGTTCTCGAACCAATGTACTAATTACATTTGCCGTTACCCGACCAACCATTTGTAAATTAATGGCCGCAAAAATACCCGCTGCTACTGGAATTGTAAATGAACCTGGATAGACGCCGTTTTTTGCTCCTCGATCCCAATCAACGGTCATCACATAAGGACGGACTCGAAGTAGCGATTCTTTCATTAATTGAGTGAACGATGAGTTTGCACTTGGGGTGAATCCATGAACCGATATACCAAGTGGTAGACCGTTGGGAAGGTCAGTTAACGGTCGCGCTAAACGAGGAGCATCAGCGCTGTAAAGCTGATAATTGGGACGGATAAAGGCCGGTGAATGGGGGCAAACCGCAACCGGCGGTAAAATGGGGATCAGTTCAAAGGTTTCCGGTGAAAAACAGCCCACTTCCGGATAACAGACTCGAAAGAAACACGGAAAAACGACCGATCGGGTCAAATTACGGAAAAAAACCCGTTGACCATCAGACGAATCAAAACTGAAACAAACAGCGATAAAAATTACAATCACGAAAGAAACTGATCTTTGCATGTTAATGGTTACAATTAAAACCAATCAAGTTGAGAAAATAATTGACTGAGAACACTTTTTGACAATCAACGAACAAAAAAGTTAATTGTTTCCTCTTTGATTATCGTTGTGTCAACTAATGTTGATAATTGGCACCTCGACTCTTGCAATTAACCAAATTATGCTGGTTAATTAACTAAACTGTTAAATAGAACCAAGTTGATTAAACCCCTTTCATTTTTAATAGGTTAATGAATCGGGAAATTAAAGTAATTAGGACATAAGGGCATTTGGATTAAATTAAATTGTTCAAGATAATCTTTTGCTTTTGTATAATCAATTATAATCAATATTTGAAATTAACTTTTTCACATTGTTTTTCATTAAATTCTTGAAAAAATATCAAGACAACAGAGGTTTTAATTGTTGTAATAAATTTGATTATTTATGTAATTGTTACTCTCTCCTTCAACATGACCACAATTCGAGGGTGATTATATTTTTTGTTTTTGATTTTCATGTTTGTAGTTATTATCATCATTGAATTGAGAAAGGGAAAAACATTAAATCGTTCAAATAATAAGATCAATTCTGAAAATGATGTTATTATTTGTAAATATTTGTTGTTGGTATGTTGAAGAAGAAGAAGATTGTTGTTTTCCACCGAGGATAGAGATTGAATTTTTTTTTTCCAAGATTGATCACCATGAACCATGAAAGCAAAAGGTTGAAGTAACATCAGGGCTTAGATTCATTAGTGTTTTTTTAGGTAATGTTGATATAATAAGAACGAGAGAGAAAGTCTTGAAAATACCCAGAAGAAGATGTAAACAAGGAAATGTTGTCTTAAAATCGTCATTGTTGTTGATGATGATGTAACTTCTAAATCTCCTCAATGTGTTGCTATCCACCCTTGTGATATATTTATAACCTTTTGTATTTACTATTTTGTATATAAAAATTTTTCATGAACCTGAAAAAAAGTTCATATTCATATTCATTTCTCTTTCTCTCCTTCTCTCTTTCTGTGTTGTTTTCGCAGGAGATATTTGAATGAGGTGTTGATTTTATGCGGTATTAATGTTTCTGTTTGTTGTGTTGTCTTCATGTCTCTTTTTTTTCATTAGTTTTTGTTTATCTTGTGTGATTCGGATTATTGTTTTTTCCTTGATTCATCAATTGTATGTTTTTGATTTTTCTTTTTTTTCATGGGCGTGATTGAAGAAGCCTTTCGACAGCAGCATTAACATCACCAAAGGTAGCTACAAGTGCTTGTAAATTGACCTCTCTATTGGTGAATCCCATGGCTGATAATTGTTCCAATTGACTTTGGTATCTTTCCTCGAGAGACTGTGTATTGGTGGTTAGATTGCTACTCAAATTACCAAGACCAGGGTTTGCACCTGATTGCGAAGTTAACATTTGTGCCATTAATTGGGATAATGCACCAACAGTAGCAGAAGTGGTTGTGTTAATATTTGATCCAGGGGTGGTTGAAGTTGGCGTCGTTGTGTTTTCCGTACTTGTTGTTGAGGTGGTAGTTGAATTAGGTACTGGTGGAGTAGTAGTGGTCATGTTAGGAGTGGTAGTAGCCGAGGGACAGGTTAAACCTCCAAGTGGACCACCCATCCTAAAAAAGAGCGAAGAGAGAATAAATAAAAATGGAAGAGTTAATCATTATTATTAAATTCTGGATAAATTAAGCAGAAGCAATGAGATCATATAAATCTGATGGGAGTGAAACTTATTCTGAGGAAATTCTCAATAAATTGACAGAGATGATAACAACAGAGTTTTGAAAGGAATTAACTTGATGGATCAAATTTATGAAATTTCATCTAAAAATAATGAATAAAGTGTACGTACATTCCAGATAGAGCTCCCGGTGCAACTCTTTGTAATTGCTCCATTCCTCGTTGGATATTCATCAAGGCCTCTAGGGCTTGAGGATTGGTCAATAATTGTTGAAACTCTGGACTTTGCATTCTCTGTACCATTTGGGGGGCTGTTGATCGAATCTGATCCATTAATTGTGGATTATTGGCAAGTAGTGGGTTCATAGACATCATTTGTTGCAACATTTCCGGATTCGAGGTCATATGGCCCATCATTTGACGCATGAATGGTGATTGTGTGAGGGTTTCCATAAGCGGACTATTGTCCATCATTTGCTGCATTAAATTTTGCATTCCTGCAGGTCCACCGGGTATTCCAGGGTTACTCCTATCAGTGGGTGGATTGGGCAATGTTCCTGTTGAAATAATATCAAAATAAAAAGTAAAATTTATAAGTAAACTAAAGAAAAAACTAAATTAAAAAAAAAATATCGAGTCAAAAAGCTAAAAGCAATTGGTCTGGTCAATTCATCCGGTTTAAATAATAACCTAAAAGGCAATCTGAGTCAAGAGATAATTTTTTTGAGTTAAATTTATCTAATCAACCATTAAGAATTGATGAATGCAAGTTAAAGTATAAATTGAAAGTATGACTTAAGAAATACAGTTGACTGATTAAAAGTAAATCATTAAATAATGACGCAGTAATCAGTTAATTCTAATTGTAATAAAAGAAATGATTAAAATCATCATGTGATGTTTGAAGAATCTAGTAAATTACATGGAATGAAATATTGTAGTTAACAATTAGTGAGCAGAATCATTTAGTTGATAGATTGAAAAAGCTGAGAAAAAACCATAAGTCACTGAGAAAATGAATCAATCTGATCAAATTAAAACTTGAATGTTGATTTGATTTAGATATTGAAAGTGTGATCAACAGGATCAATAAGAAATGAAACTGACAAATGTATCGTCACAATTCAACAACAAGAATCATTTGTTTGCTGAAAATAAAATTACAAAATAAATGACCAACGAAGAGGAAAATTATTATCATTAGAGATAAACCATTAGAAAACATTGGATACATCGCTCTCTCAGAATCTCCCTGATTCTGATACCTCAATCACGAGAGTGAAAGTGACATTATCCAGAATAAGAGATCGGGTTTGATAATAGAAAATTAATAAGTATAATGTTATTTAAATTGAGAATTTGATCATTCATGGATCGTGTGTAAAAAGTATTCACTATATGTAATTGAAACGATCATTTTATAATTTTGGCTGAATTGACGTTTGTCTTTTACATTGTCATATACTTTCACCGAAGGATATTGATCTTATCGATTATCTTTATGAAAATTTTCTTTCAACCAAAATGGATTAACTGGTTAATTTATGACTGAACAATTCAAATGGTGTGATATCTATTGCTGAGGATAATGTAAGAATTAAATTGAAAGGGTTAACAAGATAATAGATCATGCATAAGATTGAATAAATCCCATCAATTAGCATAAACTCAAAGCCCTTACAAGTGAATGACATTGGACAAGGAAAACAAAAATTGGGGAAGGAAAGCCGATAACATTTAACAAAAAGAATGAGAGAGAAAAAAGAATAAGTTGCAAAAAAGAATTGAAACTTGATTGATTAGTAGGTCTTAAAAGAAAAACAAGAATTGAGATGATTTAAATTGTAAAAATCAAGTTATCTATTGTGCGATGCAACTAATCAATGCTCATCAAGGGCTCTAAAAAAATACAATTAAGGTTGATCAATAGGAAAAAAAAGGAGGAAATGATGGAGAGAAAGAGAAACTGACCTGTAGTTTGTCCTGTGCCAGAAGAAGGGCTTCTTGGTGCCCATGGATTTGGCAATGGATCTCTATTTTCCACTCCAGTTTGGGATGGTTGAGAATTATCTCGATTTTCGCTGTTAAATGCAAATGGATTACCTCCAGTTATATGTTCTTGAGCAGCATTCAACATCGGTTCTTGAAATTCAGTGTACATTCGTCGAAGAGCATCAAATCCTCCTGGTAATGATTCAATGTTACTAAGAGCACGATCTTGTGTTCTCATTAGTTCCTGGAAAGCTGCTGGGTTACGAATGGTTTCCATGGCTTGACGAATTACCTCTGGATTATTCAACATATGACCAATCTCGGGATTTCTGTCCATTAAAGCTTGGGTAGTAGGGTTACTCCTTAAAACGGAACGAATGTAATCAGGATGTGACATCAAGTCTTGGAACATTGGACTGTCAACTAGAGAACGCATCATTTCAGGATTAGACATAAGCTGAAAAAGAGAGAAAGCAAAAAAAGAATAAATCAGAATTGAATATTATCGATCATATAAAAAAAGTCAATAGAAGATGATCATTAAAATCAAGAGAGAAAATAGAGGGAAAGGGAAAACATCAACAATCAAGGTTAAATGGGTTTAGTGAGACAAAGAGCAAATGAATGGGTTAATTTAATCCACAATATTGAGCAAAGAAAAAGTCATACCTCTTGCTGAAGATTTTGTTGCATTTGTAATAAGGTTTGTGATAAATTTCCAGAGTTACCGATGCTTCCGAAATCAAAACCAGGAAACATGGGTGGTGCTGGTCCTGAAGGGCGATTAGGAGTTGACCCAGTTGATGTTTTTGAACCCGGTGATTGAGTTGACGTTGAAGAGCCATCAGGATTCTGAAAGAGAGAAAGAGAGAGAGAAAGGACAAGCAAAGATAAAGAAAGAGAGAGATATATGAATAAGTTATAGGATTAGCTGAAAGTATAAAATCTATTGCATGTGGTAAAATGTACAAACCTTTTTAGCTCTGGTAACTAAATGAATTGTCAAACCATCTTTAATCTCTGTAACATGAAGAAAAATTAGTAATTAATAGTGAATTATGTTGACTAAGGTTGTAATGAAAGATAGAGGATATAAATATAGAAAGGACTTTGAACATTAAGAGGAAATAGAATTTAATCTTACTGTGTTGTTCCAATGATTCGTGATCCTTTAAAATTTTTCCAGCGAAAATTAGGCAAACTTGCTCTTCATCCACCTTGAATCGTTGAGCAACAATTTCTCTCAACTAAACCGATAAATAAAAAGCAAAAATAATAATAAAAATACAATATCATTTAAGTGGAAAGGAAAGAGAACACAGAGAAAGTCTAAAAAAAGACAGAAGAGAAACGAAAAAAAAAATCAAAAGAGAATAGAATAGAAAACATAATGTAAAAAGGTAACATGTAACATTTAGAATAGAAAATAGACTTTTTTTTCTACACAGAATTAGAATTAACAAATTGATTAACAACTTACCCTTTTAACGGAACCATCTTCTTCTATTTCAACAGTATCTTTATCCATGGGAGTTTTAACAATCAATTTAATTTTAGGAGATTCATCATCACTGTGACTTTTATCTCCAGCTTCAGCCATATTTAAGGTTTAATAACAATCCTATTGATCAATTAATGGTTTAATAATTAAGTATTTATGAATGTGACAAAAAAAAAGGTAATCACCAGACAACAGGAATATACGTATATATATTTATATATGAAAGGAAATGAATCTCCGTTGCAGTTGAAGAGAAACAGAAACAGAAAAGAGAGAGAAATAAATAAATAAAAAGACAAATTAAAACAATAACAATTGACAATTAAATGTAATCTTAATTAGAAAAATCTAAATTTACCAAAAATCTGATGATAGAAAAAAAAAGTGTACATTGTAAACCTTCTCGGTTGTCAACATGACTAAACGCCCTCTAGGTGGCGCCTTCGAACGGTCATGTCGGCCGTTGGTTTAGAAAAGAATAAGCTTCATACATTAAATTTAATCTGTCAATTACATCAGTCAGTTTTTTCTCATCTTCCTTATCCCATAATTTTACTTCTTTCTTAATTATTTGTTCGTAATTTGGAATCTTTTCCTGTAACCATTTACATCCATTTAAATAGTGTTCAAACGTATTCTTTTTTCCGCAACATTCAATATCTACTTTTGTGTCCACCATTTTCTGGATGATCTTTAGCTTTCTTATATTGATTTTTTCACCTATTTTCATGTTAAATTTATTATATGGTGAGTTTGATTTTTTGAATAGCTTGTTCATTTCCTCCATTACTTTAACGTCTCTTTCTTTTCTTTGTCTCAATAGTGAATTGATTTGCCAATTAAGAGGTACGTCCTGACATCTGATTTCCCTCCAGTTCAATTCACCTCCATCGTGTTCTTGGAAATTCCAGTTTTGCCCTTTATTCAATATCCTTCTGATGTCCATGGCAAATGTTGATCTGCCTTTGTAATATTTTGTGGTTCTTTCATCTAAGATGATCGTATTTTCTGAGTTTCCAAAGGTGTCTATCAGCCATGTCAATATTTCTATTGTTAGCCAGTAGATGTTCTTTGTTTCTCTGTTAAGTCTGAAACATGGAATATTTTCTTTCGAGGTTGTAACCAGTCCACCATTGAATCGTTTTCCTACTAATATTTCATATCTGAGTATTAGTCCCTTACCCCTTTGCCTTTTATGAAGAAATTTTTCAAGCGGAATCATTTCTTCTGCAATCCAATTAATTGTCTTTTCCATTTCTTTTGTTACTTTGTATTTTAGAATATTTTTCACCGGAGAGTTACAGCCTTTTATCACATAAGTCCATCTGCTTGTGCTTCGCTTTTGTTGTGTCCACTTATTAACGATCGTTCCTGTTAATTCAATCATTTTAATCAGATTCTTTTCATCATTTATCATCCAAGGTGTGTGCTTATATAATATCGGGACCAGGTAAGTGTCTATCAGCAATTTTTTGGTCTTCCAGGGTAAGTATTTTAAAAGTGGCCATTTGGGTTTCATCTTTGGTACTATTTGTTTTACAAATGAGTTGTTCATTTCTCTTTTTAGCATCGCTTCATGTATATTGTGATTTTGGGGAAACGTGAACCCAATTAGTTCACCCACTTCATTTCTTCTAATATATTCGGTTTTTTTCTCATTTATCTTTAGATTAATTTGAACTAGTTCTCTTTTTATCTTAGTTATTACCCCTTTCACCTCTTTTGGTTGTGTTATTATCGCCAGATCATCAGCATATGCGGCTATATTCACGCCTTTTTTTACGATTTCTCTGATTACGTGATCCAGCGCAAAGATAAAGAGAATTGGACCACAAGCTGTTCCTTGGATTACTTGACTTGTACATCGTTTGTTCATCTTGATACCATTGTCAAAGTATGTTATCCATCTATTTTTCATTGTTGACTTAATCATTTTAGTTGTTGATTCACCGAGAAGTTCCTCTAACCGAAGCCAGATTGGGTCTAGGTCAACATTATCAAATGCGGCTTCAACATCTAGTTTGATTACAATCGTTTTTGGATCCATTAAGTTAAATACTTTGAAGAAATAATCTTCTCTTCTCATATTTTTAACAAATCCGAATTGTGTTCCTGGTAAGAGGAATTGTGTTGCTATTCTCTGTAGTCTTTCTGCTAGTATATGATCAATGATTTTGTATAAGTAACAAGGGGTCATAACCATTCTCAGTCTACCATCCGGTTTAGGGACAAATCCAGCTCCTAATGTTGTTAACAAATTCGGTACATGTGATATTTGAAAGCATTTTTCAATTAGATTTACGATCGTTGTCTTATTGATCTTGAAGAATTTATTCCATGTATGCGAAGTGAAATTATCAGCTGTCAGACTACTTGATTTCATCTTTAATTTACTTATCGTTAATTTTTCTTCCTCAGATAAATATCCTTGACATATTATTGGTACATCAGTGTATTGGGGTCTATTCGTCGAGAAGGTCCTCAGGTGATTTCTTTTACTGTTTATCGTTACCTCATTGGACCATTTTATCTCTTCATTATCGTTAATTATAAATTTTTTGATTAGTCTCCATATTTTTTGACTTGATTTGGTTATTTTGAATTGCTGGTAGGCTCCACTGTTGATCATTTTTTTATTAATTCTTTCTGATAATTGTTTCAGTTTATCTTCTTCTTCTTTCGATTTTCGTTTTTTTCTTATTAATTTTCTTCTTTGGATTACCATTTTTTTGAGTTGATTTTTGTACTTTTTCTTTTGTTGTACCCAAATTGCATGAGTATCTGGAAAGTGTTTTATGTCATGAGCCAATCTAATTAGTGGATGGTTTTTATTCCAAGGCTTTGATTCATTGAGATTGTAGTCATTTTTTATTTTCCATGATCCAAAAAGTTTTATTTTTCTAATTTCTTCTTTCACTTTTTTCTTTTCTACCAGAATCTTCGCCATCAACCCAAAGTGATCTGAGTTTTCTTCATCAATTGTACCTTTGCTTTCGACGATTATTCTTATGCTCACAAAAATCATATCAATTACATTTCCAAATCTCTTGGTTGTGGTGGTGAGTTCATTTGTTATTGGATTGCATTGAAAGGATTTCAGTAAGTCCACAAGTTCATTTTCATATTGTTTCACTTCAAGTTTATTTTCCACTTTGTTTAATTGCCACCATTTCGATGAAACATTCCAGTCTCCAAGTAGTATTTTATCATATTTTTCATGTTTTAGGCAAATGTTTCTTATAATTGTCATAAGAAGTCGATTCATTTGAAGTTGATTTGCACCAGTTTTCATGTAAGCACTTATCACAATTAGTCCTAACTCTGGAATATTGATTGCGGTAATTCTATCACTTTCAGTTTTAATTTGTTGTATTTTTAAGTCATTGGTTACTACCAAAGCTTGTTTACCATTACACAAAACATTATCTTCGGTTATATATTCACTCATACATTTCATGTTTGGTTCACTAAGTGAGCATATCGATGATAAATCATTGTTTATTTGTTTGATGTATTTAAGTGTTAATTCATGATTGTTGTAAGCATTTATGTGAATTATTTTTAACATTATTAATCAATATTTTCTATTTTGTTTATTAATCAGGTAGCTTCGAATCTAAGTTCCCTGGTAACCGTTTCTTTTAAATGGAGATTCCTGCCAAATTTGAATTAGTTTCGATTGCGCTTGGTGAGCGGAATGGAATTTGTGCTCAATTTTTTGGAAGCAATTTTCTCATTGGGTCTAAACAATTTTTATCTCGCGAGTTTCTCACTTTACCTGGTATGCCTGTTGATTCTATCCAGTATCAATATGCTAGGCATACTTATCATGGTCAACGAGTTTTTATTTGTCGGCTTGTGATTGGTATAAGCGGTACAACTACCTTAGGTATTGGTGTCAGTGCGACTTTCCCTAAGGCTTACGAAATGGCCTGTTATCGATTGATTAACATCTTACTGGATCATTTCCCCATTACTTACATGGTAGTTGTTTATATATTTTCTGTTTTTTCATTACTGATTTGTGTTTTTGATTAGCCTTTCAGAGTTGTGCCTTTACCTAATTGGCGTGGTCACTGTTTCTTAAATGTGGCTTTATTACCTTGGTTTCATTCTCAACGTTTCGTTCATTATTTATTGAAGAATTTTTTCATTTTGACTTGTGAAATTAATACACAGCTTCGAGTTCACCCATGTCGTACCAAGACAATTTCGATTCATGGTGAATCCCCTTATCTTTGGATACATTCACTGAGTGAATATTATCGACACATAAGAAAGGCTTCGCTAGTCGAAAATTTTGAGATCAAGAATATTCCTCCCAATCTTGAGCTCAAACTGTGGCCCAATTTGAGAGGTCAAGTTCCGACCAAAGTAAAACCCTTAAATGATCTCGAGTTGGATTCTCATCAGACTCGTTTGTTAAGACATTTAAAGCAGTTTGTGGATTATGATTATTCAACCGCTGGTGGTTTTGCTGATTTGGTTTATCAGGATTTGGCTAACAAGTTGTCATTGGATGATATCGATTTTCATAAACTTTTGATGGTTACTATTTCAGCTGATGTTAAATGTCGCCGTTGTAGAAATGTGAGGTCTTTAAACTATAGTTTTCCTGTGGTTAGGCTTACTGTTGGTAATTATAATAAGTTAAGTGATATGTTTTTCAATATATCTTGCTGGTTGGATCCTCTACCTCTTTCTTGCAGTCAATATGTTAATGGTTCAGAGTGTGGTTCTAAAATAGGAAGTATCGAGAGTATGAGATTTACTCAATTACCTGAGATTTTGGCTTTCTGTTTATCCGGTTTCTTTACACAAGAAGATGCTTCAAAAGTAATAATGGAGGAGACAATTTCATTCGATTATTTGGACAAAAAGTATTTTTATCAAAGAATTTCTTATAGTAGTCGTTATACAACTTATAATAATGCTAATGGAGTAACTTGTGGAGATCGCTACTATGAACCCTGTATTAGTGATGTGAAAAGTGGTTCACATACCGTCGTAAACTTGAGAGGATCATCAGGTTATAAGGAGATAAACAACGGCTGTGTTTACGAACTTATTCCCTTTTTAAGTGAAAATTATTCTCCTCGATCATTAATTTTATATGAACTTGTATCATCTGAGTGGGTTCCGTCTTATTAGCTACGTCCTAATCTGATTTCGCTAATTATGTAATTGGTGCCAACCTCGATACAATGTTGAGCAACTTTCACATAGTCCCCACTTTGCTTTACCCATAAAATAAAGAAAACCGCTTGGTAGCTCAATTATTGATGATTTTTTCTTCAATTTTTCATAAAATTCTTGATTTTCGATGAAAATTGATATTTTTGTTTGTTCTTTTTTTATTAGATGTACAAGAATATTCTGTTCATCAGCCCATTCCAGGAGTTCAGCTTCAAGGGTTGTTTTTAACTCAACGGTAGCTTCCATTACAAACCATTTGAGCATCACAATTTCAACTTCTTTCTCTCTGTATGAAAATATTTTTTCGAGTTGATCTTTTCTCAATGGAGATTTAATTTTATAAACTCTTTTGTTCTTTGTCTTAATCGAATCTATGATCATCGATTTCAAGTATTCATCTGGTTTCCATTTTACGTTGTTTTTATGATGTACAATACACTGTCCCTGAATTATATTTTCTTCAAATTCCAGGAGAGAGTCAATTGTAGACGTTTCATCTTCATCTCGTAGGATTGTTATTAGTTTTCCCTGAGTTTCAATTTTTTCATTATCAGGTTCTTGTTGAATGATGAATGAGTTAATAGTGATCAGTCCACATATGATCTGTGTTGTCAATTTCCATTTTCCTTGCAGATCTTCACTTTTTAAACTAATCACATCCGATAGAAGTTCTGTTAACTTTTCACTATTGTTTTCAAACCACAGAATAAATTCTTCATTCATTAATTTCTCTTTAATCAATTTTTTTATTAATTCATTAATATCAAGGTCCATTTTTATATGTTTACACACAGTTTTGTAATTAGACTTGAAAAGTTGTTTGTTTGTAAAGTTATGGTTAGTTTACTAAGAGTCATTCTGTTAATCAGAAGGATCTTTCCTGTTGCTCTTGGTTACATCGGTTAGCGGTTATCTTAAAGCGATGCCAGATTCGGGTTTAGCTTACATGATAAGATAATTGTATTGATAATCAATGTCCGATATCGCCAATTGTAGTTCTACTCTGTAGTGTGGACAGGTTTGATCATACGCTTTATGTCCCTCACGATTACATGAGCAACAGAACATTTTTTTCTCTTTACAATTGGTAGATAAATGATTACCTCCACAAGATTTGCATCGAGCTTGATTTCTACATTTGTTTCTTGGATGACCAAAACGATGGCATAATCTACAAATGAGTACATTAAATTCATCCATTACTGTAGTGAAACCATAGCCTACCGACATTTTACCATTCAGTTTCTGTTCGATTAGTGATCTGATCAGTGGGCTGACCTCGATTATAACTCCCCATTTGTTTGTTTGTATTCCCAGTTCGAAGAACTTTTTTAGCTCAAATTGCGTGTTGTCTTTAAATCCATTTATTTTAAATATACGGTTAATGTATTGATTCCAGCTCTCATTCACTGGTGGTTTTAGGTGTAGCATCTTGATTGTTGGTCTTTTTTCATGTAAATCTGATCTGTGAGCTTCAGAGAATAGAACGATTAACGAGAATTTCTTCCATTCATAGATCTTAAATTGGTAAGATACATCCAATTCCGCAATGATTGAGGTTAAATATTGAATCGATCTCTGTGTTTGTTCACCTTCAATCAATATCTTAAAGTATCGTTGCATCTCTGCCCATGGCCACCAGTTTTTTGGTCGTTCTACCTTTATATCTGTTTTGTTTATTATCAGGTTACTTGATAATTTTATCTTCATTCTCTTCTTTTGAATCACATCGAGTGATTTGTCTCCTTCAACCTCTTCTTCTGATGATAGGGCTTCCGAGTCTTCTTCTTGATTACTCTCTTGAGCGACCACAGATTTGGTGTTAGCTTTTCTCTTTAGTGCTCTTTTAGTGGAATTCGGAATTGAGTCTTTTATCATTCTCGCATATGCTCTGAGAGGAGATAAGTTTTTGGAGGGAATCTTTTTGCCCTCTGCATCCGTTGGATCTTTTAGTAGTATTTTGATGAGGGTATATTCTTCTTTCATTTCATCTGCTGGCTCTTGTCTAAGTTTTTCTTTAATGTCCATGTTTTCCCTTTTCGGATCGTAATCATTCGGCAGAATTTTCTCTATTCTGGTTATCATGGCATCATAAACTATTTCCATTTCAGGAGAGAGTCGTTTCGGTGTTGGAATAATCATTTCTGTAAATATACAATTTGTTAAGATACATGTGGTTAATATACGTTTACTCTATATACATTTGCTCTATATACATTTGCTATATGTACACGTTTTCTTATGAATTTTCTTTTCATTGATACTTACTTGTTTTTTATTTTTCTTAGCACAAATTTACTATCAATCGAATCCTCACAGTTAAGTTCACACGTTTTGTAAGAAAAATTTTCACTTAATTTTTAATTTCGAATGAGAATTAATTAATTAATTCAGAAAGAGAAACAAAAAGAAAGACAAAAAGTAAGAGAAACGATTTTCTTTCCCCTGACATTATATTCCCTTTCTGTGGGCGTGACGGTTAACCTTTTATTCTTTTACAGGTAAACAGCTCCATCTATTGGGAGTTGAAGGTTAAGCGGTTTATCGGAAAGCAGCTGATCTTTGGTGACTTTTTTGTTCATCTCTCACCTTAATCATCACATTTAATTGTTTCTTTTTATTTATTAATTGATTTCTTGTAATTTTCTTTCTTTTAAAATGGCTGAAAGTAAAGGAGTACAGAAAAGAAGATAAATTTATAAAGTAAAGAATAGTTTTATTGATTCAATTATTCGGTCATACATTGAAACTTTTTTCGGTTTTTTAATTTTTGTAGCTCGAACCATCTCATACAAAAGACAACCCCAAACACGGCAGCGGAAATGAATCCAAGTGGCCCTTGATAGAACGACGGTTGAGCATCTTGTCGAGAAATTGTTCCCGTGGCCAAGTACAATTCCTGAATAAGGAAAAGTTTCATTCAACGATTCCATGGTCTGAGCAAAGGCGCGATCCAATTCATTTGGCTTATCGACATCTTCACCATTCACGATTTTCATCCAACTCTCGAGTAAATGACCTGACATACTTTGCGACACCTTTGGAAAAGGTTAGGTTATCGACATCTTCACCATTTAATGAATGGAATGTTTCAAATGGTAACAATTAACTTACGATCTATTTGGAAAGACATTTTGTTTTTCAACAATATTAATTACGTTTGGATGGTTAATAGAAAATTTTGTTTGTTGATTGTCACTTAATTGAACGAAAACACTTAATGAACAATTGTCAATTAACTCTTAATTATAAGATCAAAGATCATTGTCTCATCTTTCATCATAAGAGGTCATGGATAGAGATCAACAATCAACAGTTGGATCAAGTTTCAGTTGCATCACCATCGACTGGTATCACATCAACCGAAACCTCATCAGGCTGAGCGATTATCTTATTAGCGATCTAAGATAATAAAGGTGGAATGTCTATACAACGATCAAACCCAATGGACAGTACATGTTACGTGGTTCGAGCTATGAACATGTTCAAGAGTTTGTCAAGAAATTGGACATACGAAAAGTTACCGGAATCGGAATGGTTCAGGAGAAAATTTTAAAAGCTTTTAATATCCTTACGGTTAAAGATCTTTGGGATCGACGGGATGTTGTTTATTTACTTTTTAAACCAGCGGCGATTGACTTTTACCTTCGAGTTTCCCTTGGCCTTGGGTCGATTCACTCAAAGAACGAGGATGAACCATTACGCTCTCGAGGTCATGGATGCTCATTTAGAGCAACAAATGATTTCCGTTGGTTGGACAGCCAATTGATGCAACTTTGTGAACAATTAGCTGATACACTTGACGATTATGGTCTAAAGGGTAAAATTATTGTTCTTCGATTGGAATAAGATTTAAGGAGGATAAACATATTTTGTATAGAAATTGAGGAGTTAATTTGAATGAGAAAATTTGTATAAAATTGGGAAAAAGATGAGGATAAAATGATGAGATAACACAATGTCCGAGTAATTTAATGGAAAGGAGTAAAGAGTAAAGAGAAGAAAAAAATTGAGAAGAGGAAAAGGGAAACGGAAATGAAAGAGACCATAGGTTCATTTATTCATTAGTCGTACCCTAGACAAGTTCTCTCTAAAGGTTTTAACCTTAATCTTTTTGTTTCTACTCATATCGATTCTCATTTCTAAGTTTTCTATCTCATTGAAGTCAATAAAAATAGATTTAACTTTCTCATATTTCCTTTCAATGGACACCAATGAATTGAAGGGGTCAGGCGAGTTGAGGATGTAATTTAGTCTACTTTTTAAATCATCACTTATGTTGTCGAAGGCTGGGATGATTTTATTTTCTATGAAAATTAGAAGATCCTTTTCACGCATTTGATTCCTAAGCCGAATATCCAACGGTATCATAACCTTTTGACCTCTGTCAGTTTGTGTGATTCTTGCGGGACCAGCAAGAAGATGATTCATCAGTTAGCACCACAAAAGTTTGAAGAGATGGAATCTTCGTAAAGTTTAATATGATTTGGTAGAAAGAAAAAGATTTCGAAGTTATCACTCATGTTGAAAACTTAATTTTCACTTTCAAGTTGATGAAATTAATAAATTCAAATAGTTTTGTGTTTTCAACTGTTGAACTTGAATAAACTTTGTACACTTTGTGTTAAAAAGTCGTTGTGATTGTTTTCAAAGAGAAAAAGAAAGACAAAAAGTAAGAGAAACGATTTTCTTTCCCCTGACATTATATTCCCTTTCTGTGGGCGTGACGGTTAACCTTTTATTCTTTTACAGGTAAACAGCTCCATCTATTGGGAGTTGAAGGTTAAGCGGTTTATCGGAAAGCAGCTGATCTTTGGTGACTTTTTTGTTCATCTCTCACCTTAATCATCACAATTAATTGTTTCTTTTTATTTATTGATTGATTTCTTTTAATTTTGTTTCTTTTAAAATGGCCGAAGGTAAAGAAGTACAGAAAATGGTTTTACAAGAAGAATCTCAAGAGGATCTTCACCAGGAAGAACGTGAGAAAATGCAGTGAGTATTTTTTTCTTTTTTTCTATTTTTTTTTCTATTCTATTTTTTGTTTTGATTGTTCTTTTGTTCTGATTTGGCCATTTTCTTTTTGTTTTGTTTTGCTTTTATTTAGAGTCTTGGTCTCCAATTTTAGTGAAGAACAACTTAATCGATATGAAATGTTCCGTCGAGCTTCATTCCCAAAAGCTTCGGTGAAAAGATTGATGCAATCGATTACTGGTTGTTCCGTTTCTCAGAATGTGGTTATTGCAATTTCTGGTGTTGCCAAAGTTTTCGCCGGTGAAGTAGTTGAAGAGGCTTTAGATGTATTAGAAAAATGTGGTGAAACTGGACCACTTAAACCTAAACATCTACGAGAAGCTGTTAGACGATTAAGAACCAAAGGAATTGTTCCCGCTGGTAGACTATCAAACAAGAAATCACAATTTTTCCGTTAACCATAATCACTTGAAAATAAAACCACAATTTGGCTTTGGATTATATTTATAAACTGTAGGATAATTTTATTTATTCAATTGTCCGGTCATACATTTAAATAATTTTCTCGGTTTTTAAATTTTGAAAAGTTTCTTCACATAATCAGGAGAAACAGCGATATTCTTGAAGTATGTTCTATTCCAGGCCATATCTTTATACATCAACATCTCAGAACCATCGGTTGTATTTAATACTCTTGGATGGTTGTGTAAAAATCTGTCAACAGCGGAAGCCAATTCATCTTGTGTATCATGCATCCAATTTGAAGCTCTTCGTATCACCGAGGGTAAACTACGAACCATCTCATAGAAGACAACCCCAAACACGGCAGCGGAAATGAATCCAAGTGGCCCCTGGTAGAACGACGGTTGAGCATCTTGTCGAGACATTGTTCCCGTGGCCAAGTACAATTCCTGAATAACGGAGGGTAAAGTTTCATTCAACGATTCCATGGTATGAGCAAAGGCGCGATCCAATTCATTTGGTTTATCGACATCTTCACCATTCACGATTTTCATCCAACTCTCGAGTAAATGACCTGACATACTTTGCGACACCTTTGGAACGGGTTCCTCTCGGCCAGAAAGTTCATCTCTCATGGACATTATTTGACCAGTTAAATTTGATACTCCAGAGTAAACAATTTGTCGGATTCTCGATAATCTTTCCTCTTCCCATTTACTTGGTTGAGCTGATAAATTAACATGAACTAAAGTGAAAAGTACAATGGTAACAATTAACTTACTATCTATTTGGAAAGACATTTTGTTTTTCAACAATATTAATTACGTTTGGATGGTTAATTGAAAACTTTGTTTGTTGATTGTCACTTAATTGAACGAAAAAACTTAATGAACAATTGTCAATCAATCTACTCACCTGATATACTTATATCATAGCGGTTTGACACAATTTAAGACCAATGATCACAATCAAGAATTGGTTAATTACCCATGTCAATTATTTACAGTTGAACCTCAATTATCATTAATTGTTATACATCAAATTAATTATTATTTGAATATTACAAAGCCACCAGTTGAAAAAAAAGAGGTGACATCAACAATTAATATGAAAAAGTTAAATGACTATGGTGAAAAACAAATTGTTTACAATCAAAACAATTAACTAGACATTTAACTTGAATATTTACACTGATTGTTGTCAGGTTGTCAATCAAATCAACTTTTAATTACAGATCATTGTCCCATCTTTCATCATAATAAGAAGGTCATGGATAAAAATCAACAACAATTAACCCAATCAACTGAAACGATAATTAATATTTTCACTTACTATAAACAAACCCAATACATATACTTGGTTTACAATTTACGCTTAATCATCAACTAATTGTCAACAACAACAATTAACTCGAAACAAAAATAGAAAGAAAAAGTTGACCGAAACCAATTTAATTTTCATTAACGTAAACAAGATGAGCCATTAAGCCAAATGGAAAGATGCACTTGACCAAATTAAAGGTAAAGATTAAATTTTTCTAAATCATCTTAACAATTAAATTAATTGTTCTAATGATAGTAACGCCATCTCTTTGTCTCTTATTTGTTACAAAGAATCAGTTGTTACCTTGATTCTGACAAGACAACTAACAAAATCTTTCATCATCTCAGTTAATCCAATCAATTATTTCTAAGATAATAAATGATTATTTTAGATTATCAACAATTAACTAATCACCTTTACTATGTCTCTGTGTCAATTGTCCCATAAATTGTTTTCTTCTTATAAAATTAATAAGATAAATTCAATTTTCTATTCTCATTTTCTATTCTCATCAATCTCTTGTCTTTGTTGAGAAAAGAAAAGAATTTGTTTTTTTCCCTCTTGTTAATTGTATGTGATTGTGTTTTAATGTTTAATCAAATTAATTATTCTCTTGTTATTTTTAATTATCGTTCTTTTTAGAGGGAAAAAAAGATCACAATTAACCAGTTATTCTCATCATAATATCTATAGTTTGTTTGTATCAAAATGGCGACTACTGTTGCTACCGAGGTGGAACCAGTTGCATCAACTTCAACCGGAATTACATCAACCCCAAGCTCATCAGGCCAAGCGATTAGCTTATTTGCGATCCAAGATAATAAAGCTGGAATGTCCGGATTGGATAAAGAGAAGATTAATCAATTACTTTATGAAGCTTCCAAAGATACACTTTACTTTAAACATGAACAAGAACGAGATAAAAGGATTGACGAACAGATTAAGAAGATGAAAAGTGATTGGTCCAATTTTACTAATCCATTGAAGGAAAACTCTCTTGAGATGATGGAAAAAGCTCGTTCTAATCGTGGTTATGATCGACAATCACGAGATATTAGTCAGATAGTTGTTCACATTGACATGGATATGTTTTATGCTGCCGTTGAGATGAGAGATAATCCAGAATTAAGAGATAAACCAATGGCTGTTGGTTCTATGCAAATGGTTTGCACTTCAAATTATATTGCTCGTAAATTTGGTGTTCGCTCTGGTATGGCTGGATTTATATGTAAAAAATTGTGCCCCGATTTGGTCCTTGTACCGCCCAATATGCGTAAATATGGACAGGTCAGTGGTAAGATTATGTCCGTCCTGAGACGCTACGATCCCGATCTATTTGTGATGAGCTGTGATGAGGCTTATCTTAATCTGTCTCCCTATTTGATTGAAACTTTTGTCAAAGAGAATCCTCATTACCCTGGTCCTGTTTTAATCGAGGATAAAGATACTGGGGATAAAAGGTTAATCCCTGAGATTTGGGATTCAGCCTTCCAGGTTGTGGACAGTATTCGAAGTCAAATTCTCGAGGCTACTCAGTTGACCGCTTCAGCTGGTATAGCGACAACCTCAATGTTGGCAAAAATTTGCTCCGATTTAAATAAACCCAATGGACAGTACATGTTACGTGGTTCGAGCTATGAACATGTACAAGAGTTTGTCAAGAAATTGGACATACGAAAAGTTACCGGAATCGGAATGGTTCAGGAGAAAATTTTAAAAGCTTTTAATATCCTTACGGTTAAAGATCTTTGGGATCGACGGGATGTTGTTTATTTACTTTTTAAACCAGCGGCGATTGACTTTTACCTTCGAGTTTCCCTTGGCCTTGGGTCGATTCACTCAAAGAACGAGGATGAACCATTACGCTCTCGAGGTCATGGATGCTCATTTAGAGCAACAAATGATTTCCGTTGGTTGGACAGCCAATTGATGCAACTTTGTGAACAATTAGCTGATACACTTGACGATTATGGTCTAAAGGGTAAAATTATTGTTCTTCGATTGGAAAAAGATTCTTTCGATTCTTTTGTTCGAAGCCGTCGGATAGCATTTTACACTTCCGAGTGTGCGGTTATTTACCAAACAGCGAAATCAATTTTAAAGGCTCAACTTTCCGCCGATAGTGATACCAAATGGAGAGCGATGGGAGTTCGAGTGACCCATCTCAATGTGAATGCCGCTCAACCCGTTGACGAAAAGAAACAATCAACTTTGGATAAATTTCTCTATAAAAAATTTATCCAAGATAAAGATGCTTCAATTAATTCACAAGATAATTCATTCTTTGATTCTTCCCAAGAAATTGAATATTGTGACGAAGCATCGGAAGTTGGAACTGTTGGTGATGAATTAATTTGTACATTTTGCTCGAAAATTTTCAAAGAATATGATGGATTCGAGGAGCATGTTAACAATTGTTTGATGGGAGATAAACTTAATCATTCTAGTCAGACAACAATTCAAACAATTGAGGATGAGGAAGATGCCGATGAATATATTTGCACCAATTGTGATAAAACTTTTACCGAATACACTGAATTTGATCAGCATTTAATTGTTTGTCTTGAAGATAAATTTGAAGATGAATTTGATGAAGATGATGATGATATTATTATAATTAATCAACCAACTCCACCGCCACCATCAACACCGATTAATTCAGTTGTTACTAAAACAATCGATTCACTTGAACCAATAATCTCACCATCAATAACTAATGGAAACAAATCACTTACAATTAATCCAAGGAAAAGTTTATCCAAATCACCAGACACTAATTATGACAATCAAGATATTCCATTTACTCAATCAGCTCCAAAAATACTAAAATTATGAGCGACAATTATTTAAATATTTACACAATTAATATGAAAGCAAAAGATTAAGTTTCTTTTTTTGAAGAAATTGATAATTTCTGTTTTTAATCATAATCGATTGATTTTCTTCACGTTTTAATCAAACTCCCAGTGAAATTTTAACTCGATTCCAAGAATCTATTAATCACTTACCCAATACTTTAAAGTCTAAAAATCTACTAATCAATTGCTAATTACAATTAGACTTTGTAAATTGTATCAAAATCACTTTGATTATTTGTTTGTTTCTCATGTGACGATTTTTATTTTCACCCGAATAAATTACTCTTAATGATGCTTTTCATCAATGACTAACCATTCAATTAGTCAACATAATTTTATTCTAATTCTAAACGCAAACAATTTAACTCGAATTCAATTAATTTGCAAACAATTAATTCGCTTCAAGCGCCACCTTTGGAAAAGAAAATGAACAAACTTGTTTTTTATTTGTTTCTTTTTTCAAATGTTACTTTTACTTACGATTCTAATTGAGTGACTTGTTATTAATTTTGTTCCTCTCATAATTAACTAATTATGTTAATATTTTCTCTAAGTAAAAATGGTATCAGTAGATTACCATCACCTCTGGTGTGGTCAATCAGTCGATGGTCATCAACATCAACAACAATTAAACCTTTTTCAGATTATAAAAGTGATCATTTTGTTAACCGTCACATAGGCGCAAGGGAACATGAGAAACAACAAATGTTGTCAACAATTGGCTACAAAGTGAGTAATTAATTAATTTGAAACAATCAAAATACTAACAATTAACATCTAACTTGATGTAAATTGTAATTACCAACAATTTGAATTAATCGCAAAAGTAAAACTGATTCAATCTTGCTGAAGACTTTTTTGTTTTGGTTTACCCTTTAACCGGTTGATTGTTAATTGTTATCAATGTTAACATTGATTATTTGAGTGGTTGAATCTTGAACAATTTTTTTTATCACAATTTAAGATAATTAAAGATAAAGAATTGATTAACTAATGACTCTTTCTATTATTAAGTGAATATTAATTGATTAGTATTGGTTAATCAATAATTTTCGTTCATAATTCAATGTGTTTAATTTGAGTTTTTAATTTAGTTTTTAATTGCTGATAGTTAAGTGACCTTAGTAAATTTTTTCTCTCTAGTATCTTGATTGTTTCTTAATGATAATTGTTGTTAGAGTTGATTGTTTGATAATTTATCTTATATCAACGCGATCCCAATCTTAATAATCGTATGATAATTGTATTTGTTTAAATCATTACATTGATTTGCAATCGCTTGTCAAGTAAAATTGATAGTTAATCATTGATTAACAATCTTTGATTGTAACAATAATAGCTCTGTTCATCTTTACATTAATGAAAAAGTGGTTGAAATTGATTAAAGATGATTAAGTCAACGATTCAAATGATTAGATAAATACCTTACATCAAATGATTAATTGATTAAAATAATAATTAATATCTTTACGACAACAATTTACCTCTTGCAATTTTAATTAACTCTTATTTTTATATTATGAACAAAAAAAAACCAACAACAATTAAAACAATTAGACTTTGGATGAGCTGATTGATCAAACAGTTCCGGAAACAATTAAACTTAAACGAGAACTTAATCTTGATGCTGAATTAACCGAGAATGAATTAGTTAAACGATTAAGACAAATTGCCGATGAAAATAATCACAATTGGAGGTCATTTATTGGACTTGGTTATTATAATTGTTACACACCAGCACCGATATTGAGAAATTTATTTGAAAATCCAGGTAAGATGAACAATCATTTAATCAGTGATTGAATTTCTCATGAAATTATCACTAATCTCAGGATGGATAACCCAATACACACCTTACCAGGCTGAAATAGCCCAAGGGCGATTAGAGAGTTTACTTAATTACCAAACGATGATTTGTGATTTAACGTCATTGGAAATTTCTAATGCAAGTCTATTAGATGAAGGAACCGCGGCTGCTGAAGCAATGCAAATGTCTTTAAGGTAATTAACAGTAAATTGTCACCTAATTGTCGATTAATTTTCTTTCTCTTCAGGCATCATCGAAATAAACGAAATAAGTTTCTAGTCTCTGACAAAGTTCATCCACAAACGATTTCGATTGTTAAAACTCGTGCCGATGCCTTAGGAACGGAGATTCATTTTTTCACAGGTAAATTGGTCTCAACTTAAATTATACGATTTACTTTGATTGTTAATTGTGTTTGATTTTTTGACAGATTTATCTTTAGTTGGATCATTTAATTTGGAAGAGTTTTCCGGAATTTTAATTCAGAATCCCGACACCGATGGTAATATTTTCGACCTCACTGAGATAACGACAAAGGCCAAGGAATCGGGTGCCATCCTATCAGTTGCAACTGACCTTTTAGCCTGCCTTTTAACTAAACCACCCGGTGAATATGGCCCTGGGTGCGATATTGCCATTGGTAATACCCAAAGATTTGGTGTACCCCTTAATTATGGTGGACCTCATGCCGCTTTTATGTCGTGCCGAAATTACTTGACCCGAATCATGCCTGGTCGGGTTGTCGGGGTAACCAAAGATTCCCATGGTAATCCAGCGGTTCGTTTGGCATTACAAACTCGAGAGCAACATATCCGCCGTGATAAGGCCACTTCCAACATCTGTACAGCTCAAGCTTTATTGGCCAATATGTCGGCCATGTATGCCATTTATCATGGACCTGAAGGACTTAGGTCAATCGCTGAAACAGTTCACCAAAAAACGGTTTACCTTCGTGACCAAATCACCGCTTCGGGTATTTGTAAGGTAACCAATTCAACCTTTTTCGATACCCTTAAAGTGGCCGTGCCCGACATTTCAACAATCAAATCAAGAGCTGCAATTAAACAAATTCACCTACGATATTTTCCCGATAATAAACATGTTGGTATCTCACTTGATGAAACTGTTACCGATCAAGATTTAGAAAATTTAATTTGGATTTTCAGTTCAAATGATGATAATCGACTAATCTCACAATCAACTAAACCGGTCAACTCAATTATTCCTAAACAATTAGAAAGAGAATCAAAAATTTTGGTTCATCCAATTTTCCATAAATATCATAGTGAGACTAAACTGATTCGATACATGAAAATGCTGGAAAATAAAGACATTTCTTTGGTCCACTCGATGATACCTTTGGTAAGAATATATTTTATTTAACAAGATAATAGTTTATCATTATCATTAATTGTTGTTTTTTTCTTAATGTTTACAATTATTAAGTGATGATGATGATGAATGTGTGTGAGGTTTGTTGCGTGTGAGGTTTGTGTCAATTGTGCGATTAAATTTAATCTTTTCTTTTCTTTTTCGTTAAATTTGTTGTTTTAATCCTCTTGATGATTGACCATGACGATGATGATGATTGTGTTTAAATTGATTTTGTTTTCTTTTCTTTGATTTAAAAGGGTTCATGTACAATGAAGTTAACTGGAACAACCGAATTGTTGGCTTCTTCTTGGCCACAATTTGCCAATATTCATCCATTTGTACCATTGGACAGTGTCCATGGTTATCGTCGTCTTATGGATGAATTGAAACACGATCTTTGTGAAATAACGGGTTATGATGATATCTCATTCCAACCAAATTCTGGTGCCCAAGGGGAATATGCTGGCCTTCGAGTAATCAAAGCATATCTTGACCATAAAGGAGAAAGTAATAGAAATGTAAGTGAATTGATATATTTATATTACAAGATGTCGATGATGATGATGATGATGATGATGATGTCGATGATGGTTAATGAAACAATTGTGTTGATTTTGCAATTTGTTTTGTTCTGTCAAGTGTAAATAATTTTTTCTTTGTAACATTATTATTAATGATTCCATGTTGCTGATTGATTATTTTTTTCTTGTCTCTTTCATTTAAATATTCACAGATTTGTTTGATTCCAATATCAGCTCACGGAACTAATCCAGCAAGTGCTCAAATGGCTGGAATGAAAGTGAAAACAATTAACGTTAATAAAGATGGTTCCATTGATATGGTTCATCTAAAAGAGAAGGTGATAATTTCACAAGTGAATTTGTTGATGATTGATTATAATTAAGAAGAAAAATTGAGAGCGTTTGTTTCGTTCGTTCCTTTTTTCTCTGTGGTTCAAATTTCTAATTCTGGTTTTTTTTTCATTTAATTTCTTTTCATCTTGGTTTTGTTTAATTTGATCATTTTGCTTTTTGTTATATTTTTTGATTTGATCCAATTGATTTAGCTCGATAATTATGGAGATAGTGTGGCTTGTATGATGATAACTTATCCGTCAACTTTTGGTGTTTTCGAGGAGCAAATAGCGGAAATAATTCAACTTGTCCATAAATATGGTTCGGCTCAGGTTTATCTTGATGGTGCAAATATGAATGCTCAGGTTGGACTATGTCGACCAGGAGATTATGGGAGCGATGTGTCACATTTAAATCTTCATAAAACATTTTGTATACCTCATGGTGGAGGTGGACCAGGAATGGGTCCAATTGGAGTGTGAGTGTGACATTGATGAATATTTTATGAAGTTTTCGAGAAAAAATTTTTCAATTTTTCTTTGTTCTTTACAGGAAGAAACATTTAACTCCATTTTTACCTTCACATCCAATTGTACTGCAAGATTCATTACCTAACAGTTTTGGAACTGTTTCTGCCGCTCCTTGGGGATCTTCGGCAATTTTACCGATCAGTTGGGCTTATACCAAGATGATGGGACCGAAAGGATTGAGACACAGTTCGGAGATTGCGATTTTAAATGCTAATTATATGGCCAAAATTTTGGAAAAAGCTTATAAAATACTTTTCCGTGGCAAGTATGGTAATGTTGCCCATGAATTCATCCTGGATATCAGAGATTTCACCAAAACAACAAACGTTGAGGCGATGGATATAGCGAAGCGTTTACAAGATTATGGTTACCATGCACCGACCGTTTCATGGCCTGTGCCGAATACCTTAATGGTTGAACCAACCGAATCTGAAGATAAGGGAGAATTGGATAAATTTTGTGAAGCACTTTTATCGATTCGAGAAGAGATCGCAGATATTGAGAAGGGAGTTTACGATAAAAATATTAATCCACTTAAGGTAAGAGAAAAATTTTCGTTATCATTCATTGGAATTTAATTTGATTGTCTTAAATGTCAATTTCTTTAATTAATCAGCTCGCTCCTCATACTCAAAGACACGTTTGCTCTTCCAATTGGGATCGACCTTATTCCAGGGAGAAAGCGGCATTCCCAGCGGTAAGAATTTCTATTCTTTTTCATTCCAGTTCGAAGTTGTTCATTTCGTTCTTAAATATTATTAACATTTCTTCATCTTTGTTTAACTAGAAATTCGTATTACCAGAGTCCAAAATATGGCCAACAGTGGGAAGAATTGACGACGCTTTTGGAGATAAGAATTTATTCTGTACTTGTCCTCCATTGAGTGATTATAGTGATAATTAATTGTGGAGAGAAATCCCAAATTCCATGACAAGTTCCAAGTTCAAATGAAGATTTTATTTTGTTTTTGATGTTATCACCATTTGGATAAATATATATTAATGTTAATTGAAGTGTCTTTTTGGCACCAAAGTTATGTTATTAAATTAAAAATCTTTTCCAATTCTTATTTTAAACCATTGGTGATTCAAGTGCCTTGTTAATTGCTTCAGTTAATGATGTTGGATTTGGCTTTTCGGAGACACAAAAAACGGATAAATCAAGATCCTTTAAGGCTTGAGCTGTAGTTTTACCGATTGCAATGAATTTAAATTGCTGCCAATCAAGTGACAGTGATGAAAGAGCACTTGTAACAGAATCAACACCCGAAGGACTGAAAATGATAAGGAAAATTTGTCGTTCTCCTTCTGATGAGATTAAACTAGTTAACTGTTGAGGTAAATTGTCATTCGGTCCAGTTTCATAGCAGTGAATAGTTTCAACATTAATACCATTTTCTTCAAGTGTTGTTGGAATTGTTTCTCGGGCAATTGATGAACAAGGCATCAGAAGAAGAGGTTGACAAGATAAATTGATGAGCAAATGACGAGAATCAATAATTTTCCTGGCTAATAATTCACTGGAACCAATTGAATCGATATTGGTCTCGCCAATACAATGGTCAAGGTGAAATGAATCTTTAACAGATTTTAATGTTTTAGGGCCAACAGGGAAAATTAATTTCGATCTAATAACATTGATTAAATTTTCGTCAATGGAACAGGCTTGTTGACAAGCGATTACCGCTCTTGTTGATGTAAAAATTAAACCACAATAACTGTCAACTTGAGACATTTTTACCGCTAATGATGAGATGTTGACAAATTTAAAAGATAAAACGGGAACTTGATAAACAAATTGATAACCAGAATTTCTCAATTGTTGACAATATGGATCGTTTTCAATGTGATCATCACCCTTGCATATAATAAATACAAAGTTTTGCTTTGGATTAGGATGTTGTCCAAGCTCCATCATTCAACAAAAGTTCACCTGTAAATCAGAGCAAAAATGATACAAAGAAAACAATTAGAAGTCGAAAACCAATTGATTTAAATAGAAAACAATTCACAATCTAAATAGGAAAGTAATTCAGATAATCAGATGATAATGAACAAGGTTAAGGAGAAAAGAGAACGCGGTAAGAATGAAAGATGAACAGCTGATTCTAAATGAAAGTTCCAAGTAAAATCTGTTGAATTATTCATTCAACATAGAGAGATTAATCTTCCAACGGATTAAAAGCTTAAAAGAATTTTTTGTTAAATGAAAAAAAAAAGAAAACAAGAAGATAAATGTTTTTCTATCTGTTGATTTAGAGAGTTTGATGGAAAGAGACATTTGCCTTTTTTTCTTCACTTTTTTTTTATACTTTTCACTGAGATGGAGAGAATTTTGTTTTTTTTTCTTTCTCTTAGATTAATGATGATTACCTGAGGGTCTTAGTACAGAGCCGGTTTCATGGATACCAGGAGGAGGCTGAGATCCTGAATTATTTACTGGTCCAGTTGGGGTACCCATACCAGGGAATTGGTTTAAACCAGGATCAGTTTCACCATTGATCTGTTGTTGAGGAAAAAAATCATAAAATGCTGGACTATGGTGAGATGTTGGTCCACCATAACCATATTCCCCAGGATTACTTGATTCTGTAAAAGAAAACAAAAAGAAAACAATTAATTCCATTGATTTCTTATAAATGAGTAAAAAGAACAAAAAATTTCAACTCAAAAATTTAATCCAACAAACGAACATTGTAATCATGATAACATTTCACTAGATTCACTTAAAACCAATTCTAATAGATTCTTTGATCATTCAAATTGCACAATTTCATCAAAAACTTGGAACAATCAATCAGCAAAAATAAAGAAAATTAAACCACAACAATTAAACAGAATAAACAATCAACTAAATAAAAGAAAAGAAGAGAAAAAGTATTAACCTTTTCGACCACAAGGTGGTGTCACTTTCCTTAGAAAATGAAAACAAACGAATTCTCTTAATTGTGATTAGTGTTTTTCTTTGAATAATCAGTTAATTCAGTGGATTAAACAAGTGAATTAGAATTGATAATCTACTTCTAATTCTATTTAGCAACAATTCTCTCAGGTAAGTGAAAGTAAGAAAAAGGTGTAATTCTTTTTATTTTTTCTTTTCTATTCTCTTGTTGGATTATTCCAATAGCTCATCTTACCTCTTTGTCTTAATAATTAACTAATTTTTTTCTTCTATTCTTTTTTACCCTTCATTTTATCGTTTTTTTCCCTGATAATTTTCTTTTCTCTCTTTCAACCTGGTCATCATACTCCTCCTTTATCATCTTCTACCTTCGCTTATTGTTCTTGCTCTTATTCTTTTTTTTCCACTTCATCATCATTCACTTTCTCAAATTCTCTGTTATTTTTCCCCTTCCATTTGCAACTTTATATTCTCTAGTTTATTTTCTACCTTTTTCTCTTCTATTTTTTTTGTTCCTTCTCTGGATCTTAGACTTTTTCGTTTTCCCTTTTCAACTTATATATTGTCTATTCGGTTAGCCTTGTTTTCTTCATAGCGTGTTCCTTGACGTTGATGAATGTTCTCTTTTTCTCTCTTGTAAGATTCATTTTTTTTTTCCTTGTAAGGTATAAGAAAAACGACTCTCAACTCTATAAAAACGTGTCTTCTAATCTTCTTCGCTTTTTCTTCATCATCCATAAACTTCCTTCTTTTTCCCTTTTGTCTTGTTCTTTTTTCACCTTCATTATTTTATAAATATGACTTGAGAATATTTTTCTTCCATCTTTATCTCTTTCTCTCTCTCTCTCCTTTTTTACCTCATTTTACCACACTTTCTCTCCTCCCCCTCATCCTCCTTGTTGATCTTCTTTTCCCAATACTATCTCTCCAAGTCTTTACCTTGCTCACTTTCTTCAATCATCATCATCATCATCATCATCATAATCTTCTGACCTCATCCTACTTCTAAACAACAACAACAACAACAACAGCAAAACAACCTCCCATTTCCCTTCGATATGTTATTTCCTGAAAATGATTTGGTGAAAGATATTAACAAAAGAGAATCGCAACAACAATAACAAGGCCGAAGTGTTACTTATTTATATACAAAAGGTAATTAATACAATCGCCTCATAACCTTAAGGTTAACAGTTGATTATATTTTGTAAGGCTCAATATCTTTACACAAACGGTCAAACATTATCCTAAATATCCTCTCACTCTCACTCTCAATGCAGATTTATTATTATGATGATAGGAATGATGATAATGTCGATCATTTATATATATAATAATAACAAACAATCATTGAATCCAAACTGAATTAATAGATTATTAATCAAAAAGGGAGAGAGAGAGAAAGACCCAGTTCATTTTAACTGTTTATATTTTTGTTATTCATCATTAATACATGTACATATACCGAAAGGTTATACATGAGATGAAAATAACATTACTTATTCAATTGTATTTCATTTGAACAAGAAATATAACATATTATGTTAAAATGTATGAATTATGCAAAACCTTAATATTAACTTTGGTGTGAAAATGTCAACCTTTCCTCCTCCACCTCCACCACCACCATCACCTAAATTCATTGAGCCCACCTCATCTTTATCCTCCTCTTTCTCCTCCCTTTAGCCATCCATTAAAAATTTAGGAAAAGGGATAACATAAGATGACAGACACTTGTTACCGAGACAAATACCCTTTCGACACACCATAAAAATTAACCTGTTTATGAATAGACAATCACGTACAGATAATGGAAACAAGATCTTGCAATGATTGGGACGAAGGAGAAACAAAAAACAGCCTGAATAAGATGAGGAAATGAACCCACACACACTCACACAAACTCCATTTAACTTTCTTCAATGAACCATTTTCTCATGATAATCAATCTTAAATTATTGTTTACACGGACAATTAGGCAAAATGGCTAATGCAGGCAGACGATGGAGATGAAGAGGAGAGACCAAGGGCAAAGGACGAAAGCAAAGGAGGAAAAAGAGACACAAAAAAAGGACCATGGAGATGAGAATCTCCAATGATGAGCCAATAGAGTCAACACTTGATTAGAAAGAGTAAGATAATTGCCTTTACTTTAACCGTTACTCTCTTGTAATAGTTATTTTTTAATCATTTCACTTGCTCTGATGAAAATTGTTACAATTAATCCTAATCATCAATTGAAACAAGTTGTACTATTAACTAACAATCATTATTCAATTGACTTGTTGTTTCTATTATTGGTCTTTTTACTCTCTCTCTCTCTCTCTCTCTCTCTCTCTCTCTCTCTCTCTTATCAGTTGTTTCTTTTACTTCCATTAATCTCTTAACTGACCCTCTTCAATTGACCATTCAACCAAAATTATTCAAAGTGTTACACCAAATGTGTTTGTTAATAGTGTTGTAACATTACAATTGAAACAATTAAAAGGTGTAATTGTTCAATTGTAAGCAACAATTACAACAATCTATTCTGTTATTAGGAAAGCAAAGTAAAAAAAGACAATAGCAAAGGAAGATAACAAAGTGTATGGTTTAATTTTCTAACCATAAAAAAAAGTATATCAATGATCAATCATTAACGATAATAAAAACTAATATAAGCTATTAATATAATATTTTCTCTCTTTCAGACTATGGCGACCAAAAAGATTTATCGATTGAAAATGTTGATCACTAATCAAAGATTTCGAGATGATGATAAAGCAGAATAACAGAGTTTCTAGAGAAAAGGAGCAAAAGGATTGGAATAATTTTTCATCTGAAAGACAAAGAAGACAAAATAAAAGCCAAAAATGATGATGACGAGAATAGAAAGAGAATCATTGATGCAGGATAAGAGATTAAAGAGAAAGAGAAAGAGAAAGAGATACAGAGAGAGAAGACACAGATAACGACAATTCTTGAGGATGATAAAAGAGAAAGATAATGTTCAGTGAGTAAGGAAACATGGTTGTGCTCAAAGAAGCGTATAATTTAGTGTGGGTTGTCTGTCCAGTTCAGTTCACCTTAAAATGTTTCCAGTGTCCATTCATCTTATCAAACATTTACTTCCAGAGGTAACATTGAAACAGAACAACAATGAAATAGATTACTACAAGTCAAGGTAAACAGCAAAGAAAGAGGAAATATCATGTGGTGTCAAAAGTAAAACTACTACGAGAAGAGTAAGAGTATTAAACTTTAAGATGATGCTGATGATGAACAATCATGAGAGAGAAAATTCAAATCAACATGAGAAATTGAAACTTTTATAGGATTTTTTTTTCGCATCTTTTTCAATATTAACATTTTAATGATGAAAAAAAAGTAATATCTGAGTAATAAATTGAAGAGTTGATCAATAAACACCATGTATTACATTGTGTTTATATAGACAAAAGTATATTCGATGCAATGTTTTTCTTACAGAGAAAAACATAATCAAAGTAAAGGAGTGTTAAAGGATATATTATGTTGGATGTGGAAGAAAAAAAGTGGCTCATGCCAAGCCCATCATCTTCATCTTCATCTTCATCATCATCATCAACATCCTCTGTGTATTATTTGTATTATTATGATGGCGAAAACTAATGTTGATTTTTTCTTCTCTTACAGTTAAAGGTGAACTCTCAAGAATTGAAGAAGTCTGAAGAAATTTAATGAACCACCACCTCCCACAAAGAGAAATGGATTGAGAGAGAGAGAGAGAGAGGAACTTATGGACTCCTTAATAATTTATCTTCTTTCCTGTTGTTCATTTTCCATCATCATCATCAACATTATTGCTCATCCTCTTGCTCTCTTTTTATTTTCATCTAATAACATTTTTACTTGAACAAAACAAAAATATTAAGTCGATTTTCCTATAGAATTAAATTCTATGTAAGAAAATATTGCGATATTTTTGCTTTATCTTAAGTAACATTTTCTCTCTCTCTCTCTCTCTCTCTCATTCTTTCTATAGGTGAAAGCCTTAAGGTGATGATTATGATTATGATGATTATGCTGAGAGAGACATATTTCACACTTGAAGGCTTACATAGGTTTGCCACGGTGTGGCGAGCAAAGTAAGATGATGATTATGATGATGGTGAAAAAAAAGAGGAGCCGCCAATAGGAATCAACTAGGGAATGTTGATGATGATGAAAATGATGATGAAAATGATCATCATTGGTTTTTACTAACCAAAGATAAGGTTTGGCACAATATCATCTTTATCTTCATCATCTTTTACCCTATATAGTGAAAAGATGAAGATGGAAATGAAATCAGGTTGAATTTTTCTTCTCTCTCATTCTCGCCATTCATCTTTACCCTTTTTACCCTTTACTTCACCTTTCATGGAGTAAGATGATTAAGAAAGAGTAAAATATTTATCTTCACACTATCTTTCTCTCTCTCTCTCTCTCATAATTTTCATTTCTATGTATATTAAGCTTTAGGCTATGGAGATGAGGATGAGGATGAGGATTCCACAGAATTCTGGTTACCAGGGAAACCATTTGAAAGTAAAATGATGAGAAATATTTTCTCTTGCAAAATGTTATGGTAATTTCTTTATTTCTCTTCCATATTCAACATTTTTTAACTTCCTCATTCTCATCATCATCTTTATCATCATTAATTTTATATCAAGTAACCTAAACAATTGAAATAATGAGATCAACATGATAACCTCAGAAATTTTAACTCTTATTAATCAACATAATCCTAATTCATTAAGCATCTTCAATAACCTATTCTTAACCCTAATAATCAACTACTTGTCATCCAAGATGATCATCATCATCATCGTAAATAAGTTAACAATTTACATGTAAAATTAATGTAAACATGATTAAGATTATATGTAAATATTAGATTTGAATCTCGAGAAAAAAAAACTTTTTCACTGAGTTCGTGTCACTTTTTATTATTAGATTTATGTTTTTTTTTCCTTAATCAAAACCACAAGAAATTTAAATTACAATCAACTTGCTGTTGATTGTTATGATTTTTCAACACTCCTTTACTTATATAACCCTCACTACCTTGAAACTAATTAAATTAAACAAGAATCATCATCATCTTGATGTCGGTGATACTTAGATTAGATTATGATTGTTGTTGTAAAATTAACAATCAACAACTCATGATTTTTATCAATTTAACAAAAACACTAATGATTATAATATTAACTGATTTAATTTAATATTCATATTAAGATATTATCAACACCATGTTGATGATAATGATGGTAATCATGATAATCATGATTAAATGATGATCATGATGATGATGGTTTTACAAAGTTAAAATTGTAAACTTTTGTCTTATGGTTGTTAATTCAACATGATACAATTAAGAAGCAAAGTAAAGATGATTAAGATTAAGATGATGATGATGATGATGATAACCGTTAATTATTAATTGTAAGCTTATGATAAATAATTTGAATGTTATATTAATATGAAAATTGTTGTTGAACATGAATCGGAAATGAAAGCCTTTAAGGCAAGTAAGAGGAAACTGATGACGGAAGATGATGATGATGATAAGGATGATGAAGATTGAAAGGTTGTGAGAGGGAGTGAGAGAGAGAGAGAGAGAGGATGAAGGTGGAATTAAAAAAGGTAAACACTCAGAATTTGAATGTTTCTCTAGTTAAATATAAATCTATTGTTATTCGTATGTATTATCTTTCCAGAATCATATATACACGATAATAGAAAAAAAAAGAATATTTTTTTTTCTGTTTGTTCGATGAAATAATAACTTTTGCCTGAAGAACCGGAAGAAAAGGAGGAAAAAGATGATGAAGAGAAAGATGAGAGGGAAGAAAAAAATATTCTATTTATCTTGTTTTCTTTTTTTTTCTCTTCATCATCCTCATCATCATTGTATTTCTTTTCATCTCTGATTCTGGTGTGAATCTGAAAACTGAAGACCTTCATGAAGGAAGATGACACTTTCTTTAGCTGTTGATTATCTCGATCATCATGAAAATGATAATGATGACAAAAGGTGTGAAGAGAACAAAAAAAATGTAATTCTTTTCATCATCATCATCACATTTATCTTCATCTTCATCTCAAGCTTCATATTTCAAATCACTTTTTTTTGTTTAGGAAATGAAATGACAACTTTTATCATCTCCTACAATCAGAGTAACTATTTTAGAATCATCCTTTTTTTTGTTATCATCTTCATCTTGATCATCATCCTTTCACTCTCATGGATGAACATGAAGGAGGATGAAGAGTGACATCAACATACACCAAGTGAATTGTTGACCTTTTTTGCATGTTATCAATATCATCATGATCCGCATCCTCATCCTCTCATCATCATCATGATCATGTCCCTGTCATGAATGAAAAATATATTTGTCCTCACAATTGGTAAATAATATTATGTATTTAAAACTAATCATGATAAAGTCAAAACAAATCATGAGATCAATTGTCAACCATCATCATCATCATCATCATCATAATAGTTATCATGTTAAAACCCATAGGAAACTTTTTCCTCCATGGTATCAAGAGATAAAAAAGTTTGTGATTTTTTCAAATGAATCCTCCTGAATTCATGATCCGATTTCATCCTTACATCATCATGATCATCATGAAGGGATAAAACCTTTATGATGATGAAAAACTTTTGACTAAAATATTTTTCACACAAAAATAATCTTCCAATGTTGTAAAAAAAAACATTATCATCATTTGAACATGTTGAAAACTCAGGTATTATCATTATGATGATTATGATTATTACACTGTTGAAATAAATGTTACGCTAGAATCATCATCATCATCATCAATTTGAGTATTATATCATGCAAGGTAACCCGAAAATTGTCAAGATGATAATGATGATGATGAGAGAGAGAGAGACCAAGTTATGTCTAATCTAAGCTGACGCGGCGTGAAGATATATATTCATTTTCTTTCAGGATTTATCCATTTTCTTCAGGGGATAAGAGATGATGATGAAGATGAGGATGAATATAATACTATCATTTTGAGGGTAGGTTAAAATGTCACCCGTTATCACTTGAGAACCGAGTCTTCCTCCTCCTTTTCCTCCTCATCATCATCATCCTCCCACTATCAACCTTCATCCCTCATCTTTGGATGGGTAACATTATATTCTAGGAAAAATAGAGATAAAAATAAAACTATCAAAAGAATAACTTAAAACTAACCCCACTCCCACCTTCCACCTCCCTCTCATTCATCCTTCTATTGTCATTGTTACTTTTATCTTTCCACCAGCATCTCTAAACCCACCCCACTCCCTTCAACCAACATTCATGTTCAATTTCAAATGAATACATATGAAGATATGAATTGATGATATGAATAATATTTTTTCCTTCTCGATTTCAATCAATATTATATTTGAATATTTGAAAATCAAGAAATTGATATTCACTTTTTTTTCATCTGATCACATCGATTTGATTACATTGTTTTAATTGTTGGCAAGAGAAAAGTTGAACTCTGTTGATTGTTGATGTTCCAGTTTTTCAACTACATATCCAATCCTCTTGAGGTGTAAGTGGTATTCAGTTAGATGAACAAAAAATCAGTGAAATTAATTGTTTATCTTAACCAATCACTTTGAGAATCAACAAAACTTTAATACCAACACATCAAGTTTCAATGTTCATGAGTTTTTACATGGGGAGAGAGGGTGAAAGTGGAAAAATTTTCAAGAATAAGAAACTTATCTCAACAATTCCCTGGACGATTCTGTCTATTCAATCCGTTCTCTATCTTCCCATCCGTATCATCATCAGTAAAATGATGATGAGGATGCTAAAGTTATACTAAGGATGATGAGGAAGAAGATAAATTCTCAAACAATAGTTAATCTTATTGGATTTTTTTTTCTCTCTCTCTCTTTCTCCCAAGATAAACACTTGATATTATCATGAATCCTATACGATGATGGTGGGAAACATTTTCTCATGATGATGATGATTTTATCATGATAAAGGTGTTATCATGATACAGATTTTTGTTTATCATCAAGATGATGGTGATGATGATGATAAGTAAACAAGTGAACCTTAAAAGGATAAGGATTATACCTTCGAGGCAGATTCTTGATATTCAGTATCATCTATTTATTGTAAGATTATCATTCTCATCATCATGTAACATTTTCTCTATCATGATGATTATGGTGTAAGGAAAATTATTCTCATGAGATAATTTCATCTACATTATTTGTGAACATTGTTGAAATTGAGGTGAAAAAAAAATCAGTAAACCTAAAAGTGACCCAAATATATTTAACTCTTGTTTCATATTAACATCATCATCAACATGATCCATGGTGATGATGATGATAACTCCCTAGATGATGATGACCAAAAGGATGATGAATCCATAAAAAGATTGACCCTAAAAAGTAAAAACCTCAGAGGTACATTACATCATCTGCAAGAAGATGAAGGAGGATGAGGATGGGGAAGAAGGTGTTATCATCATCATCATCATCACCATCTCGTTAATCTTAATCCGAATCTCAATCGATTACGAGTTGAACCTTTGAACAATAATTTATCCTGGAAAATGTTGATATAAAATGAATGATATATTATCTGCTATTGATGATTTTTCATGATTCAAATCATGAAAAATTGATTCAATCAGAATGAGAAATGAATGAACAAAAAAATAAACGATTCCTCATCCTAATGTTTATCCAATAATTTTCATCTTCCTCACTCATGATATTATTATTATTACTTTACATTGAATTACATTGACTTTCACTGAAAGATGATGATGATGATGATGATGATGATTAAATGATAATAACGTTTCACCCTGAGGCAAAATTACATTTGAATTCAACTTGAATCACCACAAGAATCAAATCCCAACACATAAATGGTTAATAATACAAATCAAATGTTGATACATGATGAGTGATAAAAAAAACCGTTACCTCAAATTTTAGGTTGAAAAGGAAGAAGAAAAAAAGTTTTGTTAATTTAATTGTGAATCAAATTGATAATGATTACAATCAACTGATTCCTCTCTCTCTCTTTGGGTGATGGTGTTGGGAGGGATAAGGGAAATAACTCCCACTCTGTTGTCCTTTGTACCTCGAGGGCAAAATTGGTTAAAATTGAACAAAGAACAAGAAATTAACAATGGTAACAATTTGCCTCTCGTTAATAGTGATCAAGTTAAATTGTTGGAAGGTGGAAAGTTTAAGATTAATCGATTAAGGTGTAATTTAAATTGTCACCAATCAAGAGTATAATTGGTTATTCATGAAGTTTCAGGTTTAGTTGGGATCTTGTCATTTTTTCCTCCTTGGGCTAAAATAACATTGGAAACTTTTTCCCTTCTCTCTCTCTCTCTCTCTCAGTGTCTCTCATCATCTTCATCATCTTCATCTTCCTCATCATTCCCATTGCTGAATCTCATGGGCAAAGGCAATTGAAATCATGTTCATGATGAACTTTATCTATCTACTTTTTCCCCTTTTCTCTCAATTTAAATTGTTAATGGTTTGTAATTTGTGTTAGTTAACAGTTAGTGTATTTAACTTTCATATCAAACTCTCTTGATTGGTGATGATTAAAACGGTAATTGCAATTTACATGTTATAAATAAAGTCTCTCTTTGATTGTTGTAATCATTGTTTGATTTTTCCAAGGGTTCAATTGTTGTATATCAGGTTCAAAGGTTGATTCATACGTTAATTGTTACGATTAAGCTTAAAAATTTGTGTGTCTCAGTTTGCTAATCAAATTAATCAGTCAATCATCAGTAACAAATTGATATTAATTATTGAAAATTATTGTTGATTGTAAACCTTTTCAATTTTTCTTGTTGATAATTGTTATTTCCCTGATTGATTTTATGCTCTTCCCTTGCAACGGAAAAGGAAATGATGAAAATTTACTCACTAAGAGAGAGAGAGAGAGAGAGAGAGAGAGAGAGAGACAAATGATGATGAAACTATTTTTATATTAATACAATGAAATTTGATTACAAATCAAAGGATAAAAACCAAGGCAACCAATCAAATGTACTAAATCAACTTAAAGGATGAGGATGCTAAAGATGATAATATAATCAATGATAACGGCAAATATTATAAATCACATTGAGATTGACAAATTAATATTAATATAAGCAAATCAAATCAGAATGAAGGTTTGAAAGTGTTGATAGCAAAAAAATAAAATAAAATAAAAATGAGAACGAAAGGAAAAAAAAAAGTTAATCAACTTGTATTTCCAATTGTAAATCTATTGAACTGATAATCATGATTAAATTAATCAACAACAACTCGAATTGAAAACAAGTACAACTAATAAATTAAATTAATTCCGTGTTGGTTTTTGTCGGAATTAATTGTCGACAATCAAATTTACTGATGAGAATTGAGAGATTTTTTTGTTCTCCATCATGAAAACAAACAAACATTTTCGATGAACTTTTCTTTTACTCTCACGATTGACAATCTTCAAAGTCCAAATAATATAATCACATGAAGATGAGGATGAAGATGCAGATGAAGTTGATGATGATGATCATCATCATCATCCCTGTCTGCTTATGTCAGTTCTGAAAAAAATAGAGTCCAAAATGTGAAAAGCAGAAGCTATTTAAGCTTGAAGCTTATATATTCAAACTGAAAATCCTTATGGGCAATGGTAACAATAATAATACATAGATATACAATAGCCTTTGCCATCGTCCTCATCCTCATCCTCATCCTCATCATCATCATCATTTCATATCCTTTTCTTTCCCTCTCATTTTATCTTTCTTTTTTTCATCATCATCTTCATCATCTCATACAAAGAGACCTAATCGCTTGGAACCGACCCTTAACTTCACTGATTTTGCCAGATTTAAAGGCTCAAGAGATACAGAGATACATAAATACATAGAGAGAGAGAGAGAGAGAGATGAGGATGAGGATGAGGATGGAGATGAGAATAAAAAGATGATGATGATGATGAGAAAACGTTATTTCGGTTTGTAGGTTAAAAAAAAGAGCAAACAAAAAGTTCTAGCCCAAAGATTGTACATTATAATGATACAATAATAATACTATGTGAGGTTTACAGTCTGTAGACAAATCTTCAGTCAACCGGAATTCACCTTTATCCCATCATCTTCATCCTCATCTTTTGCAATATCATCATCTCAACAGCAGCAAGATGATCAATGAAATGTTTTAATCAAAGGTAAACAGCAAATTTAAATTACTCTCCAGGTAAAGTTACAATAAGATATTTTGATAAAATTAAATTTTCTTTCACAATTAAAACTAAAAATTATCATTTGGTATTGTAACAAAAGTTAATTGTGATTTACTGATCGTGTATCGCATGTATATCTTAATCATCTCCCAAGTAGATTATAATTAGAGTAATTAAAAAGTGACCATCATATGTCTCATATTGTTTATTATCAACTTTAATTGGGTAATTAAAAAGCTACACAAACAATTGTCTTAATACTATTTATATGAATGGCGAAAATGATAATCATCATTATAATTTTAATTGTTGTAATTGTTTAATCATAAAATGTTCAATCATCAAGTGAAAAATATTAAGCTTTTCATTAATATTGTAAATTGTTGTTATTATTATTACAATGATCTCGTTTAAATCATAATTTGTATTGTTGCCTATTAATTTGAAATATTAACGAACCACAATTGTTTAAATAAACAACAACAACAACTTGTAATCAAGTAAATTGTTGTTAATAATAAACAATTGATGGATAAGGTTGAAAATAAATTCAGTTCCCTAACCATGTAAGTTTTATTATCGGTTTATAAATAGACATTATCATTATATTGAAGGAAGAAAAAAAAATTGTCTTATAAATCTTATTGGAAGATAAAAGATGATGATGATGATGATGATGAGAAATCAAGGTTTGCGTGTTTCTTACTCTTCCATCTTCATCCTCATCATTTTCATCTTCATCTTTATCTTTATCATCCTCTAAATTTTCATCTTCTTCTTCCCTTGTTAAAATATATATAACATTATTTACGAACCAATTGAGAGAGTACATAACTTGTATTTCCTCATTTAATATATTTCCGACTTCATTTTTCATCTTCATCTTTTTATCTTCATTCATATTGTGAAATATACTATGATGATGAGGAGGATGAGGAGGATGAGGATGAAAAGATTTCACTCTTTCCACTGAAATATTTTCATCTACAAATGATAATGGTAAAAAAAGTATGAATCAGAATTGAGAGACAATGATGATGATGATGATAACCTTTGGATCTCTCTCCCTTTATCCTCAAGGCATTTGGTATCATCATCATCCTTATCATCATCTTGTCAACTCTTACAAGAAAAAAAAACCTCAAAAAAATGTCAACCTCAATTATGTCAACATTAGATTCAAATGTAAACCAATTGAAATAATAACTGATCCTAATAAATTATAAGGTTATCTCATTGATGTTATTGGGTATCAACTTTCATGATGACTATGAAACAATATGAAGATGAGTTGAGATGAAGATAAAAGGATGATATGAGAGAGAGAGAGAGAGAAGATGATAACAAAAGATGATGAAACTTGACGATCGCGTGATGATAAACCTTGAAAAAGATGTAACTTTCAATTGGATGGGAAAACATATCGATTCTAGAAGTGGGAACAGGTCACGCAATCAAATGAAAGGACATACAATCGAGTCGATTGATGAAGATGATAATCATCCGTCAGGTCTCATCTTTCATTAGATGATGAAGATGATACAATAATAAATGATAATATTTCCCACGCGTCCAAATATGAACAACAATCAACCAGAACAATCAAGGTAAGTGTAACGAGGAAACAGTTTGATATTCAATATCCTCTTTTTAATATTCATCACCTAGGTAACTATTTACTTGGAGAAATGTTATCAGACTAAATTGTTTACAAGAATCAATTGATTGTCAAACCATTGAGAAAGTGTAAAAATGTGTATGATTTATGAAAAGAGCAATCAAACCAAAAGAAATGAGGAAAAAAAATTACAATTCAGTTAATTGTAAAATCGAAATGAAACTTTCTTTTTGCATTTGGAATTACAATCAATCGATCCTAATTATCTTCTTGTGTGTGTGTCTAATTACAATCGTAATTAACTTTCATTGATGGATAACAATCATCGAGTTGACAATCAAGATTCTATTCAAGGTCAATAGACGAAAAAGACAATGGAAAATTTTGAACATTATTCGAGAATAATTTTCTTCTATTCTACTCAATTCTCAATCAAAATAATCAACAGAAAAAGTGACCTTACGATGATAATAATAAGTTGATATTCTAATCAATCATACAACTGGTTAATTAAATTGTTCCGTTGAATTTCAATTGATTTGTCTCATCAATTGAAATGAGAGGGAAAACTTTTCATCTGATTAATAAAAAAGCGAAATGATTAGTTGATCAACAATCGGTAATTGTTGTGGAACCAAAGTCAAAGTTAATTAGTTTGATTGTAAAAGGATATAAACACAATAGGGTTAACAATAAATTAATGGACTGGTCAGTTGAACAGCATGAGTGATAATGACTGGACATGATTACAATAAAATTTGAAGGTTTGATTGTTGGATCAATTGGTGAATTAAAAAATTTTTTTTTCTCTTCGCCATCAACAAATATTAATAGTTAATAATTGGTAATTTGATTGTTTGCAAAATTTACCTGAAAAATAACCAAAATTTGGTGGTATGTCCCCAGAATCGTCTATACCGTCCGTCGGGTGTCCAGGTCGAAGTGACCTCATCACTCGTCGAGGAGATCGCATGAAGTGCCGACGACCCGAATGCATACCCATGTGTTTCATACGTCGCTCTTTTGACCGTCGATTTTGAAACCAAACCTAAATTGTTATTATCCAAATACGAAGAGAAAAAAAAAACTTTAGTCTAACAATTAAAACTAATCACACACAATCAAACTAATCATTAACTGTGAAAATAAAGGGAAAACTAAATGAATAATTAACTTGAAAAGTTAACTGTAAATACAAAAAATAAAACAAAACACAAAGTGAAAGGAGTTAATTTATCATAACTTTCAAGTTGAATAAGGTTAACTTGATTGTTGTCGAATAGTTAATTATTCAATGATGATGATAATGGTTAATGATTAACTTGATTTTTTAGTGTTTATAGAGTTTCATTGAGTTAATTTCAATTTACCTGAATCACTCTCATCGCTAATCCAGTTTGATTGGCAAGTTGTTCACGAATATGTCGAGTTGGTTTCGGTGTTTCCGCAAACGCTTGTTTAAGAGTATCTAATTGTTTGGCCTTAATTGTTGTTCTGGGTCCTCTCCTCTTTGTACCCGGTGTATTTTCATCACTATTATTGGCATTACTATTATTACAATTACTATTTGCTGAATCACGATTTCTACTCGATTCTGAACAATTAACATCTTTACTTGAACTAATATTCACATTATTACTATTACTACATGAACTATTGGAACTATTTGAATTGGGATTGGTGTTGTGTTGATTAAGGGTTGTTGTTATTGTCGTTGAACTTGGACCTTGATTTAATCCCCCACCACCTCCTCCTCCTCCTTGTAATACTGATGATTGACCAAGTATCGAGGGTGGACCAATACCTCCATTGGAACCATAACAATTCAATGGTGAGGATACGGTTAAGGTGTCACTTGTTATACCGGTCAGTCCAGATTCTGACACTGAACTGGACGAAGCGGACATTGGTGAACTTTTACAGGAAAGGCCTAATGGTGGTCCAGAACCATTACCGGAAGAGGGAGGTCGAGTTGATGAGGAAGATGAATAATGATTTAGGCCGGTAAGTGATGAGAGACCAGGTATTGACCCTGGTCCAGTTGAACTAAGGATTAGTTTATCTTCACAATCAGAATCACCAATCAAATGATCAGATTCTGAAGGTGAAATCATTGACTCTTCTAGATCAGCTTCCGAAGGTGATTCCAATTTAATTCCTATTTAATAGATGAAAAAAAATATAAATTGAAACAACAACGATTAATCCTCAACGTTAAATTAAACCAAAAATATGAAACAATTAACAATCTCAAAGAGAGAGGGAGGAAAAAAATCTCAGGTAAATTTTCACTTTTCAAGGTAACCCATTTATCGTGCAGGTTAATTGTAATTACTATTGTGATTTACCAATGGTGATTATCTTAATCACGTACAATTAAATTTACAATTGTTACAATTACTATGTTTTTTTTCAATTAGATAGCAATTGTTATCAATTGAATCAAGAATAACATTTGAAATAATGACTCAATTAAAGGTAATTTTGAAAATTATTTTTTTCGCTCTCATAATGATTAACATGAGTTTCAGTTTATTCATTCAAATTTGATGATAAAATTTCATGTTTACCAATTGAGTGGTCACTTAATTGACCGGAAATATATGTTTATATATTTCCAGGTGATCTTGACATTGGAAATATGTAATGAAATCAAATGAAATCATGATAAATATAAGAAATAAAAACTTGAGAAATTCAAGAAATTTGATAGTCAAGTTATTTATATTTACCCGATTCATTTGTCAATCAGAACAAAATTTAAGTCCAAACTTCCCACTCTCACCAATACTCACCCACTCACCTCAATCATTATCATCTTCATCTTCATCTTCATCTCCATCATATTGAAAAAATTTTTCAAATCTACTATTACTTTGTAATATCTGCCATCAATTTCATGTAATATTTTTTTTTCTTACCTTCAATCATCAACTCGACGTGTGTTTCCTTGTCAGTGATCATTTTCATCATCTTCATCTTCATCTTACATATCATCATAATCATCATCAATTCATGGAAGAGGCTACAAAACATTTAGTAGACCCACTGAGCTAACTGAGTGCCAACGAGCTGAATATGTAAATTAAGGTAATGTATTTTGTTTTCATGATAACCCAGGGAATCTTTATCATCATTCCTGGCAGAGGGTAAGATGAAAAATGATGATGATGATGATGAAGAGCTAGAGGATGAACAAGATATCATCAAGGATCATCATTATCATCAAGGTATATAAATAAATAGATACACATTAGAACAACATATTGCAAAGTAAAAAAGATGAGGATGAAAATTAAGATGATGATGTAAGAAAAAAAAAGTTGCAACGGTAAAAAAAATTGAGAAATGAAGATAAAAGGTGATGCGTATCAAAGTCTCATCATCTTAAGTTGACGAAATGTGAGAGATGATGATGATGATGATGATAAAAAACCCTCAAAATGATGTTAAAAAAAAGGAAAACTTTTTTTCTGCAAAAATTGTTGCGTTTTTTTTGTGGTAACAATTTAAAAATAAGCAAAAGTTAATTGACAGAGTTTTGGTTTATGCTTTTACTCCGTGCTAACGTTCAGGTATCCCGTCAAGTTGATGATGATGATGCTGGAAAGATGCAGATGAGGATGATGAGGATGATAAAGGTGAGGGAGCAAACAGGAGAAAAGGGTACATAATGAGCTTTTCGTTCATCATCTTCATCTTTAAACGTTTGTTGATGTTGATATGTTGTTGTAATATAAGCAAACTCAGTGAGAATCTGTGGTTATCATATTGAAGATGATGATGATCATCATCAGGATGATGAGATGATCACGCACTGCAGGAGCCTCTTTTTTACATCTCTCTCTCTCTCTCTCTCCCTCTCATCATCTTCATCTTATTTCTGAGTTTTTTTTCCTTCTTCTAACATGATTTTCTCAACATGAATTTCCGCTTTGATTTAGAAATTAATCAATAGGGAATGTAAAAGACTCAGGTAATCAGAAGATAATTTAAATTGTAACAATTGTAGTTAAAACTAATTGTAAAAAAAAATGCACTTTCATTTTTGTTTCTTGATCAGTTGATTGTTTTCAACTTGAATTACCAATCAAAATGATGTAAATATGTTTACAATCAAATAGGAAACAACAATCAAACTTATTGGTCAAATTGGTCAGTTCACTAAGGTAATCAACAGAAATTTGTAACATTCGATTTGATTTTTCAATAGTAAATTGTGATAGAGGTGATTGACTCGAGTGGACAATTAACTAATTATCAGTGTTGTTGTACAAAGTAGAAAAAAAACTTTTTTTTCTTAATTTGTTTTCAATTAATCTGAATTATATAATGAATGAATCAGTTACTACAAGAGTAACAAGTTGTAAGGTGGTTCAAGAAGAGTGAGAGGATCATCATCATCATCATCATCTCCATCATCTCCATCATCATCAACTAATTTGCATTGACTAATTACACTTTTGTGGTTCCAATTTTTTCACTTCATCTGAACAGAAATGAGAAAAAAAATGAGAGAAAAAATTTTCAAAAAAAGAAACTTTTTTTTCCACCTCGAGCAAAAAATGAACTTAGAACTTTTTTTCTTCACCCTCCCTCAATTCAGTTCAATTCATGATGATGATAATGATGTAAAATCAAGTAATCAGAATTAATTATAATCTAAACCACAGCAGTTAATCAATTCTGTGGTTTCTCAAATGGTTAACAATTAAAGTCCAACCTAAAATTGTTCATTTATTGATGATACAAAAAACAAAGGAAAAACTTTTTGAAAAGGTGAAAGTTTAAGGTTAACCAACAATTAACAATTATTATTAATGATCATCAGTCCAAGTCAAGGTTAAATGATTAAATTGTTGGACTAATCATCATTATCATCATCATCATCATATAATTATAAGGTAAAGAAAAATAGACAGACAATTAAAAGATTGTACTAATCAAAAAAAGAAAAGGTAAAACCATAGATGAAAAAATTTACCTTCGAAAAGGTAAAAAGTTTTAGTTGTTTTTTTCTGTTCTAATAACAATTTATCTTACTAATCATGTTGAAGGAAAAAAGATTAACAGAAAAATGATTACGATTTAGCCTAAAGGTTAATCTTAATCTATTGTATCATCTATCACAATCAATTGACAACAACAATTAACTAAACAACAACAACAACAACAGACATTGGAGTAAAAGTCTGACCATTGACACAATAGTAACTCCAAGGTAAATATTGATACGATTTGATTACCATGATATTCACATGTATGAAAATCAGTAAATTATCAGGACAATCAACACAATTAAAGAGGAGAAATACAATGAAAAAAAAGGTAATAAAATTTTGATAGAAAACAATATGAGAAGGAAAAAAATGATTCCATTTTTTGTTGTGGTTTCGAATTCATTGTTATCAGAACTTTTTTTTTTCCTTCTCATGTAAATTTCCTATTCTCAATAACAAAAGCATTTAGTGTAAAGGTGTAAGTCTATTTATATAACAACAAAAATGTTTATGTAAACATTGATTATCATCATCATCATCAACATCGTTATAACATCATCTTTTGTAAGAATCAAATTGATACCAACAAGTAACAGTAACAATTTTTTTCCTTTCAGGATAATGATTGATAACATGATGATGATTCTGTTTCATCATCATCTTCAGGCTATTCAGTATCTTCATCATCATCTGTTTACTTTTTGTTTGTTTGTTTTAAAATATACTTTCAATTGAAAGATTTGTATTCCAAGCCCATGAAAACAACATTGAAATATTATCACGCAAATATAAAGATGATGATGATGATGATGATGAAATAGACAAACAAACAAACATCAACAAAAGGGAGAGTAAACAGTAAACAAATACACAGATGATTTGATGATGATGATGATGAAAGAAGATGAGATTTGAACAAATGATTGGTTAAATGATGAAGAAAAAGAATGAAGAAAATTTAAAAAACATTCTCAGTAGATTCCTTTTCATAAATCAAGTGAGAGGAAAAATTTTCATCCAAAAGTTCAGTAAATGATGATAATGATTCTCAGCATTTATCTCTTATTTTTTTTACTATTCTAAGTTCATTCCTGCTTTTGATCTCATGGTTCTTATTCAGGATAATACCATCATTATCATCATGACCTCGTTCACAATATTACACCAATCGGTTTCATCTTCATGACATATAACAAACATGTAAACACGAACATGGATTCATAACAATTTGGACAATATCTTCATCTGTTCACAAAACAATCCTCAGGTTTCAGGATGATCATGAGAGAGACACCCAAATGTGAGGATAACATGATCATCATCATCTCTTAGGTTTTACCTTAAGGTTCAATATAAGATGATGATGATGATGATGATGATGATGATGAAGCTTCAATAGTCACATAGATTTTTTTCTCATTTTTGTTTAGCTTGAATCTTTTTCCTCTGACTCTAACCATCAATCAAATAGCATCTTGTAGGAACCATAGGGAAGCAAGAAACACTGAAATCTCATTCTCAATCATCATCATCACCATCAACATCAACGGCATCATTTCTTCATCTTCTTCCTCTCTTTTTTCATCATCATCTATGATGATGTTTTCCCTTCTTCTGATGTTCCAGGTCTACTGATCAACCAGGAAACCCGATGCAAAAACCTCCGAAAGTCACATTTGATCCTCTTCGTTTTCACTCCAATAGTTTTGATACGGGTTTTCCTAAGTAACCAAGGGTGATGTTAGATGATGATGATGATGAAAAAAATATAAGAAGACCATGGAGATGTTGGTTGATGTTGTTGCTTTTTTGCTGGTGGTTCTTATCATCTCTATTGCTTTCTGATATTTTCCGATGGTTTTGATTACATCATGACGAGAGAAATGTTTACATATGATGAGAAGATGATAAATATATGCTTTCTTTCATTTTCTCTTTCTGTTCTTGGCGGATTCTCTCTCTCTCTCTCTCTCATATCATGCAGAATAAATTCTAACCCTTATTTACTTTATCATTTTCTGATGTCTTGTTCATCATTCTGATCATCAACTCCCCTTCTCATGTCAGCATAATTTGTAGATTATTTCATCTCTCTCTCTCTCTCTCTCTCTCATCTTTTCCCATTTTTTTGATGGATGTTGAATGTTTATGTATAGATAATGATATACATATTTAGAATATGAAAAAAAATTTGATCTCCTCCTGATGGTTTCCGCCTCCGCCTCCTACTTCTTGTTTTTCTTGCTATTGAGAGAGATGGAGAGCAAGAGAGAGAGAGAGAGAGGAGGTCGGTAGGTGGGATGCAAGGTTTTCCGCTGAGTAAACTGTTGCTTAAGGTGGTGGTAGTGGTATAACCTCATGTCTCTCCCTTTACCACCCCATGGCCTCCTCTTTTTACTTTTATTATGTAAAGGTAACGCTCTGTTGGCAATTATTATGCAATATCTTTGGTTAGTGAGTCTGTCAACACGGAAATGAGATATTATATTTATATCCAACGATTTCTCTTTTGTTGTCATCATCAAGATGAAGATAAAGATGATAAACTTTACTAATCTTTTAACAAGAGATCAACAACAACAACAACAGAGGACCTTTAGCACTCTCCCTCCTCCCTCTTACCTCCTTATCCCAACCCCTCACAGTTATTATTACATGTTACTAGTAATAAATGATAATTGGTATCTCCATGTATCATATAACAAATATATTATATTATCATCATCATCAACACATTCAAACAGCAAGAGTCAACAAAAAGATTACATCATTATCAGGTAAAGTTTTTCCTCTTTTTCACCTTTTTTTTGTTGTTGTACAAAAACAAAACAGAAACAAATTCAATTCAATGAAAATCAAATAAACAACAACAACAAGGACACACACTTATTACATCAACCTAACGGTACTTTAGAAAATGGTAGAAAAAAAATACAATCGAATGAATTAAATCAAGACTTTGATGAAGGAAAATTAGGTTAGAAAAAAAAGAGAGAAAAGAATTTGAGAAAAAGAATTTCTTCATGAATGGGGGAGGAGGTCAAAGGTGTAAACACATTCGAAAGACAAGGTTATCATCCATTCTCATCATCATCATCATCATCGAGATGAGGAAAGGTAAAAGAAAACTATTAGATATTAAATATATAATATCTATTATCTAATGTTGATTGTTAAGCAACTGCAAGTTGACGGATGATGATGATTGTGTTGGGCTTGGAATATATAAGAATTGGTTGAATGGTGAGCGGTCAGTGGTCAGCGGATAGTAAATGGATGATGGAGGAGGTGGAGAGGGAGGGATGATGGTGTAAGATAAATAAATTGATGGTTGAAAATGAGCAACGTTATTTATGTTCCGGTTGTTTTGCTTGATTACCACTCAAGTTGAGAATTGATGAAAATGAGTTTACTAGTTTAGCTTCTGTTGTGTGTGTTGGATGAAAAGACTAACACGCTTTTGATCATCATTTTCATCTTCATCTTCATCTTCATCTTTAATTTCATCATCGCCATCAATAGGTAATAAATAAGAAAATCAAAAATTGTGACTTGTTGTTTGATGAACGCGTTTACCTTTTGCTGTTCAGCTTGTTATTATTACGGCGATGATGTTGATATATAATTGTAATTATTTTGATTGTTGTAGAAAGAGGAAAAAAATCAAAGTAATTGTTGTAATAAGGTTAATACACTAAAGCTAATATTGTTGTATTGATGGTCATTTTGAAGATGACCACCCAAGAATCAGGTGATTTCTTCAATCAAAAGTTTTAAATTTCAGTTAGTTGATTGTTTATCGTTGTTGTTGTTGTTGTAAATTGTTGTAATGATTAGTTGTTGATGATTAACCTTTAGTTAATTTTTTGATTTTTTTGTTCACTTTGATTCTGATCTTTGTAATTACTACGATGGTGATCATGATGAAATAAACATCATCATGTACATATATGATAACTGTTTTTCGGGTTAGTTAATTAACGTTAATTCATTTGCAATCAATTACACATCAACATCATTATGAAATATGATTTTCTTGTAAAATGTAACTAATAAGTGTCACAATTTACAGGATCCATTACTAATTGATTATCTAATCAACAGTAATTTTAAAAATCAACAGCTTGAAGTAGTTAAATTGTTCATCATCATCATCATAATGACCAGTAAATGAAATATCTTCAAATTTAAGTGTTGATTGGTTACTTTTTTTTTCTCAATTTACACTTTATAATATAAATTGTTAGAGAGATGTAGTAAAGTCTATTAGTTAACTAACAACAATTAACTGGGTTGATAAACAACAACAACAAAACGAGGGACAAGAAGCAGCAAAAAAAAGCACAATATCTAATCTGTCAGTCAAAACACTTATGATATAATGTTGATGGTTATTTTAAATATCCTTGGAGTTGATTATGATGATGATGATGATGATGATGATGATGGTGAAAGTGAAAAATATATAAGGATGAAGATGATGAGAAGTAAAAGTTTTCACGGATCATTGGAAGTAAATTGATGGCAGAGTAACAGGAGAATCACAATATTGACCATTGGAAAGGAAGGGAAACATTTCTCAGGAAAAATGAAGGAAAATAAAAGCAGAAAATGATGATGTGGATGAAGAAGAAGATGAAGATGATGATGAGTTATTTCATCATTATAAACACACACTTACGACTACTTACAGTTAAACCGCTAAAGTCGTCGGATAAGCTAACAGTTAACAAGGTTTTCTACGCTTAGATGAGAATCGGTTGAAACTGTTAAAAAGTCCATGGAATGTGAGTTGTTTGTTTTTCTCTTTTTCTTTTTGTAGAATTTGGAATTTGGTTTAAAAAAATTCATCATCATCACCAATGGATTTTTCATCTTCGTCTTTTCCTCATAATAATCATCATCATCTTCCTTTGGGGGGGGGAAGAGCTTCTTTTTCCTTGGCTTTTTCCTTTTTCGATTCCTTTTCCTTTTCCTTTTTCTGGATCTCCCATTGAAAAGTGAATAACCATTTGGGCTTGTAATCGGTAAATTACATCCTAGGAATTTGAAACACTCTCTCTCACTCTTCATCTTCTCTTTCTTTTTGTTCTGTCATCACCAAGAGGGAGAGAAAAATTATCTCTCTCACTCAAAAAGAAAAAATATTCTTCATTTTGTCTTTAAGTTTACATTTTTCTCCAGCAAACATGCAATTGTTTACATATCATAATTTTTTTTTTCTCTCTTCTTCAACTATCAATGTGAATTTGTTTCCATCATCATCAAATTTTACATCATCAACTTTGATCTTGTTCCTCTCTCACTTAACAAGTCGAAAATATTTCCACGCGTGCAAATGTTACGCAAATTTACATTGCAATTGGATGGAAGATGATATATAAAGATGAAGAACAAGGTTGAGTAAATATTTGTAAACATGAAGAAAATTTGATGATGAGAAGATGCAAATAATATTTTTACGGATTTTTCTTCTTCTTCTTGGTGATTGAGAACAAGGAACAGAAGAAGAAGAAGAAGAAGCAAAAAAACACAGCAAAAAGATGAGAGATGGAAAATTGATGATGATGGAGAGAATAACGTAATATTAGAGTCATTACATCAAGTCAATTCCATGTAAACATGTAATAATATCAGTTCTATGTCTATGGTTCAATAGACTACCTTGTGTGTGTCTGTTTTATTCACATAGACACTCAAAATCAAAAATTCTTTATACTCTAAACATATACACAAACACACACAGAGAATCAACAACAATTTGCCCAAAATTTACACACTTAACTTGATATATATTATAATACACATATAATAGAGGATGAAAAAAAACCTCTTTTTGGCTGAATTTTTTTTCTTCTCTCTTCAACAGCAAACAATCATCCGATCGTTGAAGCATGTTGACCAATATCAACACACTGAGAGAGTGAAAGAAACAGAGAGAGAAAAACACAATTGTGAATATGTTTATCCAGTATAATAGCACAAATAATAAACCATAATTTCCTATTGTAGTTGATTGTTGATGTCCATTGGGATAGAGTTGACAACACTTTATACAAAGTGTAACACACAAAATTATCCATCAATTGTTTGGTCAACAAGATGAACACACACACAAGGAGATAGAAGAGAGAGAAAAAAAAAATAAAAGAGAAAAAAATAAAAGAGAATATCAAAAATGATAGAGAGAAATAAACACAATGAAAGATCAATATTCTTCAATGAATATTCATATTGTGATGACAAGGAACGTGAAAAGATTATGATTAATTCGATGGTAGAGAAAATAAATTACTCCAATTTGTGACAATTCTAATTGTTTGATTGTAATTAATTTCGATAAACATGACAACTCAAATTCTCATCTCTAGTATCCTTAAAGAAGATCAGATAATCTATCGGATCCTAAATATCGATAGAAAAAAAATTCTTTTCTCTTTTGTTTTTACAATTTTTTTATTCTTTTTCATTTTTGTTCAATTGTTTTTCTTTTATCCTTTGCATCTGTTTTCATCTTCATGAGAATGTTCATGTTCTTCTTTCCTTCTATTTGGTGGTTCTGTGAATGATGTTCATCATTTCCATTCGTAAAGAGGAATAAGTTTTGAGAGAAAAACATTGATAACAAACATAAGAGATTCATTAAGGTGGATTTTTATTGTTACTGTTATTTTTTTTCTTCTCTTTCTTTTCTTTCTTTTTGCTGTATTGCTCTTTTTTCTCCTTTCCCTTTTTTCTCTTTCTATTATATGTGTGTAGTAGTATTACCGTTATTGTTGTTGAGAGATGAAATGAAATAGACCATTGGTAATAAAAGAGGATGACCATAGTTTTATCCTCTCAAATCCAATGATAGTCACCTTCAGTGAATTGGTCAGTTTATTTCATCCCATTCTCATCTTTATCATCTTCATTTCTCTTACTTTTTCTTCATCACTATCATTTATTTTCCCTTCTTCACTATATCTCTCTCTCTCTCTCTCACATGGAAACATCTCTACTCTATTCCTTTTGTATACTCATCAACTCAATTGTCTCTTCTTCATCATCATCAATATCATTTCTCTCTCTCTCTCTCCTTTTGCTTTTCTCCTTTACCACTAAACAATAACAGCTTATAAACCTTTTCAAAATGTTGATCATCACTTGATCACTTGAATTGGTATTGCTTTCTTTCTGTGTCCATCATTGGTTTAGATGATAAGATGATGGTCAAAGTGATGATTTTACAGAGAAAATTATTACATAACAATCATGTAGAACAATTTAAAGTGGAAGACTGAGGGAGAGAATATGATAACAATTCTATTCTCCCTTGAAACATTTCTCCACATACCAAGAGTGTAAAATGTAAATTGTCATTTGATTTATTATTTTCACCTTCAGATGAATTTCTGCAATTAATTCCTAAGTAATTGTAACAATTTACATATATAATATTGTTCTAATTTCGTTTTTTTTTCTTTTCTTTCCTTTTCTCTTCTCTTTTTCCAGGAAACTTACATGTCAAGGGAGATTGGAAAATAATCTGAATACTAAAACTGTGCTGTTCATTTATAAATAAGTTTCGATATTGAATATGATACTTTTTTCTTGAATCAGATGAAAGTTTAAGCAAATTGCTTTAAGGTTAAGGGCTTGAGAAATGTTATTGATGGTTGATGGAACAACATACACACACAATAGTCAAAACGAGTAAGCAACAAGCAACAATCAACCAACTATAAACATAAATTGCTTTATATATAATACATATTAAGCAGAAACTAGCAAACTGGATAAAAGGGTGTGAAATGGCCAAGGGAGATGAAAAATCGCGAGAAAATGGTGAATTAATACGATGAAGCGTAACAAAATTTTGCTTCTCTCTCCCTCTTCATCATCTTGATCTCATCATCATCATTAACATCATCAACTTGATCTTCATGAATTACAAACACACTTTTCGGAAGTCAGAAGAGTAAAGCTTGATAGAGATTATCAAAGAGAGAGAGAGAGAGAGAGAGAGAGAGAGAGAAATAGCAAAAGAGGTAGAAGATAAAAATGATGATGATGATGAACCATTTTGTATACATGACACAGAAGATGAGGATAGATTGAGAGAGAGAGAAGAAGATACCAAAGATGATGATAAAAACATTGAGGGTACATCGTTTGGGCACGCATACCCTCGGGAATGAATTTACAATTTTGCGGTTTCATTGAGATTGATGATTAATCATGTTTGATGTGAGCCAAGTTGAACTGAGATTCAGATCCATGGTTTAACTATACTGCAACTTCAACTATCAAATATATAACCAAGGAAACAAGAAGATGATGATTTGGGATTGCCTCACTATCTTTATCATCTAACATCATCATCTTCATCTTCATCTTTTATCGTCATCTTTTTTTATATCTTCTTCATACATCGTCCTCCATCGTCTCATCTTCTTCTCATCATCATCTTTTTTATCAACTTCTTTTCCTCCCCGATTGAGGTGAGAAACCGACTGAGAAAAGGTTAAAACCAAACCTTTTCCAGATTTTCATCCTCATCTTTTCGCCATCATCATCATCATCATTTTCATTCTCATTCTCATTCTCATTCTTTTTTTCTTTTTCTCTCTTTTCTTTTAGGATCATTTTATAGGACAATATCTTGAGGGCTTGAGTTTTCCCTCTCTTCATCTCATTCATTTTTGAGAATCACTCCTACCTCCATTGAGTATCTCTCTCTTGCTCTCTCTCTCTCGCTCTTTTTTCCAGTGATGATGTTGAATGTCAAAAGCAGAAAAGAAGGAGAAAAAGATAAAGAAGCAACCAAAAGGAAGAACAACATTCCATTTAAAACATAGCAGGGTTGCAAACAATCACCTTGACCAGTGCTACTGATGATCATCTTCATCCACCTTATCCTCATCATCATCAACGATTTTATTTTTCTTCATGTTCAGATGCTGCTCATGTTGAATATTGTTATTACAACACCAACAAGAACATGAAAAAAAAACCCTGTAGGCAGATCAGAAAATGTGTAAGAATCTGTACCTTTATTACAAGTTACATTTTCTCATTTTCATTTAAAATTAACTGATTCACATCTTTAACAATCAACAATCAACCCACAATAGTGATGGTTTTTTTTCCTATCACGATTAGTGTTGATATTATATAATTTTCATCATGTACCAACAACATGATATCAGTTGTAATAATACAATCAAAGGTTAAGGTTTGTTTTTATGGATCAGTCTCTCTCTCTCTCTCTCTCTCTCTCTCTCACTCACTCTTACATTAATTAACTAACTTGTAATCATCATCATCGTTTTAATGAACTTTTTTTTCTCCTTCATGAATCAACTTATTATCTTATTCATTGACTGAATTTTTCTCTTTTTTATTTTATTATTTTCTCAGGTTCATGACTGTTAATGATGATTAAGAAAGAGGATGATGATAAATGCTCAAGCTAATTTTGACAATATTCATATTGGATAATCAACATGGTCATCTCATCATCATCATCATCGTAGGAGGATAAACAAAAAAGTTAATTGTCAGGGTAACGAGTTAAATACATTGATGACCAAGAATATTTCATCATAATAATCAATTGGATATCATTAATTATACTTGACTCCTTCCAGTTACAATCAAACGCAAAGACATTGAGAAAGAAAAAAGTTTGTTTTGTCTTATGATGATAATGGTTAAATTGTCACAGCAAATTGATCATCATAATCATATAATCATCATGATGATCAATAGGGAAAGAAAAATACTAACTGTAAGTAGCTGAGAGTGAGAGTTGATGTAAATTGCTATTATTTTATTTGATTTTTTTTTCCTTCATGATATTTTATATCATATAAATATATAGATTCCTATCAGGAGGATTCAATGGCAAAGGAGGAAAAGCAAAGTATCAAGTCATAAATTCAAGGAAATGAACATTCAACAAGACATTTTGTTACTATATTTTTTTTTGTTCTGTGTTGATATGTAATATCTATGGCAAAGAGACTAAATCGCTTGGTAACAAACATTACATACGAATATGAGAACCGATGGATAAAGAAGATATTATATCAAAATGATTCTTAAAAAGTCATCATCATGGAATCATCATCATCATCATCATCATCGTAATCGTCTTCCCTTCCGTTTACTTGATTAATGATGCTACTTTATTTAGACTGGAAGATAAATAATATTTCAACAATCATATCTTATTATATATTATTGTTAACGGATAACTTTGACTTCCTATTGTCTTTTGTTATGATATATAAATAACAAGCAAAAAAAGACAATAAGATAATCATCATGTCCAATTTTACAGTTATTTAATTGTTACCTTAACAAGAGACAATATCTTGTTGTTAAAACGGTTAAACAGAAAAGTGATTAAGATGATTACTTTATCTTTGAAAGTAATCAAAAATGATTGTTAAGTTTATCCGATAGTTTTGGTTTAGGTTTGTTATTAGATCAATTTAATTCAATTGTTATTAACCTACCTGATCTAAATAAGATGATGATAATGGTAATGATGATGATGATGATGATAAAGAATCCAAGTAAACAACAAAAAAGTGATCAGAATAACGATGATGATAATGATGATTATTTAGATTCTGTTGTTGATATAATTACATCTAATAGAAAGACACAAATATCCTTCATGTCAACTGTCGATGTAAATTTCCTATTCTTGCTTAGTAACTATTGAAATGTCAACACATCAACAATTGTTGTCGATGTTGTTGTTGTTGTTGTGTTGACATGAAGAAAGAGATTCAAGAAGAAGAAGGTGAAAGAAAAAAAAAAGAGACAGGAAGTTGGAAGAATTTGATGATCATCATTATCATCATGTTCTGAATACTATTCAATCTATTATTTCACAGGAAAAAGACGAAGGGTGGTTATGGTGTAGGCGAAATCGGGAAGGAAGAAGGAGGCAGTGGAAGGAGCAAGTGAATCAAAGCCAAGGCGATTAATGATCAACATCCAACAACATCAACATGAAGCTCATTTAAAGGTTATAACACTATGGGTTTGAAGGTGTTGAAGAGGCAACATTATCCCTGATGATGATGATGATTCTTCAATGGAAGTCAGCTCTTTTTATCTGCTTCTTGTGTCGTTATTCACATGGAGGGATGAGGATGGAGAGACAAAAAATAGCAATAATGATACCTGTCAAGATAAGAATCAATCCTTTTCTTGTAATGCCGGATGCTGAGGGTTGACTTGAAGTCTTTTTTTTTGCTTCTCCATCATGTTGATGCTTGTTGCCTTAATGATGATGCTTTAGATGGACATGATAAAATACTGTGAGTAAAAACTTAAATCTCATTTTACTTTCTCTCTCTCTCTTATCTTTTTACCTCATCAATTCTTTTCTTCATCATCTTTTTCCTCTCTCTCTCTCTCTCCTCCTCTTTTCTTCTTCTTTTTTTTGCTGCAATCTTCTTCTTCATCTTCATCTTCATCACTTTGACTTTTTGTTGTTTCTTTTTTTCTTCTTTGCGTTTCTACCATCAGATTAACTTGCATAAACTTTACACCCCTGTTAAAATATCACTTGCAATCAGTGCGTCAAAAGATAAACATTACAACAATTTACAACATTGACGAAGTGTGTCTTACATTTACTATGACAAAAACACGAGGGATGATGAAAACGATGATAATCTTTCATGATGATCAGCCTAATGATGAAAGCCTGATGCCTGATTACAGCTGATGATGATGATGATAAAGAATCCAAGTAAACAACAAAAAGTGATCAGAATAACGATGATGATAATGATGATTATTTAGATTCTGTTGTTGATATAATTACATCTAATAGAAAGACACAAATATCCTTCATGTCAACTGTCGATGTAAATTTCCTATTCTTGCTTAGTAACTATTGAAATGTCAACACATCAACAATTGTTGTCGATGTTGTTGTTGTTGTTGTGTTGACATGAAGAAAGAGATTCAAGAAGAAGAAGGTGAAAGAAAAAAAAGACAGGAAGTTGGAAGAATTTGATGATCATCATTATCATCATGTTCTGAATACTATTCAATCTATTATTTCACAGGAAAAAGACGAAGGTGGTTATGGTGTAGGCGAAATCAGGAAGGAAGAAGGAGGCAGTGGAAGGAGCAAGTGAATCAAAGCCAAGGCGATTAATGATCAACATCCAACAACATCAACATGAAGCTCATTTAAAGGTTATAACACTATGGGTTTGAAGGTGTTGAAGAGGCAACATTATCCCTGATGATGATGATTCTTCAATGGAAGTCAGCTCTTTTTATCTGCTTCTTGTGTCGTTATTCACATGGAGGGATGAGGATGGAGAGACAAAAAATAGCAATAATGATACCTGTCAAGATAAGAATCAATCCTTTTCTTGTAATGCCGGATGCTGAGGGTTGACTTGAAGTCTTTTTTTTTGCTTCTCCATCATGTTGATGCTTGTTGCCTTAATGATGATGCTTTAGATGGACATGATAAAATACTGTGAGTAAAAACTTAAATCTCATTTTACTTTCTCTCTCTCTTATCTTTTTACCTCATCAATTCTTTTCTTCATCATCTTTTTCCTCTCTCTCTCTCTCTCTCTCTCTCTCTCTCTCCTCTTTTCTTCTTCTTTTTTTGCTGCAATCTTCTTCTTCATCTTCATCACTTTGACTTTTTGTTGTTTCTTTTTTTCTTCTTTGCGTTTCTACCATCAGATTAACTTGCATAAACTTTACACCCCTGTTAAAATATCACTTGCAATCAGTGCGTCAAAAGATAAACATTACAACAATTTACAACATTGACGAAGTGTGTCTTACATTTACTATGACAAAAACACGAGGGATGATGAAAACGATGATAATCTTTCATGATGATCAGCCTAATGATGAAAGCCTGATGCCTGATTACAGCTGATGATGATGATGATAAACATTGAGAGAGTTGTTTTTGTCTCGGAACAAAAAAGTTATCCTTTTTACTCATTTTCTTGGTGATTCTTAAAAAAGTGATTGCAAAAAAAAAGTTTGCTTTTTTTTCATTCAGCAAACTTCAAGTATATCGACAAGATTATAAATTGATGTTGTTGTTTTGATTTTTTTTTTGCTTCGAAACTTTTTTTTGGCCTCTCGCCTTTCAGAAAAGTTTTACGAGTCATCAAAATACTATGAAAATGTAATATATTATTTGGACTTTTTTTCTTATCGATTTGTATCTCCCCAATTCGCAGCAGATTAACATACACAATGACGGGGAACGTGTGGCCTTTTCCGATGCTGATAATGACTGAATATACACTTTGAATATAATATGTTTGCATTACCTTATCGTTTGTTTGTATCTCGCTCATCATTTGACTTGCAGTTTCTATTGTGATGGATTTACATGTAAGAAAACAACAACAGCAACAAAAGGAGATGCCGTTGATGATCAAATTGATACACTTTTCAAGTCAAATCGATATCGATTTCCTCTTGACGTTTTCATTTTCATGGTTAAAAATGAAGATAAAGTTTCTTATTGTATTATCATTACCAATAGACACTCATACACACTCTCAATGAATGACTGGGTTGACTGTGGGTCTATGAATGTATGTGACACATTCACAACGGTGTTGCCAATGTGAATGTGAATTTATATCTTGAATGTGTGTGTGCATGTTTTATATGTGTCACTCTTCATGTACACTTGAAGCTTAAGTTTTTGTTATCACAGCGAGAAACCTTCTTCCTTTTATCTTCTTCATTCTCATCATTCTCACTGGGAGTTAGTTATTTCATCTTCATCTCATCTTCTTCTTTTCATCATCAGCATCTTCTACTTCTCAAAGAGACATGACATGAGATGACATATCTATAAATTCAATCTCTTTCTTTCCATCATTTTCATCTTCTTTTTTCTCTCTTTCTTCGATCTTCTTCTTCCATTTCCTTTTATCAGAAGTAAAATGATGAAGATGATGGAAGAAAAAAGTTACAGGGAGTTGAATTTATCTTCTCTTGCTAATGTTTATCATTTTTTCTTTCTTTTTCTACTTTAAAATTTACAGGAATCGCTTTGATTTGTTTTCCAAGGAGTAAAATGAGAATTCAGTTAATCATCATCATCATCATCATCATCTACAGAAACAGTAGCTGTTTAAATGTTTTTTTCAATGATGAGAATGAAAATGATCATCATCAGTCTCTTTCCCTCTTCTCATCAAGTGAGATCACGAACTTTTCAATCAACATTAACTAGTGTAATGAGAGAGAATGAAGGGAGTCAAATGATATGGGGTGAGAAAAAATTACATTCAAATGAAAATAACTTTTTCATCATCAACATTTTAATGTTGTTCTGTTTTCTTCAGCTTTCATTTCATCATCATTATCATTATCATCAACTTCATCAGCATCATCGTCATGCCTTTTGCATTTTCCTATAAGTCTTTGGAAACTGAAATTCAAGATGAAAATGTTGATGATGATGATGATGATCAAGATGCTTGTCTTATTATTTTCAATGGCATTTGAGAGCAACGAAGAAGGCGGTGGGAAAGATGATAAAGATGAAGATAAAGATGAAGATGATGAAGAAGAAATCACAAAGATCAACTCCCTATCATGTTCATGTCAGGCTTCTTGAAGACATTTATATAGGTTTGAAATCAAAGATGATGATGATGAGAGAGATTGTAAGTAAGATAAGATGAGGAAGAAGACTGAAGATATTGAATGAAAGAGGAAACAGAAAGAGGAAGATAAATATGAAAAGAAGAAGAAGAAGTTGTAGGTAAGGGGGCGGAAGAGAATTTTACCTCTTTTTCTTTTCTATTCATCATCTTCATCTTCATCTTCTCATCATCATCATTTCAATGGTTATCTTTTTTTTTCTTTTCTTTTTTCCACCTTTTCATCTTCCCATCATCATCATCATCTCTTCTTATCCTCTCATCTTTATCTTTCTTTTTCTCTGTCTAACTCTTTTTTTTTCTGTCTCTCAAATATTCTTCATGGGAAGAGGTAAATGAATGACGGGCTTGGAGAGACTTTGGAGGAAAGAGAGAGTGGGAAGTTGGAAGAGGAGAAAAGGAGCAAGGATGAGGAAGGAGGCGATGGAAAATGTCACTTGCACTGTATCCGTTTCCATGAGTTTTTATCTTGATCCTTATTTTTCATGAAGCGAATATATTTCAACACCAACGAACTTTGGATTCTAGTGAATTAGATTGAAATCTTTTGATCTAAGAAGAGAAAAAAAATCTTTTCTTTTCTTGATCATCTTCTTGGAAGAAGAACAATGAAAGAAAAGTTTTCCATCATCATCTTCATCTCAACTTTACAATGTAACAATTTCTTGATTGTTTACTTATCTTATCATGTTTATGATGATGATGATTCAACAATCAACATGAAATTTGAATTAAATTCAACTCGAAATTGAAAAATATATTGAAATTAACTACGATAATATAATCTTTTCCCAATCTGTTTACTTTTCCATTTGATTCCAACAGGAAAATCTACTGATTGTTTACAATCAAATCTTATTAATTCCTAAATCTAATTATTTTTGGCATCATCAAAATCAAAGAGATAACGACAAATATCAACCGTGACAATGATGATGGAGGACAGAGAAGGAGCTGAAGAGATGACACCAAATTAAGTGGGAGTGAGAAGCATATTGCCGATCATCTTGAACCACAAACGAGAGAGAAAGAGATGAAGAGAGTTATCATAAATCCTAATCGTCCCGTTAATCCAATTGTGAAACTCAAGCATTCGGATTAGCATGAGATTAGTAAATTTAGTTTTTTTTCCTTTCATAAACCTTCAACTTTTAATCTCTGGTAAAAACATGAACACACAACAAGAGTAAAAACAACAATCTAATATTTGCAATTCAATAATTGCAATTGTATTAAACCACAATTGCTTTTTCCTCCCGCCGGTTAACCCTCTTCCCACTCCTCCCTTTTGATTCATTATCATTTGTTGATGATGATGATCATCATCATCTTGATCTTCTTTCTTTTATCTTCTTTTACTGTTATATTTTATTTACTAAACTTAATCTTGTCACAACAACACTTTGTCACTAATCCTCTTCCTCCTCCTTTTCCACCTTAATCCTAATCACACTAAAACCTTTAACAACTTCTTGTTATTATTATTACGTGAGTGATATTAATAAACAATTATCCACTTGGTGCAATAAATTATTATCAATGTTAATAATTTATTAGCCTTGAATATAACTGTTTACATGGTTCAAGTTGGATATTTATGTTTAGTCAATTGAATTGAAAATTTTACTCATGAAAAAGTGAAAAATAGTTTCATTGAAATTGGATAAGTTTCCATTGACACTTCCATGTCCACCTTCATCATTTGACAGGGGAGAGAGAGAGAGTGAGTGAGTGAGTGAGTAGGGTGGGTGAAGGTTATTGTTAAAGTAACATTTTTTTCATCATTATATCTTAAGGCGAAGTCATTTTAACCTTTGGTAAAAAAAGTTATGTTTCAATGGAAGGAAAAAGTTCACCCAAGAGTCTCTTTTATATCCAAGAAACTCAGTCAATTGATGATGATGATGACTCAAGATGATGAGGGAAGATAAGGTAAAATAGGAAGAAGAATAGAAATGGGCCACAAGAGATGAAAAGGGAAAGAATGATGGGTGGAAGAGGGTGGAATTGGTGGTGGTGGTGGTGGAACCCAAAGTAACCATTGTGCCAACATACAGAAAGTATTATTATCTATCAAAAAAGGAATGTATTGAAAAGCTCAAGATGAATGAATTTAGAAAATCAATGCAAAGGAAGATAAAGTGAAAATCGATGATAACAAACAAAAGGGAGAAAGAGGATGAAGATAAAGTGGGTGGTAAATCACCAGGAAATGACCTTTGGCAAGGCCACAAAATGTTAGAGAGAGAGAGAGAGAGAATATGAATTTCAAATCGACATCCAGGTAACATTTGAATTAGAAAAAAGGAAAAAAAAATTCACAAGTGATAACTGTAATTCTGATGATGAGCATGATAAACTTGGAATGGAGACTCTATATTATCATGATGATGATGATGATGATGATGATGATATAATATCTATGTAATACTGTATAATATATGTATTTGGATGAGAAGTCTTGGTTTTTCATTTTTGTTTCGAATTTTTTTTCTCTCTTTTTCTTTTCTTACTCTGAAAATGGTTTACAGAGTATTCCATGTGGATCAACATCTTCGGTTCATCATCTTCATCTCATTTTTTTCTTCTTCTTCTCTTTCTTTTCTCTCTTTTCTTCATCGTCATGCTCCAAGAAACTTTCATCCAATCAATGAACTGTGAACAGTAGTAAGGTTTTCAGATATTTCATCTTGAAGACCAACCATGCAACCAACATATGAACAGACCAGAGTTCAGTTTATTGGCATCATCCTTATCTTCATCTTCATCTTCATCTTCATCACCAGTAACTTTGATTACTACAAACACATTCATATAAATACATTTTTGATAAAGTCATTAAGATTTGTGGGTCAGAATATCTGATTTTCATCATGAATTTATCATAATATTGTCAAGAGATTTTCAATCAATCTTTTTGATAATATTTGTGAAAAAAAGTTCCTAATGTTGAATTGATTTTCAATGAATAATTTGTTCAATTTGTAATTAATTACGATCATCAAATTTTCAATCAAATTGTGAAATTTTTTTTCACTTCCCATGAATGAATATTATCAGAATTTATATTGATACGATTCATTGAAGTTTCAATTGTTTCACCTTTTATGTTGATCAACTCGTTTGAATTTGATTATTGCTTTTGGAGTATCAATTGAACTGAAACAATGACGATTGGGTAAAAAACTGTTACATGAACATGATGATAATCATGATGATGATATAGATTATTAAAGGTTATAGGTTTTTGTGAGAATTCATCCTTATCTTCATCCTTATCTTCTTATGTTTTTCTTCATTTTCTCAATAGTAAAATTGAGGAAAAGGGAGAAAATTATTTCATCATGAAAAGTTTATTCCATGATGAGAGAAGATGAAGAGGAAAAAGGAAGAGGAAGAAGATTTCAAGAGTTGGGGGTGGAAAAGGAGAAGAGTATAAACCTTAGGGGAAAGTGAGCACTATTTTCATAAAGGTGTGTATTCTGATAGGGATGAGGAAGATGAGGAAGATTAAGTAAACATGGAAATAGTTTTCTTAGTCCAAAGATGATTTCTCATCATTGGAATAATTTTTTTCTCTTCTCTTTGTTTCTCTTTTTTTTAGTTCTATTTCTCATCTTACAATAACAACGACAATTTGAAACCCTGGAGGATAATGTAAAGGAGAGAGAGAGAGAGAGAGATGAATTAAGCTTCAGGTTGTTGGAAACTCTGAGTTTATGGTGTTTATCTGGAGGTGATCCAGTTATTGGAATACAGGATTAAGAGAGGAAAAAAATTCACGAATTGAGATTAAGCGTTTTGTAGTGAAAGGGTTTGAGTTGATAAAAATGTAACGGAAGTTGATGAAATGTCAATGATGATGGTGATCATCATGAAAGATGATATAAGTTTATTTGGAGATGAGAGAGAGAGAGAAGGAGAAAGAGGGAGAAAGAGGGAGAAAGTTTAGATCAGTGAAGCTTAAAAACGATGCAAGATGAGAATCGGTTAATCCTAGTTCGCTTTAAGTCGAAAATTAAATCCGATTAAAAGGGAAGAAAACGGAATCGGATTAAAGGTAAAAGAAGACGAGATGATGATGATGATGATGATGAGAATGAGGATCAGAAAAAATGATAGAGTGAAAAGAGAAACAAGGAAAGATACAATGTTTGTGGAAAGACCTGATAAGTTAGATGAGAATTTAGAGAAGATGATTATTGGAGAAAATTTCAACATCTATTCAATAATCAATTGGAAACTTCATCATCAACTATCATCATCCTGATTCTAATTGTTTGCAAAGACAAAGTTGAAGGGAGAGAGAGGGAGAGATGAGAAGAAAAAAAATCTTTGCAAGAAAAAAAAACTCTCAAAATAACCTGAAAGTTTTTTCTCAATTGAATAGAAACCCAAATAACAGAAGCAGATGAAGAGTGATGATGATGATAAGGTGAGGCGAAAGTTTTGCTGGGTGTATCCTCATCTCTTATCTCAAACATCATCATCATCTTCAGGTGAATACAGAATCAGCATGAGGTGAGATGAATATGAGCTCGGTGAAGTCTTAGTGGAGGCTCAAGCAAAAAAAACTGTTTTCCATGAAAAAAGAAACACTTAAAACATCAATAGTTTTACCCTGAAGGTTCACATTTCTGAAATTTTATCTCCATCTCCATCATCGTCATCATCTTTATCTTCATCACCAATTTACCTGAGAAAATGGAAAAGGTGAGAGGAAAAATGAAGAGAAAATAAAATCAATGGAATCCAAAAGATTCTGGTTAACATGTAAAAACCATTGATTCAACTTCCGTGTGACTTTAATCTGATGTTACCCTGGATTCTTATTATTATCATGATGATGGTGACGATTATCATGATAGTATATTTAACTATAATAACAAAAGAGAGAAAGAAAACAAAGAGAAGAAAAAATCTTCAATTTTCACTTTCTCTCTCTCTCTCTTTCATCATCATTCATGTTTCATTGTTCATAATATATATGAATTTAGATGAATCTTTCAATGCTCCAAATGAATACTCTCATGTATCCATACATATATATATGTTCATGAGTATTCAATGAATATTCATGGGACAACAATAGAGGCAAAATCCACCAACAACAAGAAAAACTATCACATGAAAAAAAGTTTTTGGTGTAAAGGTGAACAGGGAAAACTTTTCATTCATTTCACTCATAATGATAATATATTATTCAGATCAGAATGAAAAAGAAGGTGAAAAAAGTTTGGATCATGGAAATCGATTGTTTCTCTGATGAATAGATGGATAGAGAGAGAATGAATAAAATTGAGAGAGAATAGAATAAGTAAAATCAATATTAAGATGATGATGATGATGATGATGACAATGAAGACGAAGAGGGTGGAGGATGAAAAGGGAGGTGGTAAAAACAAGAAGGTAAAACTTGAGGTTCCTTGTTTCGAGTTCCTGTCATGAAGAAAAAAAAATAGAATTTTTTTTTCTTTTTCGAATAATTTATTCAAAATTCTTTTTTCTTCCTCTTCTTCATTACATCATCATCATTATCTTGTCATCTTGTCTCTTTTTCATCTTCACAATTTCAATTGTAAATGTTTACCACCCACTGGACATCAAGTGCTGGTCAACGTTACCATTTTTTGTTATTCATCTACTTTTAAATTTATATATTAATCATTCATTTTGTAACATATTCATTTACATACAATTATCATTGTAACAATTAACTGATTGTCACTGATTAAAATTTTATATCAATCAACAGAAAGGTTAATCCAAGGTTGATGTTGTATATTTATAATATTAACATACAGCTGATAATATCAATAGGATAATAATGATAACAAATATTAATAATAAACAAGTTTGTTGATTTAATTGTGATCAACAATAATCAAAAAAAAACAAAATTTAATCAACACAAAGTTTATCATTATCAAGGTAGGAAAACTAATAATAATAAGTCAACCTGAATCAATATGACAATAAGTTGATTGTTGTTGTTCAACAATTTAATATAAAAATCATACATATAAAAATTATTGATTGTTAAGAATCAAATTTGATTAGCTAATTTTTTTTTTCAATATGACAAAGCAAATCAATAGTTGAACAACAATTAAAACTTGAATTATTAATACAATTTGAATGAGATGAAATTTCATTGACAAACAATTGAAACTTTTATTTTCTTTCACTGAACTCAACTGAATCTTATATATAATATTTACTATTTCATGATTGTCCACCACACCCTAAGCAATCATTGCATGATGATGATGATGATGATGATTGGCACGTGTTAAATGTCTGGAACAGGGTGGGTTACCCTGCCATTGATTATGAAACAACAGTGAGCGCGTGCAGTCAATCAGATGATATTATAATGTAATAACAATGGTGATATTTATTAATAGGATGTAAGTAACTTGATCATGATAATAAGCTTCAGGGTGGGTGAGTTGAAGGTGGGAGGATGTCAGGGAGAGAGGAAAAGGAAGTGAAATGAATTATCTGTAAGTGACTGTGTAATGGGAAATCAACCTCCGTCCTCTTAAATATTGTATACGAACAATAATCGAGTAGAAAAGTTTTTTTTTACCAACTCAAAGTTTCGAGTGAAAATCAAAGTCTCTCATTTAATACAAATTGTTTCAAGCTTTGGACAATTAACTTTAAATTATATACCCTGATTGTAATCATAATTAATCATCATATTTATTATTGTAAATTAATGATAATCATTAATTACCATCAACAATTAACTTGTTAACCAATCGTAAAGTAATCAAAATGTTTTGTTTTCTCTCACTTTCAACACTTATATCAAATTATCATTACTTTTTTTTTCCTTCTTCATCTTTGATTGTTAATTTTTCTTAACC